AACCGAAGTCAACGTTTTTTCTTGTTTATGACCTACTTGCCCAATTTCGACGAAATTAGGTTTATAACATTATGGTATTCCCATATTACGGTGAGCGAATTCGGTCTACAATCATGAATTCATCTCATATAAATCAATTTTAAACTTCTGATTCTGTGCCTTCACAGAATATAAATTGAGAGCCAAAAAAGATATCGAGTTAAAATTATTTTTTATTATTTATTATTATATTTTTATTCTTCTTTGAATACTTTGATTTCGATTGAGTATACTTGCCGTACATTTTACACTTGAGGGAGGCAAAGATTTCACTAAGGACCTCTGCTTTGTGATTTTGAGTACGTGGATGTGAAAAAACAACTTTTGCGCTCAGTGTCAACTAAACCAACAGTTTTATTCAGTGATTGCAGCTATGATGTGTAATATGGGAGAACAGTTTTCTCACTGTTTACCTTATTTTAGAGTTTTTATAACCACAAACTGTTCTTGTATCCACAGCTAAAAAGCGAAAGGATACCGTTATGAATTTAGTTTATAATTATTGAGTATTTTCGTTCCAAACGAATAACGAACAAATATTTTAATATTTTTCTCCTTTTAGTTTGTTTAAAGTTAAAAAATTCATTTTTCTTAATAACAAACTTTGCAGGTGCACTAAATAATTAGTAAGAAACACGAAACTTTTAATGCTTTGACTTAAAAATGCTTTTAACGGAAAATTGGCAAAGGTTTCGCTTGAGTTCACAAAAGCGAATCACAAAGACCCATTTGCCACTAAACAAACTACAAGACCAAGTGTCATTGTGTTATTTTTGAATCCGTGACATACGAACTGCTGCCATTGTTATTGGTTAAAACTGAGTACACAAACAATTGAAAAGGAAAATAGTTTCGTTGCGCAGTTTTGGATATTATCCAAAAATGTATAACCTGCAGAGGACCTAACTCCGTGCACTCATAAAAATTTACTTCACGGAAAAGAGTAAACGTAAGACAACACAACATGTATAAATGTAGGTACGTGGATGACTAAATATACCTGGTAAGAAAAAATTAAGATTCACACAATTCAAATATTTTAAGGAAAGCCAGTTTCTGGGTCTTCATAAGATCAGGTGTAAATAGTGAGTAACTTTAAAAATAAATAAAAATAAATGGTTATATAAAAATGTATATGTAAAGCCAGCAAATGCCTACGAGAATTCTAAATGTAGTTAGTTGTGTATATAAATGAAGAATTTTTAATAATATTTGAAATGAATTCATTGAAATTAAATTACAAAACTATATAACGGACAAAATCCTCAATAATTCGCACTTTTACTTGGGTTGGAGGATCTTTTTACTTAAGCATTTGTTGAGCCGAATGATGACTCACAAAGCCAAACCTAACTGTTAACAACTCAAGTATTAGACATTGAAGTAAATCACAATTTTTATCCTTGAAATTTCGTAAACATATTTTTCCTACTGGTTATATACGAACGCATGCACGCAAAATCATATTCACAATTAACTAAACCCAAGAACGTTGAATAAATACATCTGTTTGTTTATATGTGCGCTGATCTGCTTGTTAGTGTATTTGTCATGATTTTAAAGCCACTTAAGCCTTGGGTGGTAAAGTGACTATGTAAATAAATCTTTTTCTTTGCCTTTTATGGACTGTGTCCATTTTGTCAAAGTGATTATGTGGATACAAACACACATAAATATTTATTTTAAATGGAGCATACTGTCTGTAACTGGATATTTTATAGAAAACGGCAAGTATTTGCTGTAAGGTTGTCTTTTGTCTGTTAATTGTTTATCGTAGAATGTGTTTTAAGTGATATATGTAGTACAGCGGTCGCTTTAGGTGATGAGGAGATGCATGAGTGGAAGGATGAGGGCTCAAATCGTTACCGGGGCACAAGCTACAAATATAAATTGTATGCAAGTTGAGTAAATTTTGATTCTCCCGATCGTTAAAAATGTTGTAGAAGAGTTTTGGTTAGTCTACTTTATCACGAGAAGTGGCACATATCATTCAGAGCAGAGGGTCTCATGGCGCTCCAAAAATAATCTTAAACCGAAAAGGCGAAATTTGCAGAAGGCACCGAAGGCCATCCCAGCCGATGCTTATATCAAGTGTATGGAAGATTGGGTTAAACTTGAAAATGTAGTTTTTTGTCAGTCGGGGTCAAAATATATCAACCAACATATTTGATTCGGCAAGCTATCGGTAATATTGATAGCTCATTATTATAGCTGCTGATCTGATTTATAACAGGATATCTATCGGAACAAAGAAATGGTATTATTTGTGTTCATATTAAGAGAAAAGGAAACGAAAAATAGTAATTATTTTAATGAGAGACATCTCTTAGAAACTTAAAGCTCGAAAAGATAAATAATTTATTCAATATTTTGTCACTGAATATAACTGTTACGCATACAATTTGTAAGTATCAGCACCTTAGCAACAAATTAGAGTATCTGTCACCTTACCGTCAAATCCCTGGAGGCGCATTTCATTTATCTTATGCATTTATTCGTCTAAACTGGCAATCAATAAACTACCCAACTGTTAAAACGCCACTAAAAATATTTTATTAATTCTCATACACATATACATGCGTTTGGGTTTGTGTGACGGGGCATCTTCTATTTACCACACGCAAACGAGCAAGAAAATTGCCGATTAATTTGCATTTTATTTACTTTGTCACTTTGGCAGCAAAGCTACAAAGTGATTGAAAAATTTGCATGGCAAAGCCAAACCCAAAAGGACTGGTGGATGAAGCGTTCCCTTATTGCTCGCTTACACACCCTCTCCTCTCTGTGCCGCCGGTTATTCCTTGGTGGTCACATTTAAAGTGTAATCGTTCGTTCGTTTCAGTTTCTCGATTTTGTTTTTGCAAATTTTAACTTATCTTCAAACAAAGTAAAGCCAAATTCATGTGTTTACTCATAGTTGTAGCCACAGTTCCTGATGTGAAATGTATGAAAGCCTCGAATTTTTACTCTTTGAAGGAAGAATTTAGCTGGAACGGTTTTATACATATATTATTAACTTAGAAGACTTTCTCAAATGAACTGAAATTAGCACTGGAATATAAAAGCTAGACGGAAAGGCCCATGCTAATTGTTACGAACTACAATATATCGTAACTAATTGGAGAGAATAGAAAAATTTTGAGTAAGTTAAGGTCCTCGGAGCATCTGCTCCTCTAACTTCATTAAATTTTTTTCCCAAATCACTTATATTTAGGCCTAAATTAGTGTGCGAGGGAAACAAATGAAGTATTAATACCTTTTGAATGTCCCCTCCCTTCTCTTGATTGGTCCTTTGCTGATAAGTGAATCGTTTTTATCTCACTTATCTAGTTTCTTACGGTCATGGGTCAAGATTTATTCCGAAAATCGTTTGAAATACTGCAACATTTCGAAACATGTTAATTATCTAGCTTTAAGGGCAACTCCAAATGTCTTTTTAAAAGATTTACGACGTCTCTTAGAATGTGACCGCTGCTAGGAGGGGATTTTAAACACAGAACACTCCGATTTGTAGTTACGCACGACACACACCCTGCTCTGATAGCCGCAGATCAATCATTTAATGTTGATAGTTTCAAGCGTTCTTATCTAAATATATGTACATATGTATATATCATGCACGAGTACATGCATACATTTACATACTATGCACGAGTATGCATGCGCGTATCCCGAAATTTCCACTAATGTACGTTCTTTAACGATTTGCATATCTACATATACTTACATACATTTTATGCAGCAGTATATCCGTAGATTCGGTAGCAACAAATTGAGAGGGTCTAGAGAATTTTCACAAGTACGCTACAAATTTACGGAGTTTCAACTACCTGAAGCACAAATGTTAAATCACAAAAAGTGCTAGTCAATAAGGCGTATCTAATGTTGCCCAACTTCACAATTCAACGGCAGCGTAGATGAGCACCAACAAAACTCGAATGAAGTTTAAGTTCAACCGAAAATGTTAATGCTGCTGTTCCGATTTGTTGAAGGTGGTTACTGTGTGTCTGTATACATACTCCCATATACGCATATATATACATAGGGTATAAAGTATTGGCGGGGCCTTGCACTGGGGGCAGCAGAAGGGCAGAGTATGAAGTGATGTTTCAGTTTTGCAAAAATTGCAACTAATGCTGAGCGGCTCTTGAAAAACATAATGGGAACTTTAAATTGCATTTCCCTTTCGAAGCCGAGTAATGTTTTTTGCTGCATTGAGATTGTTACTGTGTATATACATATGTATGTATGTGTGGTTTTTCAAGTATTTTCAGTAAACAAAACATTTTTATATCGTTTGCTTTCAATGAGCAAGTTGGTCTGCTATTTTCTTTCGTTAATTGTGACCCTAGGAGTCATTCGAGTTTTTTAATAGTATGAATTTAACTTTATTTGTTGAGTAATGGGTTTTTACATAAATGTTTAGGTGAGGTGAGTATAATATTTATTTTTCTTAGGCTTAGCTTTTATTTTTCTCGATAGCGTAGCTCCTTTCCTAGTGAGATTGTGACAACCTCTTAAAGGTTTTGGTACTAATACGCAGCGCTAGATGTAACAAATGGAATTTTACATATTGACAAAGGTTACAATTTGAGATTGAATGCTGAAGACGGGACCAGTATTTCCAAGATATATTTCTTATAACTCTGTAAAGATGAACATATTTCTAATCAGGAGATTATACCTCTTAGAAAGGTATTACTGTTGACGAAATTTTATACTATAATATTTAGTTTTACACAATTGACTGAATCATCCTTTTAAGGGATTTCTAATGAAAGCAGGTAATATTACCCTTACCGTTTCATCTAATAACTCCTAAATCTACTTGAAATTTCTCGCAATTTTCATAAACCAAATTATATATATTTATTTATAAATTAATTTATTTTCACATAAAAACTATTTATTTACGAATTTAGGTACAACTAAATTTAAACTAAATATCTATGCAATAAATAAAAAATTACAAATAGTTTAATGTGTTATAAAAATACTTTTTTACTAGGGTTATATCACTTAAGGTCCTTTGAGCGGTGGCTCCGTAAAACCTTCATTCTTTGATGCGCAGCGCACGTCGTATGGTTCATTTGGAAGTACATCACCACTTAGTTCAATTAATTTATCTAAGGGGCATTGGAAATTACAGCCTGGTACTGTCAGCTTCTCTATTGGCGCTTTGGCATGACTTCGAAAGTAAACCTAAAATCTCAGGAGACCTCATTAAAGACGATTCTGCAGCTGAGTGTTCAACAATTAATAAATAACTCACCTCTACATAATACTCTCCGTTATCCTTATTCTTGTGCAATTCAAAAATAGTCATAACCGAGTAACGTGGCAACTGTCGCTTCCATATTTTCAAGCTCGACAGAATATTGACCACAGTCGTGTCATGTCCTGTATAAATAAACATTTTTCGTTCCTGTGGCTTCAGTTTGTCATTGCGTTTTTCCAGCATTTCTGTAAACATTTTCTGCAAAAATGGTCCAGCTTTTATCTTTTGCATCTCTGACGTATAAACATTGTAAATGTAACTTTGATCGGTTAGGAACTGCATTTGTTGAGGAAAGTAACTCTTCGTCCAATCAGGAAGTTTTAGACCAAATTCTTGCTATAAAAGTATGCCATTATTTTTTCGTTCATAATTTGTTGAGGGATTGAATAATTACCTCTGCTAGAAGTGTTAGGTAAAGCGATTGTACATCTTCCGGTTGTGTTAAATTCATGCCGGTTAAAAGTGACAACTCGCTCAGCATGTCGAGGTATGGTTCGATTTCCGCTTTTACATTTGGCAACTCTAAAACTTCACTTAAAGCCTCAAAATAACGCGGACAAGGTGTGCGCACCAACAGTAACTGTTAATAAAATTAAAAAAACATTGAAATTAATATTTGACAAAATTTTGAATGCATAAAATCGAATGCTATTGGCGCCTTTAAATGTTAGAATCTTCACTTACAGAATCCTCATTGAGTGGCTGCGAAAATACCGGCACCGGTTGCCAATTATATTTCGGATGCCATTCCATGGGTGTATCTTTTGGAGGGAAAAAACTCGCTAAGACTGTTTGCAGGGTCATGTGGGTGCGTGCAACACCCGTTGCTTGTGCGTGCACTGCCTGTAGTAAGTAACAAATACAATATATATAAGTACATATGTAAATATTAGTTCAACATGCTACAATTTTAGCAACAGGATTGCTAATAAAATAAATCCAAACAGTTTTGCCGCCCAGCGTTTGACCGGAATGGAGTGCGCATCACATTGATATTCGATGCTCTACTACTACCACACTGCGACATTCCGTTTCCGGTGTCAAGCGCTGAGCTGACCTGTACTTACGTCTGGCGTATAGTATGGCGACAAGAAGTCTGCGTAACGCTTGCGCAGCCACGTTCCAATGCCAAATAGCTCACGCTTGCCGTTCTTCATAAGAGGCAGGTTGTTGAAGTCAGTTTTTGTGAATAATGATTTCCGTCAAATAAATTTTGATACCATATATGTATGCATATATATGGAAGAGAAATAGGAGACAAATAAAACAAATAAAAAAGTATGTTAGTAAAAAGGCAAGTCAAAAGAATAAATATAAAAAACCTAAAATAAATTATAAAAATATACAAAAATAAATAAAAACCTGAAAATTTACTCTGCAGTAACTATCCATGTAAAAATTATATATTGTAGTATAACTATTTCTTCTGTTGCTATAACTTACATTGGTTATGTGCCCCCATCCGAAAGGAGAGAATGTCTGGTTAATGTGAGGGTCATTCGGATATGTGTCTGCGGGTGTTCGTGGTCCGTGGCGGAAAACCTAGAATTGTAAATGATACTCATAAATCGGTTAATATATGTACATACATATTTAGGTAATATAACTATATAATTAATTATATGTTATAACTTTAGAATCTTTTATATGCTCGTCTCTTTCGCCTATTTTAGGGTATAAGGACAGGGTATATTAAGTTTGCCACGAAGTTTGTAACATCGAGAAGGAAACCTCGGAGACCTTCTCAAGTGTATGTATTAATGATCAGCTTAACGAGCAGAGTCGAGTTAGCAATGTTCGTATGTCCGTACATATGTATTTATATACTCGAACTAGTCCCTTAGGTTTTGCGATATCAATCTGCCAATCTATCAATTTTACAAACGTCCTTTTTTCCCAAGAAGCTGTTCATCTGTCGATATCGGACCACTGTAGGATATAGCTGTTATACAAACAGACTAATTAAAATCAAGTCCTCGTATAGAAAACTCCATAAAATTTGCTTCACAAAATTTGGCATAGATTAATGTCCGAGACAGCGCTACAATATTCTACGAAGACCGAAGAGGGTGTTCATTTTTTGTATGTGAAGCAATCACATTGCTTTCGTGTGATCTCAATTAAAGAGTTAAGGGCATCGATAAGAACTGAGACAATTGCGACGCACACGCTTCGAGTGAAAATCGTTTAAAAACTGAAAATTTAACACAATGATGTGTGCATAAATAATTACATAAAAATGCCAGGGTAACATTATATAACACAAAGGCATCAGCATTATTTCATATGACTTTTTACTGGTCTTTAAGTTAACTTATAAAAGTTGAACACTGAAATATTTGCAACATATATTCAATACCATATACACATTTTATTATGACATATGAAATATGTGTCTAAATTTTTGTATTGGTAGTTACTGAAAATTAAAAACAAAATTTATTGTTGTGGATCTGTTTGGCAACTACAATATGCGCCAGACACCAAAAACATTGCCACTCGACCGGTAAAAGCAAATCTCAGTCTGCAGTTTTGGTACAAAAAAACTTTTAATGAATCCCTACGCTGTTCAGATGAAGTTTTAAACTGGAAGTACCCACCATTTATCAGTTAGAATTAGAGAAAACATTATATATTTCTTTATACTTAAAGTGTTATAGATATGAGTTTATTCCAGCTTGCCAATGCTTTGTTTCGTAAACACTGTGTTTAAATTTTTAGTATAAAAATAATAATATTAAGTGCATATACGGTAAATCGATCGATCACTTTTCACAGAAAATAACCGCAGTTAAAACACGTCCAATAATACTTCAATTGTCAATCCGATTATATTGCTGACTTATAATACTAATAATATAAGTAAACACGAGCTTATTACATGCACGCCCATAAATGCACTTCCCTCACATAAAATACTATGACTTATCACTTTAGAGATGTAATTAATATAAAACTGTCATAGAACAGTTTCAAGTGCGACTTTGTCATGTGCTCGTGTATTGCACCGAAACGTGCGTAGTATTAGCATATGTTTGTTTGTAAGCACATCTGCGCGTTTACCGTATTATCAACTCACCACATGTAGTAATTCCAAAGTATCAGCATCAGCTTTGTCTATGGACACGAATGAAAAAACGTTTGAATTCAGCAAACATAAGAGTAAAAGCACCACCGCCACCGCTGCGCCAGCCATCGCTAGACGATGTTTATTAGAGAAATGTGTGCGCGACATTTCAGATTTTACTTTTATACGAAAATTTCAAATATTCTACAATTTATTATTTGTTTATCAATATTACTCTTTTTTAAAGTATGATCGCTGTAGTATACGTTGTCTTTTCAAAATTTTACTTGGCTTTAGCCTGCATCTATGTCTGTATATATGGTTGTGTGTATGTGTGAGAGGTATACTTAGGTGTACAGCTTAACATATGTATGTATGTACGTAGATTCTAATCGAGTGAGTATAGTGCTTATTCCATATTCTACTGTAGTGTTAAAACCTTAATTAAAAAGAAATATGATAATTATTAACACGATTGGTCTGGGTCGCAGCTGAAATACACTACACTTTTATTTAGTTCGGTATATATTTTTATATTTTCTTAAAATATACCTTTTTATTTTGTATTAAGTATGTAAACACATCCGATATTTAAAGAGTTGCAAGAGTAGCAACGACTTCAATTACTGATTAAAATTTATTTCTCTGGACCAACTAGTCTTCAAAAGAATTGGCTTAAGAATCACACTCAGCTTCAAAGAATTCATTTATGCAGTATTGGCTAACTGTAAAATGATTCAAAGTTATAATAGTTTTTTACTTTGGCAGAAATTTTTTATTATACCCTGAATGGTGTATATATAATTTGTCACGAAGCCGATATCGGACCACTATAGCATATAGCAGCCATACAAATTGAATGATCGGAATCAAGTGCTTGTATGGGAAACTTTTTCATTTGACAAGATATCTTCACGAAGTTTGTCATGCATTATTATATAAAGCAACAATGTAATTTTGGAAGGAATTTTTCAGATCAGATCACTATAGCATGTAGCTGCCATACAAACTGAACGATCGGAATCAAGTTCTGTGAAGGGTATTATAGCTTCGGTGCAACCGAAGTAAATAATTTTTCTTGTTTAATTAAATATAGTAATTATTGAAGCTGTCAGCGGTAGCTTGCATGTTGGATTGAAAATAAATTTTGAGATGTATGAACATATGTATACAAATTTACATGCATGCGCATTTACAATTGCACAAATGAACAATTCATAAATCAATCACTTTACAATTTGAAGTGTTTCAACAATGCGGATTAAAACATTGTAGATGCAGTTAATTGGACTACTTGCATTCCTGATTATCCCAGAACTTGCCGAATTACATTGCATTCAGACACTTATACATATAATTATTATCCATATGCATTAGTTTCCAAAATGAGTATGCAGAATGAATAAATAAATAAATAAGCATTACAGTGTTGATTATAATATTTTATTTGAAGATGATCAACATTTATTGATGTTTTATCAATACATTACATACAGTAATAATAGAGAAGGATTGAATAGCTATTGTGAAAGTGTTGGATCATCATTTAATATTAACCTTTCATTTCCCACCCCTCTGGTAATTTTGAACTGCTTTGAAGAAAAATGTAAATAAATTTAAACATTTCTTAGGCTTAGTTATTACTAACATCCTTCATGTTTTCGTCGTCAACACGTAATTTTTTAACACCGATTGGCGTAAACATTTTTTTTAATGGAAGTTCGACCCCATAAAAAGAAAATTGTGAAGATCCTTTAACAAATTTCAGTATGTAGCCATATACCCATAGATACATATGTGTATGATATTATATATTAAATAAATTGGAAACTATAAAAAAAAACATTTTTTTGTAAGTGATTGTGAAAATAACATTTCCTAAGATTACTTGTAATTAAAATTAAAATATTCTTAAATAACTACTATATTAGAGATTATCACATTTCGTATATCTTTTTGTACTATCACTACAGATTATATTATAAATAGCATTCCGCCAACCTCAGCCGCTGTAATAGCTTAGTCGCTACCTTCACCTTTTCATTCCTAAACTTTCACAAAATCTTTACAAACGCTGTATATTTTTTGGAAATACACTTAATAAGCGGAACGCGTGCACCTAATGTAGAGTACCAGCTAGACTGTTAGCGTATGCATTAACGGTAATTAAAACAACAGGTTTACCAAAATTTGCGTTTGATGTAAGGTGAGAGCAAGTAAATGTCAAGATTTTTTACAAACACAAATAGGCGTGCTCTGATTAGCTAAACACTTAATTAACATTCTTAATCTCCACTTAGTTGCAGATGAGCGATAAAAAAAGCCATTTCGTTTGTATTCAAGGCTGACACACAAGCACATTTAATTTATAGGTAATACATAGTTTTTTTACTTTTAACGCATTTTATCTGCATTTACGGTTATACTGCGACACTTATCAAACACCTGAATGTCGTTCCCATTGATTCTCTAGCATTTTTTGTTCCAATATATCTATTTGCATAATTATAACATACACAAAGAAAAGCAATTAAAACACACTAGCAATAATAATGGAAATCCCGCAAAATGACAGTTAGTTAGTACAACGCGCAGCGATTGGCAGTCGAGCGGCCGATCCGCGAACTCCGGCGTCGAATTACTGGCAGTGGATAAGTTAGATAGCACACGAAAACGCAGTCTCTTGTTATCTTCACGTCGATTTTACTGTTCTCTGGTTATGATCTATTATATGTATAGATATGTATGTAAATGCGAGTACCTATTGTATTCGAGTTGAACTCTCCGCTCAACGTAATAATTTGTTTATGTTGTTTCATTTGATTTTTGTTACTGTTGCTATTGTTGTTTCGTGCGCCTGTTTTCGCCAGCACAATTGCTTTCGAGCGAATTGAAAAGCACGAGTAGGTTTCACTTTGCCCTTCAACTTTATATTACACCTTTGTAAGTCGATTTATATGCACTTATTTATTATAGGAGTATATACATACACATATGTATGTACCATACGTACATATGTCAAGCCGCTGGTTTTTGTGTAAACTTATATTTTTACGAACATTATGCGGGTGTCTAAACGCTTACACATGACGATATATACAAAATGCACGGCACTAATTTGAACTTAATATAAGGCAAAAATTACTGTATCGCCCCAATTTAAGTAAAAAGTTCCCAGTTTCAAACCGCAAAATTAGCACACGGCCGCTGTGTACTCATGCGAAAGAACTTTTGATTCAAGAAATATCACGAAAGCGGCAGCTGTGAACTTACACGCGTTTACGTGTATTTATATATGTGTGTACATTTGTGTCCATATGTGTTCTCAATAAAATGACCCGTGCATAAAGGTAGACAGGTAATGAAGTTATTTATATGCCTCTTTTATCATTTAAGCAATAAGACAAGTTTGCCAATAAAACAATAATAAATTTAATTTTATTTTGGGTAGACTGATGAAAGATTGCAGCGATTTTAATGAATTATGTGTTGATCATTAGGAATCTGACAGGAAGCGGGTATTATTCGGTGTTTGAAAGAGATTGTGGTTGCTGCATCGAAATTCTTCCGTTTTCTTAACCAAGTACCACTTTGAAAGCGTAAACAGTTGAGAGCTTTTTCGGTCAAAAATAAATCGTAAATAAAAAAATTGGGTATACGGACACATTCAGGACTCGGCTGGTGATATATCGGCATTAAAAATATTAAAAAATTAATAAAGATTATTTAATTCACTCGGAAAGTACCACGTTTGGTGCTTTTTGCGCAATTCTAAGGGCGTAGAAAAAATAGAATGAACTATGATTTGCGGGGGGAATTGTGTGTGAGTAAGTTCATTGAATACAAAAATTTTAGTTGCATTTCAAAAGCAGAAATAAAATGAAGAAATGTGTGATCCAGATTATTAATAAATTTTTACAGCTTTGGCGGTAGTATACTACTACTGCTCGTAGTTTTGACCACCACCTTCACTTTTTCTACTAAATCTCCTTGGTACTAGCTTTTAATTTTTTAATAAATAAAATTTAAAAAAAATAGTAAAATAAGAATACTCACAAACATCTAAAAAAAAAATACAAAGTAAAATTTGTGAGGCTGCCAGTAATGCTGTACAATCACTAATAAGAACAACACTTTTCAGCGTAGCGCTTTTAAATACTCACAAGCCTATAAGCATTTAAAGAACAGTAATGCTTGCAGATGTATAGGTTTGAAATGATTAGTGTGTGATCTCTGAGAATAATAAATAGTTGGTCTTAGTCAGTTTGAACAGCACGAGACTTGCACGAGAAAGCTCAGCTTCACAAAGCAAGTAGGACAGAATGATAAGCCGAGTTTAGATTTGTATTATATGATAGGCGCCAATATTTGCAAATTATGTTGCATTAATACAAGCTTACTCAGCTATAATTAGACTTCATTATAAAGAAATTAAAATCAGATTTTGTTTGTTTTCTTAATAAAATTGATGAAAATGTATTTTGAAATGAAACCTACGCTTATCTCAGGTTAAATTTTTATTAAATAAAGCGTAGTTTAATTATTATTTTTTACTTGGGTAGATCAGGAAATTGAAACATATTGACATATAAGACTTTATATGTAAGACATGGTTGTATATAACCGTTAGCCGATGTACATATGTACATATACTCAGCCCATTTCATAAAGGAATACTATATATAAAATGAACGAAGCAATAAAATTAATACAAATTAAAATCAATGAATTTCAATTTTTGGCAAACATTGAATTTAAGATTATGTCTGTCGATAACACGTACAAGTAACAGTCTGACATGAAATTAGAAGTGCGACTTAAAAACCACAGTTGGTTAATTACTTAAATTTTATTTTACAATCTCTTGAATTTTAATTGCTTTGATAAGACATCAATAAAAATTTCATTTGTGTATGCGCATTATTATGTTACACGTGCTTAAAAAGCATTAAGTGACGTCAACAATAGTTAATACAAGTAAAGTGACTTTGAAGGCATGAATGATTATTGAAAGAAATTTAAATTTAAATTAGGTAGGAGCAACACTCATTTTAAATAATAACAACAACGTAGAATTTAAGCCCTTAACATGCCAGAATAGAGAAACATACGAATGTTTTGAGAGCAGTAGTATAAGCTAAAAGATGTGGAAAATGATAACCCTTTGGATAGAAATATACGGTAAATGCTTTAACACATATTTGCATTACAGGTTCTGCATTTTTATCAAAACAATGAAAGGTTACCTCAAGGTATTTCTAACGAACATTTGATCATGAATAATACATATATATATGAATAATATCTGGATGAGAGAACATTTTCTTGGTAAATATTTCTAATTGCTATGAAAATGTGTAGAAGAAAACTTTTTGAAAGAGAAAGTTTCCAATGTTCTACTGCTTTCAAATTTAGTTCTTTCTTAATTTCTTGTAAAGCTTCAAAAAATATTTTCTTGCTTACCTGAACGTAAAGTTTAACCACAAACACCTTCAGTAGTTATTGTAGTAGCAGAATTTTATAGAAGACTTGTTTTGAAAGTTTGCAAAACACTGTTACTAATTAAAAATGCATTTTATATAAACAATCACATTGTGTTCGAATGCAATTTATTACCTTGAACCTTTCTCAGGCATTGCAATATAATATAAGTATACCTGTGGCTTATCTGTTCTAAACAAATACTGCTTACAAAAAAAGACCGGTATGAGTATCTTGACGTTACTTAGCTATTTTAATGTTATTATTATTAAATTTTAATTAGATGTTGTTATGTGATCACATTTGTGCAATTAGCCAGACAAACGAACTCGAGCTGTTCGTAGATAATGTTTGTTTAACATTCCTTTTCCAATTTTCATTTGCGCACCCATTATTAATGATTAAGTCGTGTAGGTCAATAATTGTAAACAGATTACATTCCATAGCAATAGATCATCACTCAAAAGAAGGAGGCGGAATATATAGTTTTATGTGAGATGATATCTACGTTTACAATGCCCTCTAGATGACAACCTGAAACTTAACAGTAGAAGCGCACAAAATTCGTTTGGTTTCATGAAACTTAGGTAATGGACAATAACTCGTCAGACATTGATGTGTGCACGCTTTCAGAAAAGTGTAGCCGAATGGCGAACATCTAACTTTAAAGTTTTAAACGTTACAGTTAAAGCTGCGAATCAATGAAAAGGTATAGGAATCTCGTATATTGTGTCTGACATTTAGATGAATAAAAACGACAAAATAGATATAAGTAATATAATAAGTATTTAATTACTTTCTCACTTTCCAACTAGATTCCAATATACCATACACAACAGCAATCATAAATTAAAAATATTAATACTTTTTGCACTTAATATTAATACTTGTTTTATAAATAAATTTTACTAAAGTTTCGAGTTCGGGTCACGTTCCACTGAACGCTTTGGCGGCTCAACGAAATTAGGATTTTTCGCTTTGCAACGCTCCTCATATGTTTCATTTGGTATAACATCAGCATTCAAGTCAATTAGTCTATCCAGCGGGCATTGTGCGCCACAATTCGGCACAGACAGCAACTCAGCACAGCCGTCCTCACTATTTCGTAAATAAATCTGCAAAATATCATTAGAAAACCATTACTATAAGCGTAATTAAGTAGGTCCGAGTATGTAAGCATGTACGCACCTCAATGTAATATTCGCCGGTTTGCTGGTTTTGGTGTAACTCGAAAATAAGTGTAACCGCAAAGCGCAACATTTGACCTTTCCATAGATTCAACGACGCCATTATGTTGCCTACCGTCCAGTCATGGGCAGCATAGATGAATAGCTTACGATTACCGGGACTAAGTTTGCTATTACGCTTCTCCAACATCTCGGCAAACATCTTCTTAAGGAAGGGACCACCTTTAATCTTTTGCATTTCTTTCGTGTAGGCGTTATAGATAAAGCTTTGCTCGGCTAAAAATTGCATTTTTTTGGGAAAGTAATCCTTCGTCCACGTTGGCAAGGTGTACCCGAATTCTTGCTAATTTAAATAAATATATATTATTGGATATTCAAATTTGTGAAATTAGCACCAATGAGAGGTCATAAAATGAGCACAGCCACACTGAAAAGTTGGTAACTTTTAAAAGAAACAAGTAAGGAAGGGCTAAGTTCGGATGTAACCGAACATTTTATACTCTCGCAAAGTCAAATGGTATACTCGTTTTAGATTTCTTTGTGGATTGACTGATATTTTCGGTAGAAGGTCAACTATAGTCACTGGGGTCCACATATTAATACTTAGGGGCTTGAACAGTTTTGACTCGATTTAGACAATTTTTGGTCACAATGTGGCATACTTCAAACGCATTATTCACGCAAAGTTTTACCCCGATACAATCATTTTTGCTTGATATCATAGTGGAAAGTGACAGAATCAGATGGAATTGAAAATGGTGTTATATGGGAAATAGGCGTGGTTGTAGTCCGCACTATGACATAGAAATATGAAAAGAACGTTATGCACCGAATTTGGTTGAAATCGGTTAAGCAGATCTCAAGATATGGGTTTTCACCTAAAAGTGGGCGGTGCCACGCCCACTGTCTAATTTGAACGCGGTTCCTATACAGTCATCTCATACCATCCCAGAGATAAAATTTAATGTCTCTGGCGTGTTTAGTGCTTGATTTATCGCGCTTTTAGTAGTCTTTAACAGTACCGTTATATGGGGAGTGGGCGAAGTTGCCACCCGATTTCAACTATTTTCACACCGTCAATAGAAGTTCTAAAAACACTTGCTTCCAGGGAATTTTGTTATTATAGCATTAGCGGTTTAGGAGATATGCGGGATCACGCCCACTTAAAAAAAAATTTTAACTTCAGATGCCCCTCCACCAAGTTTTATAAAGATATCTCAATTTTTACTCAAGTTAGAGCTTGCACGGACGGACGGACGGACAGACAGTCACCCGGATTTCAACTCGTCTCTTCATCTTGATCATTTATATATATATAACCCTATATCTAACTCGACTAGTTTTAGGTGATATAAACAACCGTTAGGTGAACAAAACTATTATACTCTGTAGCAACAGGTTGCGAGAGTATAAAAATTGTAGTATTCTCGGTAATTTTTATGTTACTTGTGTTTAACTCTTAATATTGTAATATTAACAAAGCTTTCAGATATAAAATCGAATGCTGAATTTCTCAATAGTTGGATAGTTAGTGATAGATAGATAGTGAATTACTCACCTCTGCTAATAGAGTGTTGTAAAGAGAATTCACATCATCGGCATTTTTAATAGGCACTCCAGCTAATTTAGTCAAGTTTTGAAAAAGATCTTCCTGCTCCGCCAATTCAGCTTTCACCTTCGGCAATTGAAATACTTCATCGCGTGCCTCGAAAAAACGCGGACAGGGTGTGCGAACTAAAAGCAGCTGAAAAAATCAATAAAAAACATTTAATACTAACTCTGAGTGGTAACTTTATAAATTCTTACCGAGTCTTGCTCCAAAGGCTCTGAGAAAACAGGTATTGGCTGCCAATTATATTCGGTATTCCATTCCATATCGGTACCACGCGGCGCAAAGAAGCTGGCTAGAACGGTAGACATAGACATTAGCGCACGCGGTGATGCCGTTGATTGAGCGTAAACGTACTATAAAGATGCATTAAATAATTATGTATATTAATATGTACAAAAAGTACATTTAAACAAATATTAAAAATACCTCAGGAGAATAGTGCGGCTCCAGAAATTTTCCATAACGTCTGTGTAGCCACTCTCCAAGGTGGTATAATTCGACTTTTCCTTTCTGATATTTAGTAAATAAGGTAAAAACAATTGAATTACAATACAGTTATTTTTAAAAAAGTGAAAAATCCCACTTGTTACTCACATTTGTTACATGACCCCAACCTGTGGGATAAAACGTATCGTTCACGTAAGGATCATTTGGATAGGTGGTCACCGGAGTGCGGGCACCGTGACGAAACACCTGTAAAATTTGGTAAATCATTATTCTTATTATCCAACTTATAATTCAATTAATATCGTTTGTTCAAATGTCTTGATGTTATTTCGAAATTCATAAATAATTATATATTAACATTTATGAGTTTTCACATATTAATTTATTTGACCCAGAAATCTTTTAATTAAAATAAAAAGAAAGAAGAATTTCAACTAACTCAAAGTGCGAATGACGCAAAAACGAAACGAAAATATATGTATATAATATTGTATGTGTACGATTAAAGGGATTGCCCTCTTATTTTAGTCAACTGAGAAATCCAGTGAATGAATTGAGTTCAGTTTAACCATTTAATTGCCTCGAAATAATTTTCGCTAAAAATTTATGAATTCATATTTTTTATTTTTTTTTATTTTATTTCTTTTATTATAAAAGGTGAAAATTATTTTCAGGACACACGTTTATTGAGTTATATTCTCCTATTGATACTACCGACTGGAGTAATACATACATAGGCTTGAATAATGGTAGGTGCTTGTATGACCAAACCGGATTACAAAATTAGAGTTTCGAGTTTTCGACTAAATTAACATAAAGCATTTTCATAGAACTCGAATTTTTGCGTGTCAAACTGTTCGAATTGTCATACGTCCCAGTTGCAAGTTAATTAAGTGCAGTGAGTTGATTCACTATTTTAAAATATCTGAGTGTCTGTGGCTTTGGTGCTTTTTTCTCACTGCAAAAGCAGTAGATTTGAGTTAAGTTTTTTGCTCTCATTCTGATTAATACCAATTGACAATAAATTCTTGTTTATTACCCATAAACATTTTATCACTGAATTTTTGTAAAGCTGTTATGACTTATTGCTGCTGATTTGATTTAGATTTAAATTGCATCAGTCTTCTTTAAGAAAAGTGACAAGTGGGTTTCCTTTCAAAATTGAATTTCAAAATAATTATGAATTCTCTGTAATATGATTAATGTTTACCATTAACAGTCATCATTTCCTTGATTTAATACTATTTTAATTCATTATAGGTTATTAAAGATTAATATTTAATATTATCTTAACTAATGTCTGCAAGGCAAATATTCTCATTTCATTATCTAGGTATATGAACTAATAGTTTTAACGTCGTCTACCACTTGCTGCGTTAAAGCTTGATGTATCTTTATTTACGAAGCATTTCGTGTATTGCACACTACTATGCCTACTGGACCAAGGCTGCATAAAAACATATCTTCACGTATAAGTCCATCATAAACAACACCAGAATAATATTTCTTTTGTTGTTATGCGATGACGGAGGGAAGGCCTAGACCCCAATAGTATCTCACGTGTATTATTAAATCCAAAACAGCACTTTTCGACAAAAGTAACCGAAGTTGATACAACTAGTTGATAGTAAGAGAAAATTTTGACAATCGGATGGGTTAATAGTGCTCTGAACATATATTGTATATGTAACTGAATTGTTGTTGTAACTTTATTTTATGAAATATAAGTATGTAGTAATATAATTAATGAAGCATTGTAGAAATTTGGGTTTAAGAATAAGCTTTCGTTACCAACACTTACAATATGCACAAGCTTCAGCATAGAGTTCGAGTTGTTCACCGACACTGTGGGACAATTAACGTCGTTTATCCACCTATTAGTTTCCCCTCGCCGGCCAGTGGTGGTGTAAAAATATATGAGAAATACCAATGCTATTACAACACAAAGGCTCAGCAATATTATGACATGTTTGCGCGTGATTTTTTGAAGAAACATTTTTGAGTAAAAACACAATTACACACACGAAAAAGTAATTTTAAACACGTCGCGTAGCCAAACCGGTCATTAGCCGGAAGGAAAGTAATTAACGAACAAATGAAAGCACCAAAAGCTGAGATTTAAAATTAGACACAAGCTTGAAAGTATATTTGTATTAATTTTTTACACAGAACTGCTCTTAACAGCTTCAAAAACAATCTAATCATTCGTTCAGCGCAGCACTTAATGTTAAAATGAATAATTATTGTAAACTGCTGCGTATTCGAGACTCGTAGCTTTGTTTGTATATACAATTGGTTTTAAAAGTGAACGTGCGCCGACCGACACTGCACTGAACTGATTGGATTCGCTCTTGATTCTAAACTTTATGACTGATTCGAAGGCGGATTATATCTCAGAAGTTGAAGTGGTGCGGCAGCCGCTGCCATACAGAACTCGAAATGTACTTCCGTCGCTCGGCGTTTTATCCGGAAGGGAAATCACGAATGCACCGAAAGACTGATTTTAATTCATTCCGTTTAATTCTTTGAATCAGCTAACCTCCAGCTGCCAGCCAAACTTATGCTAGACAGAATGCGTTGCTTGACTAGTATCTTATACTTTTTTGTTTGTATATGTATATTTGCTCTTAAATTTCTAGAATTATTCTGTAGATACGTGAATGAGGTTGTGTATATGTACCATATGTATGTACACTTGTTTAGTTCTCGCTCTTTTTACTAGTGGTGCTTGGTTAAAAATTTAATTGAGCCATTATTATAAGTATAAACAACTGCGTATGTACATATGTGGGTATGTATCGTGTGATAGTTGAACATTTTCACGGAATTTCAAACAATTCAATAGTTCACTAATAATACAAATAATGAATGTACGTATATTGAAATTTAGATATTTTTCATTCGAGTTAAATAGGTGTATATTTCTGGTGAGTGTGAGATTTCCACTAAATTCTTCTTTTTTGCAGATTTTTGGTAAATTTTATAAATATATTTTTTTCTTGTTAAGCAATACCGCTATGGGATGGAAGTTATTGTTCCGTACTATCATTAGGCAGTACCTTTATTTGGACCAACATGAGAAGAAATTAGCATTAACTCCTTCGCTGGTAATGACAATCCTCCGGATGTATCTCTGCCTTTAACATGTTTCTCTTAAAATCAATCAACTGTTTGGAGTTCCATTCGTCGGATAACATGCAGAACAATTTAAAAAAAATGTCTAACGGTAGATACTTTTTACTTATTGCTGCTAATATCTCACCCTGTATTTATTTACGCTCAGTTCACGCATGTGAGTAAAAAGTAAGATATCAACGGGTGTCTATAGTATACTTGCTATAACTATTGTATTAATTTTCACACTATTTAATTTACTTTAAAAACACCGGAGGTCTCAAAATATTTTAAAACATAAACAGATAATTTTTAGCGGTTTTCTTTCGTTGGTGTATTTGGTAAATATTTTCTTGTCCTTTGAAGTTCTGCTTTCTTATGAATGCCACTCAGTATAATGGACATCATTAAGAGTAGATAATTTTGATTTAAAATTTTTTTCGTCGTAGCTAAAGTGAAAATATAATTTAGCATCTGATATAATAAATTATGTGTTGTTCCCATTTTTCTTGGTGGTTGCTAATTTTTATATCAATATCCTTCATAACAAGAATAATAATGCTCAGAGGCATACACCTCCCAAATACCAATCAAAAAAATACTTCCCGTAAAATCAATTTGACGTCCTGAGTCGGCTCTAAAGTTATAGGAACAGCAGAAACGTTAATCACAAATGGCGGTAGAAGTTCGGCCAAGAATCTACCTAAAGATTTAAGCGGTAATTATGTAAACGTGTATATGTCTATGGTATACATACGAGTAAGTACATATGTAGTTTATATGGGATTTAAAGAGAAATATTGGCGTTTCGCAGACGAAAGATAAGAGCGCTTAAATATTTCTCGCGGCAATTAACGATCATACAGAGTATACATAAGCATTATACAGTATATATGTATATGGTGTATACATATGTACAGGTTTATTTCAAGTCAAATTACAATGTGTATAACTACGTCGATTTATTGTGTTGTTAATCCTTAAGAAAACAGAATGGTTTTTTTAATTGATGTGAGCTAATTCGAGTTGGCTCAGTATGTATGATGATTATGAGAAATAAATTTTCTTCAACACATTGTTATTATTATTTCTTAAAAGTAGAACAAATATAAAATAAATAAATGGGTAATATCAACATAATATATTAACAACTTTTAACAAAGTTTATATTTTTTAATTGAAATCAAAGAGCGAAACTATGGTGAGTATATACAAGGTGCGTTCCAAAGTAAATAGGACTTTAAAAAAAAAAGACAGAACAAATGGTTTTATCGGCAAAATCAATTAATTTTATTCAAAATAGTCTACTTCTGCTTTAATACAGCTTTTTGCACGGTCCAAAAGCATGTCGAACGAGTGTTTTAGCTCGTTGCCCGGTATGGCCGCCAGTATGCCGGTGCAACCCTTTTGAATGGCCTCCACGTCTGCATAACGATTTCCTTTCATCGGCAAATGCATTTTTCCGAAAAGGTAAAAGTCGCACGGTGCAATATCAGGCGAATACGGGGTGTGGTTGATTGTTAAAATGTGATTTTTGGTCAAATAATCGGCCAGAAGCGTCGATCGATGAGACAGCGCATTATCGTGCAACAAACGCCAACTTCCATCTTCGTGATATTCGGGCCGAACACGTCGAATACGGCGCACCAAACGCTTCAAAACTCCAAGGTAGAATACCGCATTAACGTTTTGGCCGGGTGGAACAAATTCTTTGTGGACAATACCCTTGGAATAATAAAAACAAATCAGCATTGTCTTCACTTGTGACTTCTCCAGGCACGATTTTTTGGGTTTGGGCTCATTTCTCATTTTTGTCCTCACGACCACTTTGAAAACGTTGAAACCACTCGTGCACTCTGCTACGGGATAGGCAATCATCGCCATAAACTTGTTTCGGTAAAAGTTTTACCAATTTAAAACAAAATTTCATGTTGGCTCTTTGTTCGAGGCTCATTTTCGCACCGATGACAAAAACATACTGACACTTAAAACGCAATAACTTCACTTCCAATAAATGAAATGTCATGAAATTTTTACTGGAAGTCGATAAAGGATAGCAGATTCTAACGCACTAGTTGACATATAGAGTTTGCTTTGTTACTTTTTTACTGTTTACTTTGGAACGTACCTTGTATATTTTCCCGAAATAAAATTATATACATTGAAATTCAAACTTACGTTTTCAAAAAAATACTACAATTAGTTTTATTGATATTGTTATTATATTATTCTCAAATATGGAGAACAATGTTTAATATATCTCCTAAATTGAACTTAAATTATATAATCATATACTATGAACTTGTATGCAAGTACATACTACGTACATACATAAAAACATGAAAGGCTTTAATTAATTTTTATCGCAGCTACTTAACCTAAAATCTAAAATTTATTTGCATTTTTATGGTGTTTGTTATTTTAGGAAGCGAAACTAAATAATAGCGAGCGAAATTTTTGCGTTGGTTACATATGCTATAATAAAAAGATAGTGAAACGTGAATGTATCAAGCATATACATACATTCCCTGTAAGAAATAGCCAGCATTATAAATGCTTATGATCAATATTAATGAAACAACGCAATTCTCTAACCGTAAATTGCTTTTGCTTTTATGCAGTAATAGTTTCTTGTTTATAGTTTTACAGTTACATTGCTGCAATTACCTAATTATTTGTGGTTTATGCAGTTAAAATATGATGTAATAATGCAATTGCATTGCATAATTATTTAGTAGTTGATAAATAACACGTACGAGTATGTGTGTATATGAGTGTCTATGTGCATTTGTTGCACATTTTTTTCGCATTATGGGTTGAAGTTCCTTCCGAGTACTTAAGGATAATAAATAAGAATTATAATTACTAATATAAACATAGTATTTAATATATTCTTATATAACTAAATATTTTTTACATTCGCTGCCAGAAAACAAAGAAAACAATTTGTCTATTTATTTGACGTTATTTTTTATTTGATGTTGCCTTTACAGTGGCATTTTTGCCAGTTAACACCTTAACATTAGATGTACCAGATTTTAACCACTTAGTCTTCTTAAATTTCCATAAATCTCTTTTCAAAGTGTTTTTGGGTCTTTAAATACCTAATGCTTCACGAGTTATTGCGTATTTTGCAACCTAAAGTTCTCAAATATCTTAAATCGAATGCGGGACAACCTTTAGGATGCACAATGCTGAGTTTTTAATAAGCTTGAACTGAGTTTTGAGAACGAGTCACTGTATATTAACATCGGAGACCTTTTAAGCTCCAAGAATAAGTACTCGGTAAACATATCATATTTGAGTTTCATCCTATTACTTGAATAACGGATTTGTGGACAAAATTTGCATAACAGAAATATTACTTTAAAGTAAAAATATCACTTTCCACAATGATAACTATTCAGATAAGTCTTAAGTCATTGCAGCCAATTTATTGTAAGACAATAAGCCGATCAAGATAAACTTTACTATGAAGTTTGTAACACCCAGAAGGAAACGCAGGAGACCTTATGTAGTATACATATGTATGTATAAATGTTTAGCGTGACCAGCTGAGTCGATTTAACCATTTCCGTATGTCTGCCCGTCCGACTGTCTGTATATACGCGAAGGTACTAACCTCAGTTTTTGAGATATCGATCCGAAATTTTGAACTCGTCCTTTTCTTCCCAATAACCTACTCATTTGTCGGAACCGGCGATATAAGACAACTATAGAATAGCTGCAGTACAAACTGATCAATCAATATCAAGTCCTTGGAAGAAACAACTTTTTTATTTGACAAAAAGTCTTCACGAAATGTGACCGGAATTATATTCCAAGACAATAGTACAATTTCCGAACATATCCTCTAAATCGGGCCACTATAAAATATAGCTGTAAAACAAACTGACCGAACAAAATCAAGTTCTTGTATGAAAATCTTCATAGTAGGTCTTTTTTGTTATATATATATTTATAAAAGACAATATGACTTGAAAGAAGTAGCAAACCCTTTTCCTTTGGCTGCTCACGTTTTTAGATTTAGTTATATGTATAAATGCTATAAGAAATGCAGTTGTTTATTATGGGTTCGGTGCAGCCAAGGAAATATTTTTTCTCGTTTTCTTTGATTATTATTATTAATTTGAGTTTTACATCCACTCCACAGATAAATAATGTTTATACTTTAATTATGGTTGGGAAGATCCCTTCATACTCACTTCACCAACTTTGTCGAGTTACAGACTTCAGGGGTTCAACTTCTAATTTTAATTTTCTATACTACTTGATTGTTCAGATTTAGTAAACAGTTTGTTAACCGTCAAAATCTATGGTGTTGCGACAACGGTTAACTTATAAAAATGATATCGCTTGCGGTGATGGTTTCATTAAATAGTGGATTTTAAATGTCTGAGTATACCATATATATATGTACAAGTATATATGTTATATAAGCCTATACATATTTAATCAATTTGTAGTTTAGTTAGGGTGACCGTTAGTTTCGGAGATCGTCTATAAGCAAAGAAATGTGAATATGAATAAACATTCTTAATCCGTTTGTTATAAATATTACTACGAAATCCTGAAACATTAAAGTGCCTTTTAATAAACTAAAATGCGTAGAACATAGAAATCTGCACACATATACAAACACATATATATGTATTTCATTTATTGGTTTATTTGTATTTAATGTTCTATAGTAAGTGACATCTGCTTTTGATGTTGTTACAAGCTAATATATATGCATATGTATGTGTATACATAGCATAAGTATAAGCTGAGCATGTGCGTTGAAGCAAGCAACGGCTTCTTATAATCATCATACGCACTGTAGCACCTCGAAACTCAAGGGAAACGAACCTTTGCTAACATTTAATGAGAAAATATGTGGCACATTATGATGCACAACAAAATATTTAGTATGCAGCGAACATAAACAAATGTTTGTTAAGGCGCATGTGCGCTGAATGAGTGTGAATAAAGTCATATGTTTTTCGTTTTTCAGCATTTGTTATCCTACACAGATGGAGACAGGAACATGGCAGCAAGCTGGCAAGCGGCTCGGAATGTTTTTAAATAATATATGTTCGCACTACACATAGTGTGTGTGTGTAAGTGTATTTATATGTATATTTAGCAGTAACAATGTCAGTATGGAACTTCGGACAGCACGTGCACAAAATAGTTTGGATAGCCGAGACTTTGAGTGGCAGACGTACTGTGTGTGCACACACGCACACACCTATACTTGTACGTACCGTGTTTGTTGGCCGCTAAGCAGTTTTCTGGCCGCCCGTACGAAGTGTAGCAAATATCAAATATAAAAGTCAAAATGTTACGAATTTCCAATGCATGCGCATCAAGCGTTCGCTGAATGTAACAAGGCCGACAGGCTGCGCAGCCGATTCATAGGCATAGCGCAGGTAGGCGCACACGAAAAGGACAGCGACATGGTGCACGAGCAGCGTGCAGCAGTAGCCGCACGAAGGAGGCACGAATTCAGCTGAGCTGAGCGAATGTTGGTTACCGTCGTGTGGCGAGAGCAGCTCGTTTCGTTTACTTGCCCAGGACCAAGTAAGCGACTGGCTGTGCAAGCTGGCAACGGTTAGTTCGAATAAGGACGTGAACAGCGATGAATAGCAACGGTGCCGCATAGCCGACGGTGGAGCTAACGAGTCGCAGAGGGATACCAATAGGGATTTTGCTTAAACAAGTATCATGAATTGATTAAAGTGTAGCAAAAGGTGACAGAAAAGTGGCCAAGGTGTAAAAATAATAAATCAATGCACTGCAGTTCCAGTAAAAAGTGTATAAATAGCAATAAATAGATGCATAGAGGGCATGAATAGTTTAGTAGGCGCTCAAGTGTGAAATAAAGTATTATAAATGTGTATATGTATACGAGTGGGTACATATATGGGTGCCTCTATTCTTACACATACATACATACGCATTGAAAATACGTGTGGGTGTGAATGCGCAATCATTTCCATCACCATACAAATCTTATGCAGTGCTCTAGCGTACATGCGTGTGTGTGGATGTGTGTGTTGCACAAATAGTGTTAAGTTTTGCCAATTAGATTTAAATATGCTCACACAGAACGAAACTTCGCAGTGCTCAGTTTTCTTATACCCAAAATTGGTACACCCAAAATGTAAATGATTTGCATCGATTGCGAAATAAATATTATATGAATTCGAAGCAAGCAAAAAATAACAACAACAACGCGCATAATTCCTTCCAATTCTATTGGAATGGTGTTAGTGCTATTCTTTGATCATTTGCGTTGGCGGTGCGACCCTCGAAATTGTCAGATTAAAAATTTATTCGCGAGCAGTACGGGGCATGAGTGGATACACCCGCGTCACAACTACCAAACGACCCCACACTTACACGCACACACCAATAGTGTACAACTTGGTCAAATGTGTGCTCGTTTTTTGTGGACGCATGGAATAAGGAAAAGTTGAGATCCGCAGCGCTCAACTGCTCTTTCCTGTGCACATTAACGAATTTGTGTTATGGTTCGTTAGATCCTGGCGAAAGACGAACAAGAGCTAAATGCTAAATAAAGTGAAACAAAAACAATAACAAAAACAAATGCACGTAACATAAGCGTACGCCATAAGAATTGAAAGTGATTGTAGAAAAAATGGAAAGTGTTTCTTTATTTTTATTATTTTATAGCAAAAGAGATTTGTGAAGTTTTATTAATAATTCAAGCAAAAATCAAAATTTAATAAATGAGTTTGAGGGTAAAATATATGAAATTTAATTGGCAAATTTTTATCTTTATTTATAAATAGCTGCATGCATTCGTATATATTTATAAAACTATGCCTGTGAAAATATATTTATAGTTCTGCATTGCAATCTTAGCCCATCGACACAGATTACGCCATTGCGCTGGCGTCATTAATTATTAGGCACCCACTTGAGCTAACTTTGGAGTTTCGAGTTGTTGTGCTAGCGCAACGAGAGTGTTAAGTAATGAAAAGACAGTTTGTTACATATACATATACACCTTGTATAGCTATAAATTTAACCAAGAAGCGGCTCGAAATTTAAAATTTTAATATATGAAAAATAAAAAAAAAATATTCTCAACCAAAGTATACTTTAAAACATCAAAATTCATGCACGTGAATATTTACAATATGAAAATTGTTTGTATAAAAAAAAAAAGATAAGTAAATATTAGAATATAAATTTCCCTTTTTACAGAGCATTTAATAAAATAAAGTGTGCGTGTGCGAGCGTAGCAGCGTTTCGGTTCATATCAAATCTATGCTGTTATGTATGTATTACATACATATGTGTGACTTCATAGATAAAAATTGCAAACCGTTATTTGTGCGGCAATTCAAATGTACACTTGTCTTGGATGGCAAACGACGCCTCAGTAATAAGCCACAACAACAAAAGCAACAATCAACTATAGTGGATACGCGGATTCGCGCCGTTTCAAAGCAGTGGGCCACGCAACGCACGGACATAATTGTGGCTGCGTCGAATCTTGAAACTCAATTCTTGCACCCTCGTTGGCATAAAGCACAAAGGTAAGTGCAAAGACACTTATATTTATGTACATGTGTATGCTGTTACGCTTTGCATGTAAATATGTATAGTATTTGTATGTACGCATATGTACAATAATATAAGGACAACGAACTTTTACTTATTGACAAACATACAAATGAGCAGGAGAGTACAAATATATGTATGCATTTGTAGGCACAGATCTGTGGCCGTTAACACATATTCATTTTTACACATCTGCATGTGTGCATAAATTCAAATGCATCTTATGCCATGTAGCATACATGTAGAAATTTACATCAGCATACCTACACAATCACACTCGCACAAACACGCACAAAACCACACGCATACTCGTACATGCCATTAAACACTTTATAGGCAACGAATTCGTGCTAAAGTATAACTGGAAGGATTTTAAACACTTTGTCTCGCCCACATGTCAATACTCGCATTAATTCACCTAAGGCTGTGTGCTTTTGTGCACAACACTCGTCTTCGCAGTGCATATGTGCACTCGTGTATTGAAGAGAGCGGCAGCAAGTAAGAGAGACCAAACTTATCAGTTGTACATTTGTAAGATTTTTGCTTTTTGTATTTTATTTACTTTTATTTGTTTACTCAAGTACTTAGTTATGGTCGTCTATTTTCAGATAGAAATTTTTAAAATCTTTCGCTGCTACATCGAACTCGTGTACATCAAACACTTATACTCACACACACACATACCTTATTCATATGCTTGCGGAGCATGAAAGGCATCGTAGGACACACCTTACTGTCTCCGACTTTTTATTTAACACATTAGTACTGTGTCCAAATGGTTGTATAATACTATAAGTGGGGGTTGTGAAGTCATGTTTTCATACCGCCAATGCATATAATATGATATGAAGCTCAGCAATCTTTAACTCTGAATAAAACAACTGGTGGGAGCATATTCTAAGCCCAACATACTGTGGTTGTTTTTAAAATGCTAATACTGTATGGCTCTTGGCGCTTTCATGTTCCAGATATTTGCATTTAATACGGTTCAGATGCTGAGAAGCTAAGTGGAATTGCTATTAAATGTATATATGTGTATATGATAGTAATTGCAGTTAGTATGTGTTTATAGTAGTTTGCTTACGAAATAAAGGATTTGTCTCCTTATAAAAGAAGAAGATCGATCAAAATTACTCAAAAGTTTCCTTTAAAGCTCGTGTGAAATTTGTTTTTTTCTTCCTTATTTAATTTTACCTGGCGTTTTACTGTCGGCTTACACTAAGTTCGCTCTACCGCGGCAGCCATTTCGAAATCGTACTATATATGTATTTGATGAAACAATGTCATTATAGTACTTAAAACGAACTTAGAAACATAGTACTTCATATTATCATATATATCGATAGTTTCGAAATCATATTCAGAAACCCATGTCTCGTCACCAGTAATGATGTGTTTAATGAATGTATTATGCTCAGATACGTTGTCAAACATCTATTTTGTGACATGTACTTGATTTTTGAGCTTTTGGTATGAGTCTACTATTACCATGCCTCCTATCCAAAACATTTAAAGAAATGTGTTGAGTCGGTCCATAAGAGATGTTGAGATCATTTGCTATCTCCCCGATGCGAACACGATGACTTTCAAGTACAATTTATTAAATTTTTTATTAAGTAATCGTTTGTTAACAGAGGTCGATGGATGGCTCGCATGAGGCAAGTTTCTGATGACTTCACGACCATCACTGAATGCCTTGTGTCATTCAAATTTTTGAGTTCGTGATGAAGTAGACTCCCTGGAACACTTCTGCAACATTTTCAACGATTCCACAGCCGTGAATCTATTGGAAACACAAAACTTTAAGCAAACTCGTTGTTCAATTTTTTCGTGTTAAACTTATAACTGCCGAACACACACTAATTGCTATGTGGATATCAAGCTTCACACGAACATAAGAAAAAGTTGTATCAAGCTAGAAAACGAAATTATTAGTCGATTCTGTTTATACGCGCAGTTAAAATGGACCAGTCCAGCTCAAATGATCAGATGGATGGCTAATTTTATTCCATTGATACTATATTAATTTGATTTACAATACAATATAGGATTTTGCAGATTTTCAATAAAATCAATGAATATGAAAATAATATATGAATAAATTTTTGATTAATAATAACGAAATAATAATATGGAAAATTAGACATCAATAATTATTTATTGACCTAAAATATTAAGAAAGACTGTCGACTTGCTAAACAAAGTTTCATTTCATATTTACTTTCCACTAGACTACATTTTTTAACAAACTTCTCAAACACCACTAATTATATAAAATAATTCTTTAGGGAGTATAATGATGCCACCACTGGTGGTTTCAGTACACCAAAATTACATAAAACTTTTATTTTACTCTTGTTGTGTTAGACTACCTCGCCTTGTTAGCTGCATGGAGCACAACTTATCACCGCTTAATTTGGGTTGCTGGGGAGTCAAAATAAATTGAGACATATTTTTTGTTAACCCTTGTACCAAAAATGTAATGCTTTAAATAAATCTTAATTAGGATTACTCTTCTTTCAAGGGCGAGACGCTTAACACACATACATACCTATCTAAATTATTTGATTTATACGGAGTATAAAAGTTCTATATAAATGTCAATAAAGGTAGACTATTTCATCTGACTCAATTATACTAACATTTAGCTTCACTAGCTCGGCGTGTTTATTGTTATTTTTTGCACATTGTTTCACTATTTCGTTTGACTTTTGATTGTTTGATTTGTTTATTTTTCGACTAAATTTTAAAATGTTATCTTAAGCTCTGGCTATAAGAATGAAATTGAATTAAATACGAGTGAGTTTTGTGAAGCGGTCACAAATGTAGGAAACCCTCTTTTATGAAAAACGTAATCAGGTCTACAATACTAGATGCAATGAATATTGTGAGTGTGATAAGCAAGTACTAGAATACACTATTGGTAAAATGACGAATGATATAACAGAGTTTTTAGAAATAGTAAGCATAATTTAATAAGACGATGGCCAGCAAGCATAAGTTTTTTTATTATGAAATCATGAAAATAAAAATCGCGAAATAAATAAAATTTCCTTCAGAACCCTTGAATATGTTGAGAAAGCCGCATTGTTAACCGTAATATTTTGAAGTGACGCTTAAAAAATCGATGGGTGCTTTTTAATGCAGAAAAACTTTTTAAGCAAACTTCTGAAATTGTCCGCTTGTTGGGAATCAGAAGCCAAATTGCTTTTGCAATCGAATCACGTACGAGATACGCAGTAAACATCGCTATAGCTCCAAGGCGTGTCATCATCGTACAGCATTGCGCAACATTCCCATGCATTCCTGGCTAAATTTAAAGGACAACCAACCACACTCACACCTACCTCGCTGCCCGACTACCTACCCGCCAATCCGGCAAGCTGCCTACCTAGAAGGCAACGGAACTGGAGCTAACCAAACCCCGAAACCAGTGCAGCATCAATCACCGCAAGGTGGTTACATTGCCATAAGCCTCAACTCTTGAGCAAACATAAGTACATAAGTACACATTCAATGGTATGAATGCATATACATAAAAGTGTTTGTGTGCTTCAACGTATGTATGTGTGTGAGTTCAAGTGAATTCTTGCAAGCATAGAAATAATAAAAAGAGCAGCAATACTATACTCTGTACAGACATAAAGTACTCATATAGTGGGAATGTGTGTTGCATATTGGTTAGTAATTTACAGTTTGTCATTAAAAAAACGTATTTAGAATAGTTTTTAAGTAAATAAAAACATTTTTTGCTTGAGACTAAAAGTTTAAGTTTCTTCGCTGAGTAAACGAGTATGTATTAAATAAGAAGTGTTATTTTAGGTGTGACTTTAGGTATAGTCTGTTAAGAACGGTATATGAAGTGGATAGAAGAGTATTAATCCTAAAGTTCTTATTATCAGCAAATAAATTTTCTAACTTTATATAAATATTTATTTAAAAAAAAATTTTTATTAAAATATTTATTTACAAAAAGAATCGTTTTTTTCGATAGCTTTAAAATTTTAATGGTAGATTATACATATCGCTCGAACTAGGATTTTTAATTTATTGAATAGTTTTTTTTCATAAAAAGTTAATTTTTAAACATTTAAAAAATTCAACTTTCAACATTTGTAAAAGATTTAGGTTTGATTTTAGATTAGCCAGTCTGCAATAATCATTGGCGCCGTTTGCCTACCTTTTTTCTGCATGAGTGCCTGTGATAAATTTACTAATTAACAAAATATTTTTACTTAAAAAATTCAAAATTACAGCTAAAGGCTTAATAAATTTATAGTAAAAATCTGTATTTTCTTATTTCACTATAAGAAATTCCGAAAAACCTTAAGAAAAACGGGTGTCACACGGGATGAGTGATAATAAATAAATGATATCAGCCAAGTTCTATGATAGTATACTCGTAGTATATAACTAATATAGTTTACTCATTATGAGATGGATAAGAGATGTTTTCAACGAGACTAGCAAAAATGCAGTGCACCTAAAACTAGGTTTACTTAAACGACACTAACGAACAAAAGTAAAATATTATTCAGAACTATTTTCTAAAATGAAACCTAGCGGTAATACAGTTTTCTTATAAAAAAAAAATGTTACGTATACGCTCCACCCCGAATTAGTATGTACATATATGACCGTATTAATCATACGCCCAGGATCTTATGGTATTATTATAGTATATTAAGTTTGCCACGAAGTTTGTAACACCCAGAAGGAAACGTCGGAGATCCTATAAAATATATACATAAATGATCAGCATGATAAGCTGAGTTGATTTAGCCACGTCCGTCTGACTGTATATATACAAACTAGTCCCCCAGTTTTTGAGTTATCGATCTGAAATTTTGCACCTGTCTTTTCGTCGCTAAGAAACTGCTCATTTGTCGGAACGGCCTATATTGGACCACTAAAGCATATAGCTGCCATACAAACTGAACGATCGGAATGAAGTACTTGTATGAAAAACTTTATCAGTTAACAAGTTATCTTCACGAAATTTAGCATGGATAACTATTTAAGTCAATATTTCAATCTCCGAAGAAATTGTGTAGATCGGATGACTATAGCATATAGCTGCCATATTAAGTGAACGATCGGAGTAAAGTGCTTTTTTATTTGATGAGGTATCTTGTCTAAGGCAACAATATATTCTCCGGAGAAATTGTTTAGATCAGATCCCTATATCATATAGCTGCCATACAAATTTAACGATCGGAATCAAGTTCTGTGAAGAATATTATAGCTTTATAATTCAGAAAAAAAACAAGAAATAACGTTAACTGCGGTTGCACCGAAACAATAATACCCTTCACAAATACAAAAGATTCCTTGAAAGAGTTTAATTTAGATTGGTCAGTTTTTATGGCAACTATATCCTATAGTGACCCGATCAGACCAATTTCTTCGAAGATTTTACAATTGCCTTAGACTACCTTTTGTGAAGTTATCTCGTCAAATGAAAAAGTTTTCCGGGTTTCGATTCCGATAAATGAGCAGCTGCTTGGGGCAAAAATGACGCTCGGTGTTGCAAACATCGGGACAAACTTAATCTCAAGGTACATTATTCAGGGTATAATTAGCAACATTAATCTTAAAAAATAACCAATTTTCATTTTAAACAAGAAACATCAACAAATTTGAAAAAAAATATATATTTTTAAATATTTATTAGAATGAAGTATTATTTTAAGGTTTGTAAAGCATCACGTCAAGATTTGTAATTTATTGATGGGTGGGTAAGCAGCATGTTTTTGTTTACTGTATAGTCAATAAGACGATTCTCAAATGCAACCAGTATGTAGATTTTTCTCCTGAAAGCTGGTAAAATTAATATGTATAATAGAATTGTACTTCATTATTTCTTAAAGGAACGTATTATTATTATTTAAAAACAATGAAAATGAATTGTTAAATATTTACATTCAAATATTAGTTTATTAAAGGTACTCGCAATTGATCACTTGACGCATTGTTATTGGCGCTCTTGTGCTAGACACCAATTTTTTATCAAGATCAAGAAACTAAATGTTTTGTATACTGACCTTAACTAGTACACCTTACAAATTACATACAAGTATTTAACAATCATTGTTGTTCTAAGATAGCGTAATGTACATAATTATTTAGAAAATGGCAATAGAGAGCGAAGATATAGAGAGAGGTAATAATTTACCATCAAAGACGAATTGTTTTAAAGTAGGAGCACCTTCTTTTATTTATATTTTTCGTCGTTATATTTTAATGTAAAAATTATGTGTTGATACTTCAAATTGTTATTGTTGATATAATTTGTTGGCTTCATATGTTTTTGAGCATTTATTCTCATTTTCTGTAAATTTATAATAATTTCACATAATTTAATTAATAGTAACTTGACATCAAATGTTTTGTACTCGTTACTAGCTCCTCACAGGGTGACCCCTACACAAAGTATGTTAACTACTCAAAATACAGGTTAATTGAAATAATATATATTAGGGTGGGTAAAAAAGCGAATTTTATTTTCACTTGGTATTTTGAAAAATAGGTTCTTAGACACCTCTAAGAAAATCTCTCCGAGTATGAACTTTTAATTGTAACGGGAAGGTTCTCCCTCTTACTGTTTTCTTTTTTTCCTAATTATCAGAGAGAAAAATTAATATCTCGTTTCCAACTACTTGAAAAAATATCTCGTTTCATAGATTTTGTGGGAAACTGAATGATCTACAAAATGGAATGTAGAGCAGTAAATTTCTTACAAGACTGTGAGTTTTACAAATTGAAATTATTTTTTTTCATTGAGTTATGAAATTCATAAGAAAAAAAAATTGCCTTAAAATAATCAAATTCAACCGCTAATATCCATTTTTCGTCTTTTTTTTTGACCAACCTAATATATATACTTATAATGTGTATGTCTATCTACATATATGTATATTCCGCACAATTATGCAACTGGGCAGACACGAGTGTCTCGTTTAAAGGGAAATACAAAAGTGGACACAATTAATCCACTTTCAATTTCCTTTTGACTACTAACTAAAATATATGCTAATTTCTTCAAATTGTGTGTATATGAAGCACATAACCTACCATTGTACTATATATGTATGTAAGTGCCTGCTCTAGCTGAGCTAGTGAATTTTCATTGAAAATTATCGATTCGGCAAATTAATTGTATTATTAAATATTGAATGCCACCCATACGTATGTATGTATATGTATATTATGTAATAGCAATGCTTGTATGCGTAAGTTTATGTGTTTGTATAGGTATTTGCTTCGCTCAACAATTATTTTATAAGGATCCTTATAGTTTCACTGCCACTTTCAAAACAAACTTCAGCTACAGTATGGTGCAACATTTATAAGTACATACTTAGCAATCGCCAATGTTAACATCACGAGCCAACGATTTCTATCGAATGGATATTTAAAGGAGAACAGCTTGAAAAGTAAATTGGTCGGTACTCGCAACATATACTCACATACACATAGCCACACAAACAAACATCTATAAACGTATATGCAATAAAAAGAAAAAAATGAATAAAGAAGGTAACAACAACAAAACAACAAAAAGCGCACAACATTTAAATAATCATTCTCCAACGATTTCTCGCCTGCCTTTAATACCTTTCACTGTGGCCCCATTGTAAAGCGTTTGTGGACGCTACTTTTATTGTTTGTTAGTTGAAAAGGCGGCGGTATTGTTGTTGCAAGGCAAATGGTGAATTTGATGGCATCATTTGTTGGCGAGTTCCTGTTAAGTTTAGTGCACTTAATACCCTCGCCTCGACTAAGCCACCCGCAACAGCACCGGCACCGACACCGGCACTTGCTCTGACTCTGGCTTTGGCACTGGCAACGGCTCCAGGCTCAGACTTCGACGTCGACTACTGCAGCATCAGTGGCTGTGCTGGGTGCATGAGGTGTCTCTCCTTCCACCTTGGCGGTCACTCCGAACAGCTGCTGGCTGAATAAATGAAGCGTTTTGATATAACAAACACAAAGAAGGCTGCAGGATGTGCAGAGAGCAGGATATTTAAGCAATTGAAAGCAGGCGCGCTCGATTCGCTCAACCACAATGGCAGACCAACACCAAATAGCCACCAACACAAACACACAAACACCAGCTTCGGCAGTTGATCTCACTCCTATCTTCCCACCGTTTTGCACCGTTTCCGGCTGTTTGACTAAATAACGGTGCGGCGTAAGCTGAATAAAGTTTGTGAATGCGCGGTGACTGTAGCAAAATGCACTCCATTGTGAAGCACCGAGCGACCGCAGGGAATTGCTGTCAATTATAAATGTGGGTGCCCACAATGGCATCTTAGCCAGCCGGCAAAGGACGGCGTGAAAGTGGCAAACTTTGGACGATTTCAATTTAATGCAGAATACATTCGGTATTTGAGAATTTGAAAAAGTAAATGAAACCGTTTACCTAAACTGAATTCACGAACTCACACACACACAAACATAGCCATATGCTAGTTATTTTTGTATCAACTGAAATGTTATTTACATACACACTCGTTTTATAGATTTAAAGAAGGTTAATTATTTTGTTGCTGCTGTTTAGCCCAAACTCATTATGGTAATTAATGTGTTTATGATTTTGTTTCGCAGATGTTTGGTTACACTGGCAAATGGGGTACTTGGTTCACACTGGTTCTGGTACAGTTGGCGATTATGCTCGGCTTTGCCTGCCGTGTCTCTGAGTTTCCTTGCAAAGGCAACAACAATATTTGCATACCGCTGGACAAATTCTGCGACGGAAGAGCGGATTGTGAGGACAACAGTGATGAGCCAAAGCATTGTTCGGGTAAGTAATATATCAAAAAACACGAAAATATGTTAATAATACCCTTCACAAATACAAAATATTCCTAACAAGGATTTGATTTTGATCGATCAGTTTGTATGGCAGTATATGCTATAGTGCTTCGATCTGAACAATTTATTCGGAGATTGCATTGTTGCCTTGGATAATAATCCATGTCAAATTTCGTCAAGATATCTCTTCAAATGAAAAGGTTTTCCATAAAGCAATTTATTCCGATCGTTCAGTTTGTATGGCAGCTATATGATATATAGGTCCGATATCGGACCTTCCGACAAATGACCAGCTTCTTAGCGAGAAAAGGACGGGTGCAAAATTTCTATCGATATCTCAAAAACTGAGGGACTAGTTGACAGACAGAAAGACAATTGACTCAGCTCGTCACGCCGATCGATTATTTATGTATATATGTATATACTTTTTGTATTTGTGACGTTTCCTTTTTTCCTATTGTTCAGGGTATAATAATAAAATAAAGTCTAACGTGCCAAATATGTAGTGAGTACCATTCAAAATTATATTTTAAGAGATCACAAATGCAATTATTAGCTGCTTTAAGAAAAAAAGAGTCATACACATGCATATGCAAATGAAGATAAGTTATAAGCTCATCTAGTAAGAGTTTTCTTAGTTATTTTTAGCAATACCACATATCATGAATAGAAAAAGGTGATTTCTGAGTTTCATAAAGGTATATCACCAATATAGGTACATGTATAGAGTAGAGTCACTTTAGAGTGATAAAAGCTTTCTCCCTATTTTTAACGTTAGAGGCAGAAAGATACACTATTATTAGAAAAAGATACTCCCCGCTAAGGGATATATTGACCCAATTCAACCCATTTTTGACATACAGACATACTATTATAAAAAGTCAGAAATAGGCACTAGAGTCCACATATTCGGTATATGGGAGCTTGAACAGTTATGGACCGATTTCGACAATATTTAGGCGCCATATGTTATACCTTAAAGGCACTATTTGTACGAGGTTTTATACCGATATATTCGTTTTTTCTTGACTGGTATACAGAAAAGTGAAGGAATCAGATGGCATTCAAAGTTGCATACATATGTTAAGTGGGCATAATTGCAGTCCGATTTCACCCATTTTCACGCTGTAGCACAGGATAGTGCTAGCTACCGAGTTTGGTTGAAAGTGTTCAAGTACTTTTAGGAGTTTTTAACGAAAACCTACGCTACCTAACACTGCTGCAAGAAGTGTTGAAATTATTTGTACTGTGTGAATTTGGGTGTTATAGCTTGAATGGCTTTGAGGATATATACATTAAACCTATTAGCGGACGGGGCCACACACACAAATTACAGTTTTGTATCTTAGTTTTCGTTTTCGTTTAATAGCGTTTTGTGGGCGTGGCAGTGGTCCGATTACGCCCATCCACAATACCAACCTTCTTATTCTAAGTTTTATCAAAATGCCTTTATTTTTACTCAAGTTACAGCTTGCACGGATGGACAGACGGACAGATAATCACACGGATATCAACTCGTCTCGTCATCCTGATCATTTATTTATATAAAACTCTATGTCTATCTCGATTGGTTTTAGATACAGACAACCGTTAGGTAAACACTACTATTATGCTTTGTTGCAACATGTTGCAAGAATATAAAAGTTCGAACTACTTTTGCTCACAAACAAACAAAGAGCGTTAAATGTAAACCCAAGTTGTGAAAATATGATTAAAATAAATGCACTTTAAGTCAACAAGTAAAATACTGGAGTGGTATTGATTGGCTGTGGCTCATATACCAGGCGGGACATAATCTAAAAATATTATATATAAAAGATTCCCAACAACATTTCGGCATCCAAAAGTTTCTAAAGAAAATCAGCAGTGGTTCATAAATACTTTAAAATTCACCTAACCCGTTCTTATTCTATCAACGGCAAGAAGCGAAGAGAACCGTTTACAAATTTTAGGCTGCATCAAGAAATTGCCTCCTATAAAATAAGAATTGAACTTACGATTTGATTGAAAAATCATTGTAAAGCACTAATTTTATATATATGTTACGACCGCATTGCCACACATATCATTTTAACACATAAATAATTTATTTTCAATTTGCAGTTTGCAACCGAACTTATTATGGTGACGTTGGCCGCACCTATACATTAAAGGTACCAACACCACAATGGAACCGACTGCCTTTTTTATGTCACTTAACATTCACAGCTTCTGGGCGTGAACAAGGCGATATTGTGCAAGTAAGTATACTATTGAGTATCGCTTTCAAATTTACTGACTATTTATAAACTCATACAAACCAATGTGAGCATTCACAAATGCTTATGCATGCATATATATACATATATACTTGTATGTGCTCCATTTGGCCTGAATATTCTAAAGAGTCAGAAATAAAATTTTAAACTATACCTTTACCAACACCTGGGCACACAATTGCAACTTACATCGATATATTCCATTTACATACACTCACACACTTACTTAAATTCATATGTAAATATACAAACACTCGCAGATATATGTGTATGCGCATGTGCTATTGTGCATTACTAATATCCTTTGTTACAAACCACCTTAAATAAACCTGGATTTTTAATGCGCTAGGCTCAACCAGTGAATTTTTACACAATTCAAACCAAAATAATTACAACTTTTACATTTCTTCAGATTATTTTCGATAGCTTCACAGTGGGCCGCTTTGATGAGGGCATGGTCGACTCAGATATTGAAGGTTACGAGAGTAATGTTAACCCCGTGGGCGAATTGCCGGGTTGTCCGGAGGGTTTTATGCAGGTGAGTTTCCATTTAATTGCATTCTGAAAAATATTTTGTTTTTAATTTCAAATTATTTATTGCAGCTAAGTGAACTGGGGCGTCCATTCACAGGAGGCTCTTGGTGTGGGAAAGCCACTGGCCCACAATTGTATTTTAGCGAAACAACAACAGTAACAGCGTCTGTTAAAGTAAGTAAAACTAAATGCATTGGAATGTAAAATATTTTTAGACTTTAAATGTGAATTAAGTTATTTTAATTATTGTTATACCCAAGCTGAATATTATAAGTAGATGCAGATTGTAGATGAAAACGTTTAGTGAAAACATTCTATTCACTGATCTTTGAAATCGCAACAAGTGAGAGGAATTTCAAAAAGTAATTTCAATAAGACAACTGAAAATAAAACAAAACTATCAGCTATCAGCTATATATAAAAAGGTTTAGAACTAAATAAATTGTAGATAAAATATAACATTAATTAAAAAATTTGAAATGAACTGGGCTTTTTGTATATATAGACCGCTGAATAAATCAGAAAAAACCATACAAAAATTTCTGCCTCACACTTAAAATATCATTCACTTTATTTACTATTTTTTTAAATTCCATAAAAATAGTTGTCACTTTATGTTTTCTTTCTGCCATTTTCTCAAATATTTATTTAACTATATTTGTAGGTATTTCATCCGCCCAAGAATATACATGATGAAAAGCCATTTGAATTTAAAATACGATACAAATTTATCAGTCAAACCGATGCTGTAGTTAGGTACGTATGTATACACGAATGGTTATAAGATTCTTTTAATACAGTTTTATTCTATGGCGTAAATATTTTTACAAAATCGTCTAAAATTTAATCGCACACACGCATATTTAACGCTATTAATTGTTTTGATTTTGAACAACAGATATGGTTTGCCTGATAAGCCTTTGGAATTGGGACGCGTAACACCCGGCACTTATTGTACACGCCAATTCGATGAGTGTTATCGCAATAAATGCCATTTGCAGAGTCCAAATTATCCGGGAATGTATCCGAGAAATGTAACATGCTATTGGACTATAAGGCAAAAGGAGGTGCCGACTAGTAAACATGCCATGATTGCCGTTAGTCAAGAAAATCAACACAAAGCTCTCGTCAAAAGGTAATTATAGTTATTTAGCTATAATAAGCTGAATAAGGCTGAAGCTATTACGTGTTATCAGTTAATTCTGAATACTTGTATTGTATTACACATATTTTTATTGTCTGATTAGATCTATTGCGAGCTTCAACAAAACTTCACGTTCCATTCGGGCGTGGTCGGACTGTACAGGGGAACGTGATCATCTAATTTTCTATGATGGCAGTTCAACGAATGATCCGGTTTTGGCCAAATACTGTGGTGGCGATTGGTTGCCACGTGTGGTATCACGGTAAGTAAAGGGCATACGGAAAATTTTTTTACTAAAATCACTGTGATAAATCGGCTTTTGTTTATGCTAGTTTTCATGCCCAATCTGAAATTATTTAGTGGGGAATTATTAATTTTTAGCGTTGTGGTCACCATAAATATTTGTGGTAGTTTCAAAATGATTATCCAGGTGTTAAAGAGCCCGAAAAGCTAATTTGGTTGCATTTGTTGTTAGAGTAATATAAACCGCTACCTAAATACTTTTGGGGAATTACGAAATTATGATAAGTCCGTAATCGGATATAAGTAAGTAAGGAGAGTACTTACAATGTATATGTGGATATTCATAAATTCCAATAGCAATGCTGTTTGCGAGCTTCTCAATTCGGTCTGATTCAGTAACCTCTTTAAAAAATTACCATTCGCAAAAACAAAAAGACTTTATCAATTTTTTATTTCCAGTGGCCCAGAAATGTTGGTTGCATTCCATTCCAGCCCCTTTTCAGCGCCTCTCCAACAAGGTGTGCCTAATCGCGGTTTTGAACTTGATGTCGATATAATTTTCACAGATTCAGACTCGTACGATTTTGCACAAGGCACAAAGAATACATGCGAGTTCCATATAAATGCAACAAATCCAGGTGAGTAAAGTAAAATATATCATGCTGAAATTATAGTTAAAATTTAAAATGTTTTTTTTGTTTTAATGAAAAAATATATTTATTTTACGTTTTAAACGAAACTGTACTGATATATGAATTATAAAGTTCTTAAAATTGAATTATAAAATAACTTACATATACTTGCTGTAGATGACGTGCTATTTTCACGGAGAGGGCGTATGGGTCGCATCGTAAGCCCACGACATACTCTACCACCGAACACAACATGCACATACCACTTTCACGGCTATCCAGGAGATCTGATTTGGCTATCGTTCACAAGTTACAACCTGCAAATATTGCAACAAACTATCCATGACAACAACACCCTAGGCAGGGTAAGTATTAACTCTATTTTAAACTGCCTCCTAAATATTTACCCATAACTTCGTTAACACTTTAGGCTGATCTGCCACCTTGGATAACACGACTGAGAATGTGGGATAGTTATGGAACATATGTTTCTTCGAAAACCACAACAACAACCGGACTACCACCCTCACCACCACCTGTAGTATCATCCGCCGCCGGGGGCAAGCCGACAACGCTAAATCAAAGCTCTTATGGCAACTATTATTACAGCGCTCAAAATCCGAAGTTGGGGAAGAATATACGCGTAAATATAGATAATGCATGGAACCCTGTGGACACATACATTTATGGGCCAACACAATCGAGCATTTTTAACAATGAAAATAAATATAGTGGTTACCAGCAAGCTGGAGCTGGGGCAGGGGGAAAGCAAAGTGGAGGTGTTGTGAATGGTGGTATAAGTGGCATTAAGGAGAGTCTGAATTATATTTCCGGTAGTAGTAGTGGTAAAAGTAGCAAAGACGCGACGTCAGCCGAAAAGACTTCAGTTTCGTTGATGAGCTCTAAGGGCAAACGACGTCTTATGTTGGAAATATACGACTATGAGACACCCAAATTATGTGACCATACTGCCATTAGCAATAACGCGCTGGGTTTCAATAAATTGAGACCCTGCAGTCCCTTGGAGAGCTATGTCAGCTCTGGACGGGATTTGGTAAGTGAAATAGTACATAGTTTGTAATAATTTTAAATTATTTAATAAGAAACTTTTTATATTGTGCGAATTCTACTCAATATATACACAAGTACATGTGTGCCCTCTTTTTGCAGAAATTGGAGTTCCACACTCACACCGGCACTGCCCTTTTCCCTGCTCAGTTTTCTCTTAATTATGAATTCGTCGACACTGAGCAAGGTGGTGAACCATGGCCGGGACGTCGTGGTGAGGACCCTGTACCTCCACTGTGTTCACGTGTATTCCGCAAGCGTAAAGGCAATATACAAGTGCCACGAAACGTATTTCTCTATGGACGAGGTGGTGCCAAAAACCTGACTTGTCTGTACCGCTTTGAGGCTGGTTCATCGGAGCGAGTGCGTCTGGTTTTACATAATGTCACATTTGGCGAGGGAACTACGTGTACAACAGATTCGGATCTACACACTGGACGCCCCCGTTGTAATCAACTGGACCCAGAAGGACGTATCACGGAATTACGCCTGTTCGATGTGCCATTTCGTGATGTAAAAATACAATTGGGTTGTTTCTGTGACAACTCCAGTACTCTTTATAGCAATGCACCGTTAACATTTATATCCAACTCACGTGTTATGGAACTAACATTTACCGTTAATCGTTTAAATATATCGGAAGATTTTGCAGATGTTTTCTTTTTCGCTTCATATGAATTCAAACGAGTTAGTGAATGTCGCAAACGTCTAAAACTGAAAGGATCCGGGGGTGAAGATGAAATTAAGTACCCAATGAAATCACAAGACTCAAGTTGTGAGGGTCTCTCTTGGTGCATAGAAGCACAAACATTGGAGCATTCACTCTTCGTGCAGACTTGGGGCTCTTATTTACCCATTGATCCCACGTCAGAGGATGCAATGCGTTGTCACACAAAAAATCGTTTAATTATATATGCTGGACGGCCTTTGAAGCCAATGCGTGTCGTTTGTCCAGCACAGAGTGGACCAAGACCAACTTCGTTGCATATATTCTCAGAGGATTGGACAAATGGTCAACCGTTGTTCACCAATAAGTAATTGATTTAGAACATACATATGTACATATATATGCATATATGCATTTTATTTAACTATCCTCATTTACAGGCCCGTTAGCTTGGTTCTTGAACCCATATTAAAAGAACCAGGCGACATAGCTTTCACATGGTTGGAAATATATCGAACTCGAAATTCGTTAATTCAACAGTTGGACTTGCAGAGTAACGTCAGCGTTATGACTGGCGGTACCAGCGGTGGCAATGATACGCTAACCGACATCGGCTTTTATCCAAAAGAATCCGATTGTGAATATAAATGCCCCGAATTGGATGCGTGTATTGCGGGCAGTCTGTGGTGTGACGGTAGGTTGAGTTGAAGAAGTGCTTTTACTTGTACAATACTCACTGGGAAACGTGGATTTTGCGCGTTTTGAACATGCCAATATAGAAATTTAAACAGAATCATATAAATGTACTTAAATTCAAGTTCAAAAGAGATTGGATAAAATTGGTTACATTTTTATTCAAATATAAAATTGATAATTTTTATTACAGGCCACAATAACTGCCCATCTGGATTTGATGAATCTGAACAGGAGTGCGGCTCGGCGCGCAAACTGCTCGAACTGCCTGGTGGTGTATTTGCGGCGCTCGGATGCATAGCAGCAGCTATTACAGCTTGCCTCATATTCTGTATTTTCGGTTTATTGAGAAAACGTAAAAAAACTGTCGGTCAAAAAATTACCATAAATGGTACACTCAAAAAGGACTTCAACAAGGAGTCATTATTTATTGATCCAGCCTCTTGACACGGGCTACAACCGGTCGAATATATACATGTCGATCGGGAAACGACTGTGTGATATGTTGCCGATGAATTTTAGTGCTGCTATTGCTGTCGCTTTAACAATACTCCAACGAGTACGAGAGAAGGCGGGGCATACGTCGAGGATGATATATCGATCCAGCATGCATGACCCAGTGTATTGTGTACGGTGTGCCCTAATTAAAATATATACTTACAGACATACACATATAGTATATATAAGGAATTTTTCTAAGCGCTTGTTTTCAAAATACAACAATTACATACAACAACCAGAAAAAATACAAAACAAAAAATACTGTTAGAATTGAGCAAACGCAGCTAAGCAAATTTATGATAAGAAAACGATACAATCACTGCCTTTTGATTATACTTAACTAATCGTTTCTGTAATTAACTAAACATTTTCAAACAATATTTTTAAATGATTACACAATGTGAAAACGATTTTTCCGTCAGATGAAAAAATACACGCTGAGTTTTAAATTTGCAGTTCTTTAAAAGAATACGAGATTATGGCACAATTTTGCTTTCATAAAATCAAATCCCCTATATTTCTGGGAACAAAAACTTTTCGCAAAATTAAACAGTCGTTTGAAAACGACTTAACAGTTATAGATCTCTCGTTTTCACATAATATCAAGAAACAAATAACAAATAGGGAAAAAAACGCCTATAACAAAACGATGAAGTTTCTCAAAAAAAATTCTCTGAAAATTCACAAAAAAATAATATTGCAGAAACTGTCTCATTTACAGGTCTTTTCTATCACTTTCGTAACCTCAAATTTTGAAATATTCATTGAAAAATAACTCAAAATTTTACCGAAATATGAAATTCAATTCTTATATATTTGACATAAAAACTTTTAACATAACTTTTTAGCTTCACTACTTATATTTTCTCGGCTCACTCAGCGTGTTTATATGATTTTTTGACTGTGTAACGTTCGATCGAAAATCTAATTTCTAAATATTTATCTCTTCACACTATCTGGAAGGAATTTATTACTATATTAACTTTAATTTACTACAACTACGAAAATTGTAATTTGAGTATTTTTTGTATAATAAAAACAACAGAGAGAAAAACGCACTCTAGACTTGTAGCAATAGGTGCCAAATCAAAATGCCCAACAATCATATAATTATGTTTTTTTATGTGTATAACATATACAATTTTTTTTTTCATAATTAGGGCAATAGTATTGTAGTTGTGCTCAAATTCCATTTAAAATTTAAAAATTTCCAACAAAAATTTCTGAATTTATTTATGTAAAATCATATGCACCACCTTTATTCAAGAGTTTCCTCTGTCTGTAAAACACACATTCATAATTTTGATCAATCGAGATTACTAAAAATTACTGTATTTTGACATGAATTTCACACATAAAAAGTTAATCAGTTAAAATGTCCTTTTCATATTTTATAAGTTGATTGGGTATTTTGAAAGTATTGAATATTTCTAATGCAAAATTTACATTTAAGCAATAAACGTAAGTATCGATAATGTTGTACGAGTATGTCCGAATGTAGCGAAAAGATTGAAAATAGGAAAAAAAGAAAACTATTGTAAATTAGGTACCTTTTAATTAATGGCATGAAAAATAGGTAATTATTGAAAGGATGACAAACTTAAAAGAAATCGCAAATTCTAGAAATACATTAAACAAACTAAAGTAATTTTATTATTATGCAGCCTTTTTCAATCAAACACATTTGAAAACGAAACCAGAAAAAGAAATAATTAAATCTCGGAAAAAGAACGTTGAAAAAAAAAACAGAAACAAAATAATATAGCGGAGTAAAGAATATGTGCTCACTTACCTAATTAAAGTATTATAGTTTAAGAAGGCTAAACTCAAAAATAAATTGGGCAGGAATGCAATGCATAGTCAAATGTCAGAAAACTTCGAAACGATGGGCAAACAAATTTATTTAGATTGAGTAATATACTCGACAGTAATATTTGAGTTATGCTGTTTCAGCGAAATTACAAAAACAATATATATATAATATTGGAATTTATTTTGAATAATTATTTATAAATGCACAACAAAGTTTTAATTGTATCCACATTTCAACAAGGTTCATACAACATTTATATGGTATATAATAATTGTTTATGGTCTACATGGCGTATGAGTAACCTTACTCAAATATTTTTGTAAATACAAAATCACGCCTGATTCGTAAGTAGCTTTATAACAAATGAAGAAGTTAACTCTCTGTTTTTGTTTTTATTTTTAAGATTTCATAGGTGCTTACATTTTAAATCAGAATCTTTAAATTTGACATTTGCTAACCTATTTTTGAAACTTTTGATAGTTTTTGACTACTTTTTAAGTATGAAATCAATTTCTCTGCCGAGTAATATAAGGATATAACATGATAATGAATTAAGAAAGGTAACAAAACTTATTGAATAAGGAAATATAATTTAAATACAAAATTTTAATAAAAATAATTGAATATAATTTTCTTATTACATAATTTGATAATCGTATAATATTACGACGCCATCAAACCGAAATAAATAAAGCTTTATTTCAAAGTCTAAAATAACAATAATAAAATTAATTTATATATTCATAAGTTTTAAGACTACTTTGTATACTTTCAATCCATCAATTTTTTTTTTTGTTTAATAAAGTGCGTCAACAGCGTTTTAAGACTCAAAAGTACTGTACTGCAACGTGTAATTTTTGCATTTATGTATACTATAATAACTATACTTAGTTACTTATTATCTAATTATAAGTGATATAAGTTTTTTTCTATTTTATAGTAAGATATAAGCATGTAGTCCATTCTTAAAAAAAAATTTAAATTAACTATAATTAGTTTAAAAATTTACCGCTTCATATAAAAAATTCGTTATTTTCTAGCATCATATTGGTTTCCTGTATGGAAACACGTTTTTATGTGCTTTTCAACAAAAATATATATACGTATTTTTCGAAGAAGTAATGGATAATTTTACTAACTATTTTACTGGCAGTCTTCTCTTTATAGTTAAATTTATTTTATATATAAATTTTATTGTGAGCATAACAGAGAGAAGCAGGCCCCTTATTGTGCCGCGAAAAGGCCAAAAAGCAAATGAAACTTTAATTAAGAACTAGTTATAATTAAGAGTAGTATAATATATATTCTTTAGGGCACTTATGTAATTAAATGAAAATACGCGATTTAATATGTAAGGGTGTCGATGGCAAAGTGATGCAATTCACTTAGTATACACAGATATTATCAGATTTTATTAAAACATGTAAAGATATAATTAATTGTAATATCTGTAACGAAGTATTAAACATTTATAATTTTAATAATGAAACATTTTCCTTAATCTGTTAACAATTGGTACAACTTTCCTTGAAAAGTGTCAAACAATTTGTTGAAAATATTTCTCGTTTTTAATTAATCTTATGAACACTTTAAAAAATTTGATTTATTGAATTTTCAGTTTAATATTTTTTATTCCATTAATCTGGTAATACTCTGTAATTAACTCTTTTTTTACGTAAAGCACATATGCATGTATAAGTATATACGTATATATTTGTGTAATGGATCAACCCTACATCTTCCATCACTTCGCCACCGACTCCCTTTTCACATAAGAGAAAATATTCTTACAAGAATAAGAATATTACAAAAGAAATCTCGAAAGTGTTGTGACGATGAAGCACGTATGTAAATCTTATCGTAAAAAAGACAGTTTATATAATAAGACTTATATAATATTAACATACTACATAAATAACTGCATACATACATAGATACTAGTATATTAAAAACACATTGCACTCAAGTACGTATGTACATTAGTAGGTATGTAATAAGTTATTGAAAGTATAGCCAAATAAGTATACATTTGCACAGGCAAATGCAAAAGCAAATGGGAGCAATTACTATATACATACATTTACATATACATACACTGAACCATATGTATAGATACATATAAATATATACATACATACGTACGTACGATTATAATGTAAATTCCTGCACAAGTGGGTAACGACAACTTTGGTCTGTTATATTAAATAAAATAGATCATTATTTATAAAAATGCACCACACCTACGAGTAGATAACCAAACCTTAGAAAATATGAAAAAACGATGTTTCCAGCATAAATGTTTTAAAAACATATAATAAATAGTTCATATATATAAAAAAAAACATCACAAAAAATAGGCAAATAAAAACACACGAAAAATACAAAATTGCCTTAGTTTCTTTGTAGTTGAAGGAAAGTCTAATTTACTTCAATGCGGTTATTAAAGGCGCCTGCCAATTATTCAGAAACATATCAGCAGCAACATTATATAATTTGACGTTACATAATAACTAATAACAAGCACATCGTTGCATTTGAAAATGTCAAAAGCGCCATCAACTTTATTTGTGATACGCGATTTTCTGTGTCACTGCGCATCGACTGCAGGCTTAATGCGCTTCAAAACATGATGCAGTGTCAAATATATATCGAAAGCATTACAGAATATTTTACTTTCTTCTTATATATTGTAATTCACATTTTCGAAGTCAGCCTATATTATATCAGGGCAGTTCCCACGGTACATCAGGGTTGCTTTTTGCTGATATAACAACAACAACATTATATTACGAGAGTGTTCGAATCTGATATGTCTAAACATCGGAAAAAAGCTATATAGTAGATAAATAAATAATGCGTACAGACCTATATTTTGAGGTTAAAAGTTTTTTTTGAAATATTTACAACCTTTAATTTAAGCCTTCGTTAGAAAGCTCCATTTTTGGGTATATGTCAATTAATATTTTCCGATCATTATACAACAACTCATTCATTTGGCTGCAAAGCCGTTCTTTTCCCTCATATTTATTCAGCTTCACTTAAATAGGTAATATATATTAAGTAATTTGATTAAGCTAAAAGCCATAACACAATGCCCAAAAAGCGTATAATATACATACATGTGTATTCTGATATTAAAAAAAAACATGGAAAATAATGCACCCCTTTTCTCAACTGCTTTAAAATTTGTAAATGTCTGGAAAGAAAAGTCAAATCAATTTATTTTTGAATTATAAAAAAAAAAATTGTCTTTCCATCGCAGCAGCAACGCCGATTTAAGCATATTTGCCACAATATTAAAAATTTAAAATGGATCTTTTGATTGCTTTTCGTTTTACTGTTATAGCAGTGTTACTCTTTTTAACAGTTATCGTTCTTTTGCTTCGTGTTGTAGCTACTTAATGTGAATGAAAAGAAATTATTTACAAAACAAAGGTGAGTTAATACTGATCAAAAGTGTTGTGTGTAACATTTTATGCCAAAATGTTTTTAACTTCTGGAAAATTATAGGAAATCCATAGCACAATATATGCTTGAATTTTAAATCAAAGAACCATATGCCGTTGGAAATGTTCAAAATAGTAGCAGATGCCTGAGTGTAGACACCTAACATACCAAGCCTAGCAAGTTCACACACACATATATACTTGTATGTACATCTGTGTGGCATATGATATACACTTTTAGACATAGTTGTTTTTCTTTAATACAAAATGTCTAAATAATTCCATGAAATGTAAACAGTGTACCTCTCTGTTACAGTATTGTGTTACCGTTAGTTATATAAAAAATACATTAAATGGAGTAAATCAGTAATTAATTTAAATTATCCGATGATAAATGCATCTAGTTTCTGTGGTCCCTCATATTTACTCATATTTTCAAGAGAGTGTGCCGCTGACCACTTTTAACTTCAGAATTACCCAGACAAAATTGATGCACTCGGTGGAAAAACATTACATCAAGAGCTGTAAGTGTATATGTATCTCAGGGCCAGACCTCTAGATCTGAAATTACGATGACTGGGAACACAGCTACGCTGTATAAAAAAAGACCTGATGAACACAGGCTCAACAATAAAATATACAATGAATCAAAATTATGGAACACTATTCCCAAAATATTGCAAAAGTGATTTTTGGATAGAGGTGTAAGACAATAGTCCAGTGATGAAGACGCAGCGCAAATAAAAATAAGTTGGAACAAGTAACCGCCCACTTTTAGGTGAAAATCCATATCTTGGGATCTGCTTAACCAATTTCAACCAAATTCTGTGCATAACGTTATTTTCATATTTTTATGATATACAGACTACAACCACGCCTATTTCCCATATAACACCATTTTCATTTCCATCTGATTCTTTCACTTTCCACTATGCATATCAAGCAACAATGATTATATCGGGGTAAAACTTTGCGTGAATAATACGTTTAAAGTATGCCACCTTGTGACCAAAAATTGTCTAAATCGAGTCAAAACTGTTCAAGCCCCTAAGTACTAAATATGTGGAGCCCAGTGCCTATAGTTGACCTTCTACCAAAAATATCAGTCAATCCACAAAGAAATCTCAAACGAGTATACTATTTGACTTTGCGAGAGTATAAAATCTTCGGTTACATCCGAACTTAGCCCTTCCTTACTTGTTATAGTTAAATTTTTTTACATGGACTGGAAACTCTTTGGCACGTTTTCTCGATATCCAATCGTTCCAATAACACAGCAATTTTTTAACTGTTTGTTTTACGATGTCCGTTGAAAATTGATGAATGCGAATACTAAAATCTTGCCAGTCGACTATTGTACATTCAGGTCCTTTGGACGACCTCCACCGGGTAACAACCATTCAGACTGCCTATTGGACTCAGGTGAGTAGTGATGGTTTTTGCAAGTCTTATATAATACTTACCTTTTGAAATCGTTTGGGAGGAGTCAGTGAATACAAATATTTAGATTTGTTTTCTTCTTTGCGGTATTTTCAAACATTTCAGACAACTGAAACTTTGTAGATTACTCTGCAAATAACATCTGCAAGTATGCGTATGTAAACCTTTATCATTCACTGGACCTACGCCTACTTGCAATTGACGAATACTCATGCCCATATGTAAATACAAAAATTTTGTTGACTATTATCTGTGTTATGCCGGGGAAGCAAAATAAATGGAAAAATTTCTAAATCGATTAGAAGCGATAAGAGCTAATCATGTATGCCAATAATATGCGATAAAGATAAAATGCTATTAGATGGGCATATAATTAGCGTGAAAACCACGAATTAAGCGTGCAAACAAATTGAAATACATATGTACATACATACAGAGATGTGGTGATTAAGAAAGCAAATCAGATAACATTCTCCGTACTCGTATAATGAAAAACTGTTCGAGTTGAAGATAATATGTATTGTTCAAAAATTAAAATTGTCAGGATAAAATATTGATTAACCATGAGAATGAATACATACATTATTTTGAAAAAATTGTAAATGAGAGGTATATTTGATGGTAAAATTATTATATAATATTTAGTGAACTACCTTCCGCTAAAATTATGAAAATGATTCGAGTACAGCTCAGCTAAAACTCTCTAACTATAGGAAAAATGAACTATGCGATTTGCTTCTCGTTAGGTGGGCTGAAATTTCCGACTACATTTCAGGACGGACACATTGCTTCTAAACTCCTAACTCCTTCTTTGAACTTGGCTACTCTATTTGCAGGCTGTTGAAAACATCAGATAATTATACGATATCGTATACTTATATGCTTCTGTAAAAAAAACTGCTGCTGCCCGTCATTATGAAATAGCCAATCATTTAGATTTATGAATGTGTATATTTAATTATACAATAAAAATTTAAAATTGCGTCAATTTAAAATAAAAATATAAAACTACTACAAAACAGAAATTATTTTAAATTAAAAATAAATAAATATGTATGTATAGTAAGGTATTATTGCATTCGATACGTAATTTACACAACTTGTTCTATTTTTTTTTATTTTCACTCTAGAATTTTATAACCATAGTTGTTATTAGTTTTACTTTAGTTTTAATTTTATTGATCACTTTTTTGTTAGCTTTGTTATACAAAACGTTAACAGTTCTAGGGAGATTATTCCAACAGTTCCACATTTTACTATGTATGTATAGGTGTAGTTTTAAACTTTCTCTTTCAAAAATATTTTCTTTCATAAAATTTATTCGCTATTACGTACGTATGTATATGCACGCATACATAAACATATGTATATATATGGCTATAGGAAAATTCATATGTTTATTAGCTAATAACTCGATAGGCACATACACATAAAAGTAGGTATACGGCTGAGCATATTAAAGGCTGCTCACCGGCTGTAGCTTGTTGTTGTTGTAAATGGCTAAAATTATTTAGTCTTTAGACATCTGCTCGCATATACAGAATATGCTTTCTAGTTCGTATCTATGTATGTGTGCATATACATGTTTGTAGATTTGTATTGTGTTAATATTTACAAAAAATATACATAATTCCATACATATAATAAGAATATATGAATGTAACGTTCGTGATTTTTCTTGTTCTTTGGCTTTGGAAGGGTGGGTTCACTTGTTATATGTATGCATGTGTATATGTATGTAGGTGGAAAGTTAGTAGGAGTCGTGAGAGTATTTTCCCTGATTTCTTTAGCTAAATGTCTATATGTGTGTTTGCGTATATTCGTGTAGTTTTGTGTGTTCGCATGCAGCTGCACAGTATTAATAACATTGTAATATATGTATATATATGTATTTGGTTTTTTTTTTTTACATTTTTCTCTGATCATCTCTCAGGTGCCTAGTAGAAGGAACTGCACCATGCATCACCGACAGTGGGGCTAAACAACCCAGCTGTATGACTTGTAGTCGTATGCACGTGTATTGACTGCGTGGTGGCACTAGCAGGAGTTGACGCTGGCAAGCATTGGAAGCAGTAATTAGTTCCATAGTTGTTATCCCAAAACTGCTGGCCTTTACATTGGAAACGGGCAGCAAACTCAATGCGCTGACCAATTTGCAAAGAATTACCAAAGAGAAAGAAGGTAAATTTATCTGAAAAGCCGTCACAAGAGTTTTCAGCATAGTTTGCTTGCAAGTCAGCATAGCTGCGCCAATTATCCAGCGTATAACGTATGTGCACTGACTTGTTGAAGTCCAAATTGCGTACACGCACAGTGCCGGTAATCGTCTGATTGATGTGATCCGTTACCGCGGCGTTCTCCAATGAAACTTGTTTTTCGCGCACAAGATCCAAAAAGTTCGGCAGTCCACCGGGCTGTTGAAACAGTGGCATGAGCAGCTTATCAGATTTCGGTCCGAGCTGTATGGGCGGTTCCGATTCCAACACTTCCAAATCTTCAAATGCAGATTTCGGTATTGTTGGTATTTCGTCGAGAAACGTTTTGATATCGGCCAAATCGAGACCTAGCACATCTGCGAAACGCACAATTTTCTTGCGACCTGGTGTACCCGGTGGTGTTTTACCGGTTTTTAGTGATGAGCAGCGGCGCACACGTTGCGGCCGGCAATCGTCTTCATCCTCTTCATGTCCATCGAATGTGGATTTATCATCTTTGGTTTTGTTGTGCAGTTGCTTAGTTTCAATGGTTTCCTGAGTGCTTGTACGGGTCGACTCGTTTGTGTCTAACCCTATTTGTACTTCGTTTTGGGCGGATTTTTCCGTATTGCTAGTTTCAGTCGTTTCAGCGTGCAATTGCTCAATATTGTCAAGAATTATGTGTGCATCAGTTTCAATCTCGCCATTGGAGAGATTAGTGTGCAAAGTTGCGGAAGCAGTATTGTTGTTTTCGTTATGTGCTTGAACTTGCATGAATTCAATAATATTTCCAATGCGTTCACTATGTTCTTGCAGTTCATTGATTATCTCATCTTGTATAGTTGCCAAATCCACAGGTGTTAAATTATCGTCGTGTTTCTGCACTTCCTCCAAAGGTTCTTTTGATAGTTCCTTATTTATAACCGCAGTCTTGTCGATATCGTTCTCATTTTTGCTGTTATCTGCAGATACGTCGTCATGTAGGTCATGGGCTTGGTCATTCGCGTCATAGCCGTTATGTAATGTAGGCACAAATTCAGGTGCGTCATTTATCGTTTCCTCATTGTGAATGTGATCAAAGTATTGCACATCTGTAGAGCCGCGACTACTCGAGGTAGACGCACAAACACAACCCGATTCAGCTGCCGAATTGTGTGGTGTATTCGATGCTGTCTCTATTAGTCGCAAATATTCACACTCATCAACTGGGCTACCTGGACTTTCCAGCTCACAGTCAAAATCAAAGAACGAATCGGACTCATGGCGCAGCGGTTGCAAGTCTGTGACCGCTTGTTCAGAGTCATTTGTGGTTTTCCATGTATTGGTTGTGTTGTTTTCGTTAATTATCGACACTTCCTCAGGCGATAGTTCGCCATCGTCATTCTACATAAATATATTTAACAAATGTGTTCGTTAATTATTTGCTAATGTAAATGTTAATCACTATCACACCTGTGTGCCCAATGTACGTAACTTGGAGGATAAACTACGTGCAAAAGCCTCGGCTCTACCACGACATGATGACATGCCTAATGTGGGAATTACAGATATTATACTGCAGGATTTTGTGTCAGGGGTGCCACTATTCTCATTCAAAGGAATATCTCCGGGACCGTTCATTGGCCTTAACCAGAATCTCGATCTGCAAGTAGAAACAAAAACATATGTTATTTATAAAATTTTCGAGTAATTTAATAATCGTTAACACGTTCTCCACGTTCTCTGTTAAAAGCAATACGAGTTTTAAGTTTGAACTTCGTAAATTTTCTAAGTTGAATAATTCTTAGTGGCTTTAATTTAAAATATATATTTAGTAATAAGAATATAATATACATATGTCCCGGCATCCAAAATGTTTAGCTAAATTTTCTAAGTAATCAAAATAGGAATATCAATTGGTGGTACACCAAAGCTATTGCAAAGGGAATCTTGGATTTTTCAGTTCCAATTTTAACCTCATCCTTTATACATATCTTCGATATTATATAGTACCTTATTTCTCGGTTAGCTGAACTGCAGCCACGCTTATTCTAATCACAGATATATTCTCTTATATAGTATTTAAAACTCGAAAGCAAAAAAATGGGATGCTTGCACTTATATTTAAAAATCAGAACGTTTACAACCTGAAAAATCACTCTTCAACTAGATGCATATTTATATAAACTGAAAAAAAATTATTAAATTATGAGCAAGTTAATGCTCAATGCATTCGCTAATGATAACAACTTGTAATCTAATTGGCTTATGAATTATACAACGAGGCATTAAATAATGCAAAAATCAATAAAAACAAATGAAAATCGAAGGAAATTCAACGACTTTTTGGTGCGTTCGAATTTTGATTTTGTTTTTAGGTTTTTTGATCACTCTCTACTCTTCACTGCTAAAAATATTTCATTCTCTAACTTAGTGGCTTGGCTCGTGTTAAAAAAAAGAAAAAATAAAGAAAAAAAAATTAATTTAGATTACTTTTCAGTAGGTATTTATGTATAAACTACATCGTATGTTTGTGTTTTTGCACTGTAGATACGAGGTGGGTACATACATTTGTTTATTTGTAAATAATAGCGAAGCGCAATTGTTAAGGTACAGCCAAATAGCAATCAAGTAGCACATAAATAATTTTCATTTCGCTTTTTAGTTATCTCAATATGAAAAATCGGTGCCATTGAATTTGCACGTACATATGTATATGCATGTATGTGTGTAGATACTTAATATAATTCTGTTATTTATTTGGCGAAATAATCTCTTATATTAAAAACCTCATGGAAAAGGAACTTTTAACGACTTGCATACATTCTATCTATCTACATATGCGTATATATACCATATGTATGTGATTTAGAGCAAGTTGCCCGAATAAAAATATGCATTTAAGTCTTTAGCATATGTATGTAGTATGTAGGTATTTATCGTGAAGACAAATTATTCGGAAAGAATTATCATTCACTCGTAAGTCAATTTATAGTATATACGCATTAATCTAAAAGGAAATGTATAAATAAGTGTGTGTGTATATAATAAAAAAACGAAGCCTTATTATAACGTATTTATATCCACACGCTATAATTACTTGTATTTGTATTGTATTTGTGTGGCTCCATTGTGGCCAAACCGTCATATCTTAATAAAACAAATAGTCAATAAAAACACTTTCAAACTTTCTTCGGGTGCACACTTTATAAAGAACATCAAAATGATGATATTATCAAAAAGTTGTATGAAGAGTGCTCATATAAAAAAAGAATAAAAAAATGCTAACTAACACATTACATTTTTTGGTGAAGTATCTCGACTGTGTGCAGTACAAAAGCGCCTTTATTGACTCCCTTGTTGAGTGATAGGAGTGAAAATTTTAAACAATTGAATATTAAAGAACATAAGAAATTACTTAAATTTTAAAACTAAAATTATATATTTAAGTTTTATTTTAATAATTAAACTTTCGGCTTCTTAAAAACACGATTCAAATTCGAATGCGCACAGTACTTAACTTCTACCAATAGTTACAAAACGGAGCTTCAGCTTCCAGCTCATGAATAAATTAATTTTTTTTTCTGTTAATCTCTTTCTAATTATTTTTAGTTATTAGTACGATTTATCTAGAGTATACCGTACATGAAGCAACGATAAAAAGTGGTTACATTGTAATATAAAAATACCCAACACGAAATAATTTCACTAAATTATGGATATGATGTCATACTAATATTTATATATGTACATACGGCAACGATTCTCTATTACATAGTGCCAATAATTGAATAAATTTTCTTCACACAGTTCCATTAACAATAGACAGAATTTCGACATGTCACTCGGTAGTTGACAGCTGGCAGCCGCTTTCGCTACTGCGTGGCATATCAGTTGACAACCCGAATATAGACACATTTGAGTCCAAGAATGATAGAATACGAGTTGCGACAATAATATAACGTTACTTTTCTCAGTTTGGGCTGTGACAATTGTTACAAAAACCAATTGCACTATGCCGCCATGTTGTGACGTAATTCTTTTGAGTTGAGGAGAAGAAGCAATGCGAGAAATGAATTTCATAATCGCAATAATTATAATTTCCAAATCTTTTCACATGATTTAATTTGAATAAATCAGAACTATTATTAATATATGTATATGTTTGTGTATAATATAAGAAAATATTGCTGGATACATTGCAATCGCAATCATTCACTTAATTATGTTGTCAAGAGATAAACGTATTTATTTAAAAACGACCAAAATATTTTCTCGCAACAATCTTAAACTTTTTCATTATAAATTAATAAATTAAGTCAAATCACGAATTAACAAAAGTGTTTACGTTTTTGTTTACAATTTACCTGCTATTGTATGCTTCTTCTTCTCAACTCAAAAGAAATACGTCACAAGATGCCGGTTGGCGTAATCTTGTATTCCATCATTCTTGATTGGAGTCTATTAATCATTTCGACAAAGCATTTCAATTAAGAGTGATTACTGTTCTCTTTAACTAATATGGAAATGAGGTTTATGTTAAGATGTTCCACTCACTGTTTGTGAGATGATTATATACTCAGAAATTGTTAACAGTTTTTGAGCTCATAAAGAAATATTTGCGTTACTGCAACATAACAAAATAAATTATTAGGCAATTCACAAACTTTGTCTTATGTCTCATGTCGTATTCTAATAGTCTCAAAAATACGACGCTTGTGAGCACCCCTTAATCGTTGTATGTCATATTGTGTAAAATTTCTACACTTCACCAGCTGGTAGTGAAAAATTAAGAATACAAAAATGTTATGAGAAAGTGCCAATAATAAAATTAAAGTTTCTTTTTGTGAAAATTTTCTTTATGTTGAAACCGCGGCGATTTGGTTTACACTGCAATAAAATCATTTCCAACCACAGAAACAACAAAATATTTTTATATTTCACTTTTCTTCAACTCAATTTACTTGAATAACGTGACTTCCTTCCATATTATTAAAGAAATTGATGAAATTTTTTTAATTTATTAATTTTAGAAACTTAAATAAGACAATATGACGATATGACACAATTTGACACCTTGTGAATACCCTATATATGAAAATATTAAAATAAACATCGAATAAAGACGAGTTTATCTGGTAAACATTTATAGACTGGTATATTTTTTACTAACATCCTTTAGTAAATCTGCCTTTGTTATTATTATCGCATCGTCTATGGTGTTCACTACGTGGTCACCCACCACGTGAAGTGACATTTTTCACACTACGTTGAATATACCTAACAAGCCACGCTTGATTGGTTTGTTGACTTTGAGCAAATTAAATCATAAACAAATGACTTCTAATTGTAAAAAGTAAAACATGTAAGAGAGGGAAACATAAAACAACTACACTGTTCGTAAGTCCCAATTAAAAACACAATAACAACTTTGTTTTCAATATAGAAATGTTTGTTTTTTAGGAATAGAATATATAAGTATTTCAGAATAAATATGTAATTTTCGCTTTTAGTTTATATTATATGTATGTGTATAAATCTTTAAAAAAAAAGTTAGTTTTATAGTCTCAATTTATGTAAAAAAGTTGTAAAATATTTGTAAAACTATTTTAATAATATTGCAAATTGAATATTTAAATATTAAAGCGATAATTTTGATTAAAAACAAAATTTAGTTGTTAGTTTTCTTGTTTTTGATAATAAGTGTTGAATTATTCTGATAACTAATATTAATTATATATAAAAATTCCTTGTTATTTCTTGCAATAACCCTAATGTGTTTGGTTTTTAAGTAATTATTTTTCTGAATTTTATACTTTATTATGTAGAAGAACTTTGTTACTTTAATATACTTAAATTTTTCGTGATAATAGCTTGTAAAGAAATTAATTTAGAGTATTTTTTTAATTATTATGGCGTTATTTTTTTCCGCAGGCGTTTGAAAAAATAAAGTTCATTAATCTAAGATCGTCAAAATATAAAAAATAAAATAATTTAACAATTAAAGTATTAAGTGTTTTAATAATATAATTAATACTCTTCCATTCCTGTAAAAACTTTTCAAATACTTCAATATTTTGAAATTATTTTTAGTATTTATAAATTTTACCACTTAAGCCTTCGTCGTTACAATGCTGGATTGGAACCCGGGAATTTTTTTTTCATGTGAAATAACTACCTCCAATATTTAAAAATGTAAACAAAACATTGTACATACATATATTTAAAAGTTTCTGATATGTGCAGGCTTATAAATAAACTGCAGTATATTTACAAACACATACTATATACCTACATATACTCGTATATGTGAGCAAAAGTGTATATATATGTATATGTGAAACTTTGGCAGCGCAGATTCCGGTTCAATATGAAATCAGCTGTCACGTTGCACCCGCCACCTTGCTTGTCCTTTCCATTAAAAGCGATTAATTAATTTCACTGCGCAGAAATGTTTCAGATTTTCTACTTGATAAAAAATTAAAAAGTAACTAATTTTTGGCAAGAATAGTCGCCAATTTGAAAAAGAAAATTTATTAATGAAATTATTTCAATGCTGAATTTGTTTATTTATATTTTCTAATTTTTTGTGTTTTCTTTTTTTTTTTGTAAAAGTCACTTGTGATGCGCGTGATATTATTAAATTTTCACAGCTGCTTCTATGCCAAAGCTAATATTTTACTATTTTTTCAAATAACTTTCCATTAGTGGAACTTGCGGTCACACAAGGCGGTTAATAACCAAAACAAAATAGCAAAAACACACTCACACACATACGCAAAATAAGAAAATGACATTCCGTATATACATACATTTGTCCTAAGTGTGCATATACAAAAGTATTTATATACAAATTCAGATGTATAGACATCACATGCAAGATACAAACAGACATCATAAAACAAACGAAAATAAATTTTCGGCATTTAAAAATAGCATTATAAATTGCAAAAAAAATTTCAAATTGATAGCGAATTAGGATTAAATTAAGTGATGACCCTTTGCCCTATATACAATCGTTTACACACTTACATATATGCTAGTATGCATATACAGTTAATTGTATACGACAAAACAAAAGACATAACAGTACGCAGAAATTTAAATTTGAAGTTAATATTTTCTTATTTTAAGTAAATTTGTATGTACTTAGCTGTCACCACACTGTCTCTGGCGACGAGTCTGCGGCACCCGGTTAAGGAAAATAAAAGTACCTGTCACTCGAGATAAGCTTTCTTTATTTATTATAATTATTTTTTAAATAGTTTTCGGGCGCTTATCAAAACGAAAAACAATTAATTCGTTTAATAACACTTGCTCAATTTCAAAAAAAAATTGTATGCTAGTTTAACAGAGACACTGCTTTACTTGAACGAGTTAACGAGTATGCTTTGGTGTTATTATTTTTTTAGTTTCATTTGTATTTTAATTATTAAGTATGCATATACATATGTACAGAACATTTGGAGTTGTCCACCTTACAATTTTAGCTTTGACCTTGTGTAAAATTTCTAAAGTGAATTGTCACAGATTTAAAGCAGCCAGTTGTGAACGTTTATGATTATATTGTAGAACATTTTATTTTAATCTATTTTAATTGATTTTTTTTGTTTTCTTAGCACATTTATAAATATTTTCTTCTGTTTTTACTTTTATTATTTTTTTGTAATAAGCGAACGCATGAACTACACGAAAAGGCAAAAACACACAAAGTTCACTTTTAATATTTGACTTCTACCGTTGCGTCGCTTGTGTGCTCGTCTTCATCTTGGACACGGTGCGCACAATAAGAGTGTCATTCAAGGGTATTGCAAGGTCGTAGCGCGCAACTTGACGGGTATGGCTCGTTGGTATACGAATCCACGGCGCTTGCTTTAGCGTCATCTGTAGTCCTCCGCTCTCCGTTTATTTTTTGTATCTCATTTTGTTTGCTAATATCACCCTGCTCGCTGATTTTCGGTAGGTAGGTATATAACTTTTTTGTTTTGATTTTTTTTTTCGTTAATTTTCTCTTCTGACATTCGGCACGAGCACAGACTTTAGATACTCCCAATTACATTTATTCAGATACAAATTAACACAACAGCTGCTATACTTAATATATGTATGTATGTAAATTAACAACTCAAAATTGACTTATATGTCGGCAGCATACAGTAACAACTGGCACAATTATTCACGTGCGGCTTTTATGTATGTAGCTACATATGTATGTTGTACGTGCCACAAGTACCATTCTAAGTATAAGCGCTATACTTTCTCAGACGAAATTTAGCATTTGAGTGGGCGCTAAATCGCCACTGTGTATGCACATATGTTTATCAGAAATGCACACACAAGGCTGCTCAGAAATGCGCTATAGTACTAAATGTATTTGTACATACAAACAAACTCATATTTGTAGTAATAATTTATGTTTGAGTTAACTTGTGTGCTCTTATCTCTCCGGTGCGGTCCGGACAGTCGGCGGTCTCACTCTCATTTGTCTTAAACGTGTATCGTGTCTGCTAACATATATACGCATGTTTATTTCACGGTGACCACTGCACTTCTGACTTTCGCTTTCAACTTGTGCATTCCGATAATAATTTGTGTGTATCGCTTCTCACTGTAATGACATCACGCTGCAATTGACTATATTATTTATTTGTTTATGGGCTCGTATCACATCGATTATAAACAATTCCAATATTTGCGAAAACCTTTGCACTTGCACTGTAGTTATGAGTATTTTAATCGTACTCCGCATTCATATCTCAGTTGCTCACCTATAAATACGAGTGTAAATTAAAGGTAGGAGCGGAAGGAGAATACAACAAGGGTGGTGTAAGAGAATGAGAACGAGAGATAAAAGTGATTTTTATGTTTAAAACAAATTTTGAGAGTGAAACTTTTCAATGTTGCCACTAAAATATAAATATTTTATCGCCGATATTGATAATCTTGAAAATTATAATTCGAAATAATATATAATTCTTTATTTTCTTATTTCCAGCTTTTCGTATTAGACGCTATTTGTATATGATGTGTACTATTTGTACACAGAGTAAATGAAAATACTTCATATATTTGTGCTGCTTATCGCAACTAGCAATAATAGCATACTATATGCATGTTGTCTTTAGCAAACATTTGCTATCGATAAATAACTCAATGAGAACTTTGAGCTTTAATAAAGCATTCTCATTTCAGTTATCGACATTAATTTATTGTCTTTTGTTTCTGTATGCGAGAATAAAGTAAATTGTTTTTAGTAAACCCAGCTGTATAAAAAAAAATAAAAAATAATAATTACCAGACGTATCTTGTTAAAAAAATAACTTAAAAAAACTTAATATACTTTTCAGCAATAAAATAAATATGTAATGTACACAAATGGGACTTGGAAGTTGAAATCGCAGAATTAAGATAGTTAAGTTTTTGTGGCATAAGGTACTGAGACATTCTGACTATTTTACTACCCTTGTCTATAGAATATATTATTCTACCTAGTGGTGGTTTAAACTCCACCAGGGCATAAACAGCTCAGTACTACAGTGTTACACTTTTGGGTATATTTATATGTACATATATCTTAGTGTATGTAATCGTGCATACATATGTATATACATACATATATTAATGAATGCTGGACTTTACGGCCATTAATGATAATTTAATACATTATATAAAAATGTTTCTTATGCCAATACCATAAACAAATAAGTAAGGAAGAGCTAAGTTCGGATGTAACCGAACATTTTATACTCTCGCAAAGTCAAATGGTATACTCGTTTGAGATTTCTTTGTGGATTGACTGATATTTTCGGTATTTAGTACTTAGGGGCTTAAACAGTTTTGGTTCGATTTAGACAATTTTTGGTCACAAGGGGGCATACTTTAAACGTATTATTCACGCAAAGTTTTACCCCGATAAATTCATTGTTGCTTGATATTCATAGTGGAAAGTGAAAGAATCAGATGGAATTAAAAATGGTGTTACATGTGAAATAGGCGTGGTTGTAGTCCGATTTCGCCCATATTCGCACTACAACATAGAAATACAAAAAGAACGTTACGCACCCAATTTAGTTGAAATCGGTTAAGCGGATCTCAAGATATGGGTTTTCACCTAAAAGTGGGCGGTGCCACGCCAACTGACTAATTTTGAACGCGGATCCTATAAAGTCATCTCATACCATCCCAGAGATAAAATTTAATGTCTCTGGCGTGTTTAGTGCTTGGTTTATCGCGCTTTTAGTATTTTTTAACAGTGGGCGGAGTTGCCACAATTTTGTTATTATAGCATTAGCGGTTGAGGAGATATGCACATTAAACCCATTAGGGGCGGGACCACGCCCACTTAAAAAAAAATTTTAACTGCAGATGCCCCTCCCTAATGTGATCCTGTGTACAAAATAACAGTCTTGTATCTTATTGCGGAGCTTAATTATGGCAATTTATTTGTTTTTGATTAATGGCGTTTTGTGGGCGTGGCAGTGGTCCGATTACGCTCATCTGCAATACCAACCGTCTCATGGTACCAAGAAACATGTCTACCAAGTTTCATAAATATATCTCAATTCACTCAAGTTAGAGCTTGCACGTACGGACGGACGGACGGGCAGACAGTCATCCGGATTTCAACTTGTCTCTTCATCCTCATCATTTAAATATATATAACCCTATATCTAACTCGATTAGTTATAGGTGATACAAACAACCGTTAGGTGAACCAAACTTTATACTCTGTAGCAACAGGTTGCGAGAGTATAAAAATAGACACATGAATCAAAGTACTAAATTATTGATATATTATCAGAGAACGTAAATGAATTATATTATCAGAGAACGTATTCATTTACGTTCTCTGATTATATTAAACAAAAATATTTGAGATAAGATTTTCGTTCCGATAACATTTCTGATTAGACAATATTTTGGTGAATTACTTATTCTTTAACATTCTCTGATTATACATTTGAAATGCTGAATGAAGTCTACTAAAGTTTATAATGAGTTCCGCTATTTTAGCTTTTATTTTATTTGAAGAAAAAAAGCAACGAAAAAATAAAAGGAATATATTAAAAGATCACAGTAATCCACTTGATGCACCAGGGGAGTCGCATGTGAAATTTGGCTTGCATTTACTTGTATGTTTGTATACATGCTTACTTCACAGATTTATATCACATTATCGACTGAATAGAGACGCATTTGGGTGTTAAATTAAGTTTGTTACGTTTTGTTATCTCTTAAGATATCTTGATTTTTCCATAAACTCAATAATTATGACATTTTTTGTTTTATACTTATGTTTTCCCTTATAGAAATAACGATAAATTAAATCGTAACAATAATATAAATTATTTTCTTCACTTACATTTCAAATCTGTCAGCAAAAATCCTATTACTTTGTTTCTGATAACAAAACCGAAAAATTGGTTTCCGTGACACCCAAAACCGATACCATTTTTGTTTCGAACGTCAAACCAATAATATCTGAATTCATGACACCTATTACACTTTTTTATCGGTTTCAATTCTGATTCCGACAACTATCAGATTCTACAACACTCCTGATTAATAAATATTTTGCCTATACCTATAGCAAAAGTAGGCTATTTTTATACTCACACGATTGTTTCATAAAAAACTTATACTTATATTTGACAAACATGGTCTTATAGGAGCGTCATATGCGGTTTTCATTTTAATAGGTCAAAAATATTTATAAGCTATTTAGTTTTAGAGTAGAGAAAGTGGAAGCAGTAAACGAGTAAACGCAATCTCTAGAAATTCAAATGGAAAGGATCATACGTTAGGTTAAAATACGATTCGACGACTCTACAATAGATAAATCAATCTCTAATGATGATTTCGAATAGTAGTCCTTGAATATACCAGCATTTTTCCTTACCTTTCCCTATCATTCAAAAAAAAATAAAGAGATTTCTTTTCATTTCGTTATCTTTATTTCGTATATTATTCATACATACAAGTATGTGCATCAATAAGCTAACACTTTGCAAGGAGAGTCCTGAGATTGTGGTCTGTTAAAGTTGATATTGTATAAAATGAGTACGAAAACTCGTTTATACCCGCAGCCTGCTCTCAACATTAGCTAAGTAAATAGCCAAATAACGAATGCTAATGATGAAGTTTCTGAAAAAACACATACCATACCATTTACGTAAATAAAATATGTTGCTTTTTAATACAATAATATAACAGCATTTAATTAATTGATTATTAAGTAACATAAAGAAGCAGGAATTACATTACAAAATTTTTTAAATGTGCCATGTCAACCGATACCGCTCAACATTTAATGAATAAGAGTATTGATCGCTTATTAGCTGGAAATAATTATATAAATAAATGTAAATAATATGAAGACTAAGTCTTGTTGAGTATATAAGTGGTTTTAATGATTTTAATAATAATTTAGAATATTTTGTGCGTACTCATATTAAACCAATTTTTATTTGCGTAACTGAAAGTAAAATGTTTAAAAAAAATTTTTAATTACTCTTATATATTATTCTCCCTTTAAATTTTTTGTTTACGTGTATTTTCAAATAATTAAAGTTATTTTTGAAAAAAGGACATATTACATACATATACGTTATAGTTATGTTAACATAATTAAACTTCACCCTCGTACAGAAATACATACACACATAGATATATATGCATATGTATTAGCCTCAATCGAAATAATATAAACTGTGAGTGATTATTATTCTTGCTCCTACTGAGATAATTGTCATACACACATACACAAATATATGTACACATTGATTTTTGAATCCGCACAAATCTAGATATGCATGTGATTTAAGTTTAGCCACAACAGTAATGAAAGCTGTGCACTTTTCATAACTTTAGCCCTCAAGTAAAGTAAAATTTGATGAAGATGTTTCAATCAGTAAACTAAACCATATCCGAGAGTTTTCAGCACATGTATACTATACACATACACATAAACGTATATAACATATTGACTAGAAATTTCGCATCAATTTTTGTTTTTAATTTTACTTGAATATATGTGTACATATGTGTGTATGTGTCTTTGCAATTTAAAACTACATACTTTTGTTAATATGTATGTATGTTGTACTTTTTATGAGTGTGTAGTGGCTTTAGATCCTCCAACTTATTGCCTCTAATGCCTTATACGTGGAGTTTTGACAAAACAACTTATCTCGACTTAGCAGTTTTATACGCAAGAGCAGTAAAATAAATTATTTCTAAATAAATTTTAGCTCACCGATTATGCCAAACTATGTATTGTTTAAGGAACCATTATCTTTAATTCGCTATAAAATATTTTATGTTTCTATGAAGGATCAAATTTCATGTACTTAAAGAAAAACTTGCTAAAGTTAGAAAAGTTCTTTTGTCAAAAATGCACTGACAGTATGTGTGTGTGCCTAATAAAACATATATGTTTTTATTTCAACAAAAATTAATATATCTGCAATTTCGTACTAAAATCACTATAATACTGGTTAATTAAATAAAACAAAATAATAATAATTATAATTTATTCCAGCTATTTACAAATAAGCTGATCAAGATTTGCTCTTTGTGTCTCTGCGAAATCTCACTGGAAATCTGACATTTAGCCATGCACAGCAATTAGTGTACAACAATGCAATAACAACTATCCATCGATGCGAAAACGGTTATTAGGGTGCCAAAATCTTCTGTGGAATATGTGTGGCCAGGTACTGTTTGTGCAACCGTTGTAAGCAGAACTGGTAGAATTCGATTTCGTTTGTGAAATTATGTCGCACTATATTTTTCACCTTCTCACTCACTGGCGGTTTGAAGTTGTTTTTATTGATCTTTGTTAAATACTCCGCGCTACCTAAGAAAATAAAAAACAAGAAAATATTTTCAACGTAGTATAATATAGTAATTATTATAGTATTCAAAATTTAAATTATGACATTTTCCCACTTATAAAATTAAATGTTCCAATCCGTCAACAAAATCAATTTTATTGTATGGTGATCATGAGCGTTGATACTATTTTGTAAAATTTACAATGCATTTCAAGCTGCCTCCTATCTGCTTTATTCATATAAATTTCTATTTTTCTGTTGTAGAAATTTTAATCCACAACCTAGATAATGCAAAACATGAGCTCATACTCAATATGCGCACTTGTTACAAGCATCACCTAATATTTGCTTAGGAATGCTTGATGGCAGTTATAAGGTTGTGGTATAAAAACTATATAATATATTATATAATATGGTATGATATATATTGATAAGGAAGGCCTTCCTGGACCCACTCCCTTAAATATTGCTAGAAAACTTTCACCTCAAAATATACATAGGTAAAACTGCAATTGTGTACGTACTTTGGTAAATATCTCGAACACCTTCAAAGAACCGTGGTATATATTTCTCAAATACAGATAAAGTCGTATTCATATCCTCCAGAACACCAACAACAGCATATTGACTCTCAACAGCGAACTTGGCGCGCTCCAATGCTCCCACCGTATTGAAGGGGCTGCCAAATCCAAATTATTATATACATGCGTATATAAAATTAAAATATTTTTATTCTTACGTGCATTCATATGCATGACCGCAGAAGAATAGACTCTGCCGCCGGTGATCACCTATACCTTCCACGGTCACACCCTGCGTATAGGTACATTCCTGATCGCCGGATAGCACACAAGTCTCGAAATCTTTTTTCAACCATGCTGGGTGTGGTAGCGGTAAATCGGGAAAGGCAGCTTTACGTTCGACAAAATACCAGGGAGCGCGTACATAGTAAAACCAACTAATTACACGTTCAATAGGATCTCTTACGACATTCACATAAATCGGCATCGGCAAATTGAATTTTGTAAAATTTGTGTAGCAAACGTGCTTGATGAAAACAGATGGTTCGGGTAAATCACTTATCACTTCAGCCAGCTCTTGCTGCTGATCATCGGCCAGGCGTATTGTTTCCACCTTTTGCACTGCATCTCGATGAAACTGAAAATTATTTCGCTCCGAAAGGCGACGTAAAAGTTCCATAAATGTTTGACTACCAACTTTTGGTACTCGATTAAAGAAAACTATACCCAATTCTGCTTTTCTCGTGTTGTTCAGCTCTAGTGCGTTTAATGATTGCATCTAAGTGATTAAAATGTTTGAAAAAATTATTAAATGTCTTAAATTACCAAATTAAAAAAATACTTGTGTTATTAAGCTTGTTTTATTCATTTCATGGCATTATTTCACGGAGTCCTTAAAAAAGTTATTGTACTTATTCGAAACTCAAAAGGATTGAGTAAAAGAGATTCCTTACTTACTTCCTTACCAGTTACTTACTACGCGATAATACTTACAGAGTTCGGTTCATATTTAAACGGTTGTACAATTTCCCTTTCTCATCATGTCACCAACATTTTTATATATTCAGAAAGGAAAATCTGTTATTTCAAAATGTGAAAAAACTTTTCTCACAATCATAAGGATTTCTTTCGATCATTGACTTCAAAAATTGAAAGTCGACTTGACCGGCTTTATAACGCTAATTCAGATATTACATCACACCATATTTTATTCTTCTCATTCCCCTTCTATAATCGTGGATTCCGAAATTAATTGGTTTAACACTTTAGTTTCTTTTATTAATTTCGTAAGATACTGTAGGCTAGGCTGCTGGTTTCCACTGTGACAACAGGATTAAAACAAAATTTGACAAACACAACCATATATTTTAAATATTATTTTATTTCTTATAACGAAATTCCACCTAGTCTTAATATAATTTTAATTAATAGGAAACTCCTTGTGATTAAGTGCTAAATATTGCTTGAAAAGACGCTGCTTGCAAAAGTGATAAAAATCGTATTCATTTGTAAAATTCTTACGTATCATCTGTTTCACATCCTCTGCCACATATGGTTTCCGATTATTACGATTGCGATTTTCGAGACTCGCCTTATTTACTAAATACAAAATAAAAATAATATAATATTTAATTATAAAGTGAAATCGGTAAAATTGGGAAAAATTACAGTAATATACGCGTGTTGCTCCGCTGAAGAAAAGTGGAATATAATTCTCCAGAACCGTTAAAGTGACATTTGTCTCTTCCCAAGAACCGACGACGGCGAATTCACGTTCTACATGATCCTTAGCTAGCTGTATAGCATATGGAGAATCGAAAGGCCTTAACCGCGATATGGGAGGTGTAAATATTTTGTCAACATATAAGTCTACTTTCATCGGTTAATGCTTTTTGTAAATATACAAGTATGTACTTACAAGCAATCTAAATTCTGACCACAAAAGAACAACGACTGTCTTTTGAAATTCCCTATACTGTCGACATAGGTGTATGGCACGTATTGACATTCAGGATCTCCACTGCGTACACATTCGTTGTAATCCTTTTTAAACCAAATAGCCGACCTCAGATATGCATTTGGGTTTCTGCGAAACATCCCGGCATTGTGGTACGCGTTGCGTGCATAGAAGTACCAACTGATTACCCGTTCGACTGGATCGCGCACTAAATTTATATAGATCGGTTTTGGTAAACCAAAATCATAGAAGTTTATCCATGCGACATGCTCAACATAAGCTGATCCGGCACCCAAGCGAAAGACGTAATCGGCAATTCTCTCTTGTTCTTTCGTATGGAGATTACGTCTGGCTGGTTTGCCTGGACCAAAATGGTCGAGACTGAACCCATTAATTGCTTCCAAATTGCCTAATAATTCGATCATCGACTCGCTGCCCACTTTTGCGCAACGATTAAAAAACAATATATTTGTATCCGCTTTGTTTGTGTTGTTCAGAGATGAGGTGCTTAAGGAATGCAGCTAATTCAAGTAATGAAGTTTATGTGAGCTTAGATTATTATACTGTAAATATTTCTTTAATGCACACTTATTCTAATATAACACACTTTAGAGTTAAATGTTTTTGGCGAAGTGCTCTGACTTTATATGGTGCAACAGTATTATGTGAGTGGCGCTCTTCAACTTTAACGTTCACATATTGTACATGTACATACGTATGTTTGTAATAAGAAAAAAATTTAAACGCATTTGATTATTATTTACGAATGATTGTTTTACTTATTAAGAAACTGTAATGAAATGAAAACACAATAATTTAAGACCATAGTTACCATGTCATGAACACAGTACTTGTGAACAATACTATATGTATAAAATGTGGAATAGCCGTCTAACAACTTTAAATAGCCAAAAAATCAAAAATAGTTGTCAAAATTTTGGAAATATTGTACATAAATTTACTTATATTCTTACATATATGTATCTTCTGTGTGAATCGCAAAATAGATAATACGGCTCTTCTTCTTATTATAAAGATATGGTTTCTATAAAATTATTTTTCACCGAATTACGTGAACAACACGCAACATATTAACACCAAACACTACCTATATTACTGATAAACCCTCAGAAAAACTTTGTTTATGAACAACTTCTCTGAATCCTTACTGACCTAGGGCTGAGGGCACAATAGACCATAGGTCGCGGTGCATACCTCTATTCAATCTATCTACGGACCTAAGCACGCCAATATATCTATTCTGCAGAGGAAAAATTAGAGCTAGTTTAACATATAAACCAAGATTTAATTTTTTTATGTATTTATTTAATCCAAATATTAATTCAAACTTTCAATGGTCTCTATGTTTTTAAGGTTCACAGCCAAATATTGTTTGTAGAGACGTTGCTTGCAGAAGTAATAGAAATCGTACTCGTTGGTGAAGTTCTTACGTATCATTTCTTTGACATCTGCGTCTATTTTTGGCTTTCGCTTGTTCTTATTTCGGTTTGTTATTTCATCATTATGTACTGAAATGGGAAAAACAATTAAAATAAAAACTTTACGAACATAATTGAATCAAATACGAATAGTTTATAAAATTCGAAAAGCACATACTCTCAAACAGTATTTTTGCGCCCTGGAAGAAACGTGGTATGTATTTCTCAAAAACAGTAAGCGTTATATTGGTGTCCTCCCAAGAACCAACCACCGCATAATCTCGTTCGACATGCTCTTTCGCCATCTGTACAGCGGTCGGTGAATTGAAAGGCCTGGCGAAAAAAATGTATAGAAATTAATAGAAAAAGGTATTCAAAATCCCAGTTATTCGATTTTCGCTTACATGCAATCGTCATGATGGCCACAGAAAAAGAGCGTTTGCCTTTTGTAATTTCCAGTGAAATCATTGGTTGTAAACGGCACATATTGACACTCAGGATCACCGCTACGCACACATTTATTGAAATCCTTTTTATACCAGTGCGTTGATCTTGTTGGTTTATTGGGATCCTTGCGATACTCAATGGCATTCTTATAAGCACCACGTGCATAAAAATACCAACTAATTACACGCTCCACTGGATCACGCACTAAATTTATGTAGATCGGTTTTGGCAAATCGAATTTTTCGAAATCAAGCCAATTTACATGTTCTATATACACCGAACCATCAGCAAACTCAGATATGGTTTCGGCCAATTGAATCTGCTCATATTTCTTCAATTGACGTTTGGTAGGTCTATGCAGACCTTCACGCTCTATAACCAGGTTGTTGAAGCCCTCCAATTTGTTAAAAAGTTCAAGTAGCGATTCGCTACCAACTTTGGCACAGCGATTGAAGAAGATAACATCAATCTCGGCTTTGCGCGTGTTATTCAAACGTTCTGCACTCAATTTCTTTAACTATAGATAAAAATGTGAACACTCTTTGAAGTTGAAGAATGTTTGCAGAACTGTATATCTTTGCGATCTCAGCACAATCATCCATTCAATATTGTAATAAAATAAAAAATCTGCAGTGTAACTACATTTATACGGTACATATGTATGACAATAGGAAGTGAACAGGTGAAAAAGTACTGAAAGGATATTTTGAAAACTCTTATATACCCAATTCCGTTATGAGAAATTTTGTTATAGGAAAAATATAATAAAAGTCCTAAAGTTTAGATTCTGAAGATATCTACAATAATAAATTAATAAGACGCTTATAGTAGCTTAATATAACTTTAACATAATATTTAACTTTAGAGTAAATTTTCATTTATAATTTAGTTTAAGACGTATTTAAACATTTTTTTTAATTCCGTTTTGAATTGTAAACATTTTTTTTATTCTCTCGATTTTTTTTATATGATTTAATATCAAATTATATCTTATTCTATAACTCGAATATAGAATATATAAATTCGCTCGAATTCGGATTATTATTACTAGGTAACACTATTTTCACGATTCCAATCATATTTCCTTGCAAAACAGTGATGACTGGAGAAATGAACACTTCACCTTGTCGAATATGGTTAAAAAATGCATGTAATTTCCTTATTGGTCTAACAACATGGATACATTTCGACTCAATATGAAAAATTTTAGGTTATGAGTCTTCAACATTTCAAAGCTCGAATAAAGTTCCTTGAAACATTTCGGTAACGAAGAAATGTATTTCATTAAGAAATCACTTGCCGACCTAATGTTTACGATTTTTTCTCAGCTTACTAATAAGATATACGTTGAATTTATTCGACTTTTTTATAAACATAAGGTACGTTTTGGTAAACAAATATTTTTTTTCAAAGAACATAGTTCCAAACCGAAATAAAAATTATTTGTTTATAAAACGTCCGCTTTCGATTCGAGCCACCAAACAGTTTTGAAATATCCTGCAAAGCGACCATTATTAAAAATAAAATGTTGATCGCAATTTGATCGACCAGTGGATGATTTGAGTTCTAAAATATATGCGGGTAAATTTTTTCGAACTAATGTCTCCTACATTTTGAGGAAAACAAAATCAGGTGTGAATACGGATCTAAACTGCAAAGTATGACCACGAAGTATCAAAGTATCTTCACAAGCTTCCCAATTCCATGTTGAGCCAAGCAAATGGTTAAGGATTGCTAAGTCGAAAACATATTTTACGCATGCCAGTTTCAGTGTTTTCAAATTGAATCATTATAGACTCTTTGCTTTCACATACTGCTCGAATATTAAATAAAGAATAGTTAAAATAAGATAAGATAGCTATTCAGCAACCCAGCAATGAATTTGCCTCTCAACAACCCGCAATAGAATAAACCCAAATAAAAACGCCATTATTTGTTTTAAATAAAATTCCGATATAAATTATTCTGCGAATATGAGATGGTAATTTTTTAACAAAAACTAATCTAATGTTTTTTTATCAATATATTTTAAGTTCGCGTGGGGCTAAATCACGTGGTTTCTGCAAATCTTTATCAACTAGCTTAAGTTCATTCAATTTAAGGGCTATATACTGCTTATGTAGACGTTGGCGGCAGAACTGATAGAATTCAATCTCGCGTGTAAAGTTTTTACGTAACATATTTTTAATATCTTCACTAATGTGTGGTTTCATCGGATTATAATTTCGGATGTTCTTATCCAGACCCACTGTAAAAGCGCATATATGTAACTGTTTTAAAATGTATAATTTATTATTTACTCACTATAATACATATTTTTAGCGCCGCGGAAATAAGACGGTATGTAATTTTCCAAAACACTCAATGTCACATTCGTGTCCTCCCATGTGCCTACCACAGCGTATTCTCTCTCCACCGTTTGCATAGCAATTTGCAGTGGTAATTTAGTATTAAATGGACTGAAGAGCAAAATAGCAAAAAATTAATATTTTTTTCGCGTTACTTTTGAACCAGCTCTAACTGGCATAACTCACGTGCATTTGCGCTCATTGTGACCGCAGAAGAATAATATTTGCCGACGATGATCTCCGACTCGCTCCATAGCCGAACCTTCAATGTACGTGCACACTTTCTCTCCACTCAGCACGCACTGATCGAACTCTGTATTCACCCATTTCGGATTTGGCATTTCTCTGTTACTTTTGCGTCGATTCGGTACAAATATCCATGGTGATCTGATATAATAGTACCAACTAATGACCCGCTCCACCGGATCGCGCACCATATTCACATAAATTGGACGTGATGCGCCGTATTTAGAAAAGTTTAAATAATTCACATGACTAACAAAGACAGTGCCATCCTCTAAGCTTGCAATATTATCAACTAATTCTTGCTCTTCGTACTCGTCGAGCAAGGTACGTATGCCGCCATTATGCGGATCAACCTCAACCTCAAAGTTGTGTACTTTTCCCAACTTGCGCATTAGCTCTATTAACTGTATGCTCCCAGTTTTGGGCACACGATTGAATAAAATAACATCTAAATCGGCCTTAACAGTATTATTCAAATTGTGTGTATTCAAACTGAAAATCTGCGAAGTAACATTGAGATTCGGTGGTTTTAAAAGAATTATTTCTGATATATACATATGAAAGTATATTTGCAAATATTGCTATTTCATGAATGATGAAGCGGCGCACAAGTACTAGAAAATGCTTGTAGGTATATAAAGTTTAACAGTAAGTGGATGAAAATTACCCACATTTAAAGAGAGAAATGATTTGTGCAAAAGTTAGAAAAAATTGTTTCTTCTTATTTTAAAAATGTAGTGAAGGAAAAGTAATCTCGAAATCTGAATATGCTCGAATTGATCAAATATTTATGATAAAAATCTGATACTATTGAAACCCAGATATTATTTAACATTTTTTCTGCCACCAATAATTCAAAGATATTAGGATTTAAATAATTGTTAAGTAGGTGTTAAAGAAGGAAAATAATGCGACGAAAAACCAAATGCTAAAGGCAATTGCAACATAACTGGGAAATGTACATATGAGGGAGGTCCAAAAAGTACTAACCGTTAAATTAAAAAAAAAAATCGGTATTTTTAAATAAGCACTTTTCAAAACTTGTGAAGATTACATTTAAAGTAACAACTTGACATTAAGAATGCGTCTATGCATTTTTTTTAGAAGTTCTTTATATCAAAGCAAATATCATATTGTCATTCTTTTGTTATACAATCTCGCTAGTTGGATTCTATTTTTTCAACGATGGCAAACCCGTTGCTCTTATAATACTTATATAACTAATTTTTTCTTTATATTCCCGACATCTGATGATGCCATCTAGTTCTGGATAACAATCAGTAAGTTTGACTTTTTAATCATTAACTGTTTTATTTTCGCTTGTTGAAAGATTAAAAATAGTTTCAGGATTCTTCTCTAATCCATACAGAAGCGTTCACAGGTATTTTTTTTATTATAATTTAAGACGCTACAACCAAAACTTATAAAATATTCAATGTAACTCATAATTTGTGAAGTCTTCTATTATTGTCGTATACTCGTAACATTTATTTTAAATTTGCACATTCGCAGGTATCCTGAGCTCATTTTATTTGTACATCTATATGTACTGATGAAAGTTCCATTAAATTATTATGTATGTGTAGGACTAATTGAATTGTCTCATCATTTCATCCTTTTTAATGGCAATGTATTGCTTATACAGGCGTTGCTTGCAAAAATTATACAATTCGATTTCGAAAGAAAATTGTACTTTCAAATGTTCTTCAATATCCGGATCCAATTCGTTCTTGTGTGGTGTGGCATTTTTGTGAAAACGTTTTGGGTCACCTAGTCCAGATAAAGGTGATATTAGAGAAAGTTGTTTCGCTTTTTAGTATGAGTACTCAAACACTTTTGCACTAGAACAGCTATTATTCGAATCTAGAAACCTGTCAAATAAAATACTATAAACTGAACCCACGCTAAAGTTAGAATGACAAAAACATGTTTGAAAATTATTAATTTCTTCATTACAATTCGATAAAAGATATTTTACTTGACTTCGATCTATCACAAAATCACTTTCAAAAGAAGCTCTAATATATTTCCTCAAGAAATTGATGGTTTTCGAAAATCCAAAATTTAAATTTAAAATAAATAAATTTTTATATTTGACATGCTTCTAGAAACAAAATAAAACAAACACACTGAAATAAGCGTTCACATCAGTGTGGGAAAATAATTTAAAAAATTATATTTATTTTTACCCACCCTAACATATTTTGTACGATTGTTAAGAAAACTATGGTAACATATATGTATATGGGTAAAAAACCTACTGTAAAACACTTTAGTCGCAGCTCGGAAAAATCTCGGTACGTAGTGTTCCAAAACTGTTAATGTTATATTTGTGTCCTCCCATGAACCGACTACAGCATATTCGCTTTCGATGTTACGTTTGGCTATTTGTGTGGCAGTCTGCGAATTAAATTGCCTGCAATATAATGGGAGTTTATGGCAGTAACTTTTTTACTTTTACTTATTGCATAGACGACTAATTTCATAACCCTTTAAAGGCAATGTAATTTAATTGAAATTCAACTAACTCTTTTAATAAACGTACAAAACATTTTTAGTACTCCACATAAAAAGATATTTATAGTGCTAATTCTTACTCGCTTCTGTCCGATAAAGGGTTAATTTATAAATGTTTAAGCTAAATTTTTTCTGTGCATGTATGTATAAATATTTATACAGTGGCTTAAAATCTTTAAACGTAATACTTAAATACAATACAAAATGACGTAAAGAATAAAACGTAAGTCAGTAACAACGTTACTACTTCAAAAAGAAATTACATTTTATATACAACCAAAACTCGATAGCCCGAGCAAGCATTAATTCTATATAGCAAACATATAAGCCGAAAGTTTACCTCATCCTGTTTCGTAAAACCATTTGTAATTGCATTTGTGTAAATTTCACAAAATTTCGGAAATTCGATTAGCTTTATCTATCAATAGTCCGAGTTAGTGAGTTTTGGTTGCATTTTTGGGTAACTTCCACTTACTTGCATATCTCTATATTGCCGCAAAAATGCATAGCAAGTCTACGCCAATCTGCATTGTATGGATTATGGGAGTCGAAAATACATTCTTTACGCTTTTGTCTTATGCAATCGTTGATATTCGTATCGAAATATTCCTTATCTTCCATTTTATGTCCGTTTTGCACGTAGAATGCAAAAACAGCCGGATGACGTATATAATAGTAAGCGCTTACTACTTTTTCAATTGGATGACGAACTAGATTTATATAAATCGGCTTATTATAACCAAATTCAGTGAAGTTAATCCAATTTATATGTTCTACATAAGAGAGTGTTTCATTTTCGGCAATTATATCTTCAACAATTTCACGCTGCACATCAACATCCGTTAAGATAGCGGCAAACTTTAACGGTGCATTACGGAAAGGTTCAAAATTATTTATCCTCGAGAGCGCATTTAAAAGCAAGGACATTGATTGTGAACCGACCTTTTCTAGGCGATTAAAGAAAAGTACCTCTAGTTCGGCTTTTTTGGTATTATTTAGTTGATCCGCATTTAACGTGTAAAGCTTTATGATTATTTTTGGGAAAAAAATTGGAAACAGTGGGAAGATTTTGTAAATCTTTTGAATTTGTTAGCACTTCTATGATGTCTATTTTACGTACAAACATGTGTGGGTTAATGGGAAGAAATTGTCGGAGTTGAGCTGAGATGAAATGGTACCACTACTATGTAATGCACATCTACTTATTGTTAATTGAAATTGCTAATATCCATACCAGTTCTTGTTAATAAAGTGCGGTACTCAAGTACCTAAATATATTTGTTGTAACTTTTGCGACTCACTTCATAATGTGTAGTTTTCGGAGTGTCAAACTCAATGAGTGTCTTAGTAAAGCCACTGAACACGCGATCGCGAACAACCTCTTCAAGGCAAATTGACCGAGCGAATATAGAAAAATTTGAGTTCCGTCAAAAAAATCGTATGCAGTCTTAACGTAATTTACATTGATATTTTTACAATGCCGTATGCGGTGCCCACTCATCGAAATGTTACTATTGTCAATTTACCTGATTTTTTATTGAATTTGACATTATGAAAACCACATATACATATTTACTTACAATACATATTTTGCATAAACTGCATAGACTTATCTACATATATGCCTATGGAAAATAATTATGTGCTACGGAATTACGAGACGGTATAAAAATTACAGTTTGCGGTTGTAACTAAATAGCCATTTATACATATTCAAGTAATACTTATTCGAAATTTAGTTTTATTAGAGTTATCGGTTTGCAAAAATTTTCTAAAACCGCAAGCTAGATCAATGTTTCTTACAAACTTTGACTAATATTTCTAGACAAATTTCATATTTTATGATATCACCAAACCTAAGTACTTACACTAATATTTATTTATAAAATTACTATTACAAACATACCTAAATACATACATGCATCAGATAACGTAGAAATGCAATTTCCAAAAAATATTTTTTAACATAACTCAAGAATCTGTATTTATGCAGCCATATAGCAGCCATAGCTGCAGGAAAATACGTACTTGCAAACAGGGCCATTTCCACAAAAATGCATCGAAAAACGGCGCCAATCACCGTTAAACTCAATATGCGGATCAAATATGCAATCGGGTATTTTGCCGGCTCGTACACAATCGTTGAATGAGGTATCAAAAAATTCGAAACTTTGCGTCTTTTTTTTCGGATTCCTCAATAACGCATTGTTATAGATAAACGGATGTCTCAGATAGTAATAGGCACTCTTGACCTTTTCAATTGGATGTCGAACCAAATTAATGTAAATCGGTTTCGGCATATCAAGCTGAGTAAAATTTATAAAATTCCTATGCATTGTATATGCACTGGGCACGCCGTAATCGAAAATTTCATCGGCTAATTCTTTTTGGTCTTCAATTGTATCAACCATTTTGCCAACTATGCGCACTCTGATGTTATATACGAAATTATTAACCCTTGATAAAGATCTCAATAGTGTGCTCATCGACTGGCTGCCCACTTTTTCCAAGCGGTTAAAGAACAAAATGTCGATTTCGGCTTTTTTGGTATTATTGAGCATCCATGGGGTTAATGCATTGAGCTTGTTTATTTTAATAAGGAAGGTACATTTTTTTCACGAAATATTTTTTCAACAAAATTTTACAAATTATTGCAATGGAGATGAAGATGAAAAAATCTACATGTTAATGACTCCCCACTTTTCCGAATTTCAGTTGATGGCTTACGAACAGAAATACAATAACTCTTGCACTCATGTTTTAGGAGAACTTGAGGTGGAAAAATGTATTTTTTAATGTTTCATTTAATTGTTTTGTTATTGAAGAAAATATTTGGTTTAGTATGGAAATTGTTATTATCTTTCAATATATATAGCTGTAAAAACAAAAGGCTGAATTTTTTTGATTAGTTCCACTATAAAAATGTTTTAGAATTCATAAAATGAAATTACATATAGTAAAATATTTTTTTTATTTAATATTTAATTTTTTTTTTAATATTTTATATAACTGTATGCGAAAGATGTCATATAGAGTCAAGACACAGATAAAACGCGAAGAGTAACACAGTCGTATTATTAACAAAAGCAGGTGAGCAAAAATATAAACGCTTTAGAGACACACGTAAAAACTGTTTGTATGAAATATAGTCAGTTATATTTGAGTGCTATATATGTATGTAGTTACTAACTATTTCAATATTATGTAAATTTTAATTTTTTCTTAAATTGTGATCATCTCTATTCTTGCGAATTTATATATCATTATTTATTAATTAATTTTTAGCGGTTAGTACTCCGTAATGCATAACTCTTAAAATAACTTCGTAAAATGCATTTTAAAATGCACTATCAGAAATGTATTTTGTTGTGCTCTGTTATTATAAAAAGAAAAAGATACCATACATAAGCCTTATCCTCATTTTAGATAACGGTTATGTATGTAGAATGGTTTATATGTAATAGTAGTTTATGCTCACTGACCGAATGACCCACAATATCATTTAACGATACACTTATACGAGGTACTTTCATTTTCATTGCCTACACGCTTAATGAATTCATTATAAAACAATCACAATTTAATGACCAAGTTTAAAAATGCTTTTTGATACATACATATATGTAATATGCTTGTAATTCCAATAAATAGGTAACTTTTGCGATTATCGATTTTAAAACTATTATATAGCACTGAATATTAATAATTGTTGTTACATAATACCAAAAGGCAATTATCTGCAGCTGTATAAGCAATGATACGAGTGGATCGGATCCATATAAGTGAATGAGTTTTTATTATTAAGTTTTAAATTTGGAGAATTTTAAGAAATATTTTTAACTTGTATAGCTTTTTATAGCAGTTAAAAGCACAATAACTATTACAGCAGCGATAATAAAACAAAAACGAAAAAATGCGGCGTACGGAATGCAATAGAAAATGTTGCTTGCATGGGCATATGCAACTCTAGCAAAATCACTATTATGACTACTACTGCATACAAGTGGGTTACCACTTAACTGCAATAGATTCAGAAATATCAGTTATATCATAATTTTCAATGTATTGTTTACTTTTTGAAAGTTTTAATTAAAAAACTTAGTTAAAGACATAATAAATTTCACATGTTAACTCCAGGAAAATCTGATTATCTTAAACAGAACACCATTAAATCACCACGAAATCACTTGAATATTAGTCATACATATATTTTTGAGTATTTAATATACGAATGCTTTCACGTTGTATTTTTCAGCGCATAATACTGCTTATACAGACGTTGTTTGCAAAAATTATAAAACTCATATTCTCTTGTAAAGTTCTTTCTAATCAGTTCCTTTATGTGAGCACTTATAGTCGGTTTCCACGGATTGACATTCATTGGTGTCGATATCATTCCATTTTCAACATCTATAAAAAATATTCAGTAATCGGAGAATATATTTGTGAACCCAAGTCTTTATGTACAGAAGTTAAATTATATGAAAATGCATAAGGGATGCCAAACGATTTTTTTTCGAGCAATCAAGATTATATTTTGTATTTAATAATTTTTATTTTCCGATAATATAATTCTTCCTTAAATGAAACGAAAACAATTTTAAAAATCCCTTTACCTGAGATAATTTTCTTTATAATTTTTAACTGGATAAAACAATTAAATATTGGATTTTTTGTTTTAAGTTAATGTATTATTAATTATTTATTTTTTAATAAATTAAGAATTATCAACACTTGGCATCCCTAAATATATATATTTTTGAATTTTTTTTTAAATTTTTTCCAAAGGTCATAATTTTTAACGTCTGTAAATAAAATCATCTATTCTACATTCAATTTACCAAAATACAGTTGCGTTGCACCTCGGAAAAATCTCGGTATATAATGCTCGAATACTTCTAATGTAACATTCAAATCCTCCCACGAACCAACCACAGCATATTCATTCTCTACATGCTGCATAGCCAATTGTAAGGCCCCGTTTGAATTGAAAGGTCTGGAATTATTTTAACTATGTAGGTTCAAAGAGGCCACCATGCTACCGAATTATGAAAACAAACATACTCGCAACTTGGATCATGCCCACAAAAAAATAATGTTTGTCGCTTATGGTCGACAACGGAATTTTGAAATTTGGAGTCTACTTCATAGCGACACTCGAGATCACCACTCATAGCACAGTCTTCGAAGCCTTTCTTATACCATTGCGGTTTGCGGAATTGCTTAGTTAATTTATACATTCGCACAGCAGTCCAAGGTGCACGCTTATAATAGAACCAACTGATAACACGTTCCACCGGATCTCGTATCATGTTGATATAAATCGGTTGTGGCAATTCGAAATGTCTGAAATCAATATAATTCACATGCATTGAGTATGCATAGGGTTCGCCAAAATCGAGAAGCTCATTGGCCAGCTCCTCCTGCTCATCCTCCTCGAGACGCTGCCGGACAGGTTCGGAGAAGGGCGCACGACTTACACCAAAATCATTGCGCACACTCAACCGCCGAATAAGTTCAATTAGCTGTTCACTGACAACTTTCGGTACACGATTGAACAAGAGTAAGTTTGTCTCAGCAAATTGTGTATTATTCACATTCTTTGACTTTAACGAATGTAACTGCGCACGGTTTTCGGCAAAAGAGAAGATAAAATTATCACAATTTTTATTCTTTTTTAAAATATTTGCTTAATTAAAGCTTTAATGGTTTTGTCTGAACCTTAAAGGCAAAGGTGGGAAAAATGAGCGAAGTTGAGTTCGAAAAATTAATAGAATGCCAATATCTTTGTATATATATTTTTTTTAATAGCTCTTATAATTATGCATACAAATAGATATACTAGAGGCATATATGTGTGTATTAATAATCATCATCGTATATCTCATCATCATCACTGTGCTGTGGTAATAGCACATAGTCATCATTGTCTATTCTGCCGAAATTACTGATCGCACTATATTGCAAATATAGACGCTGTTTGCAAAACTCGTAAAACTCAATTTCATTGGTTAAGTTCTTGCTAAGAATCTCACGCGTTTTCTGACTCGCTGACCTTTTCACCGGGTTCCTATTTACTACCGACAAACGCTCTTTACCCACTGAAATATTGAGAGATTGTATTGAAGATTGAATAAGTAAACAATTTTAATAATTCCTCTTACTATAGTAAACAACTTTCGCATGTTTGAAAAATTTCGGTATATAATGCTCTAGTACGGATAGGGTGATGTTTGTATCGTCCCACGTTCCAACCACTGCATAATCTTGTTCTACCGTACGCTTGGCTTTCTGCATTGCCGCAACAGAGTTAAAAGGCCTTTAGTCGTGTAGAAGAACATAAATAGCTTTGAATTAATGTTTCCCTTATACCATACACTTAAACACATAACATAACTACAAATAAACAGGCCTGTATGTACATTAGGCTGGGAGACAAAAAAAATCTAATACATTTTACTAAGCCTCAAAAGCTTTCAATGTGAAGTGTCCTAACCACAAAATAATTACTACCGCAAAAATTAATCACATCTTTGGCTTTCAAGGCAATCGCTTTCAATAACAATTGATAAAGGAAAGGAAACTGTAAAAAGAAAATGGAATGAGGCAAAAAGTTGTAAAGACTAAATTAACTCAACTATAAAATGCGAATGCAAATTAGAAAAATATGGGAAAGTATGTCAATAAATATTAAGTGAAATTTCCCGAACTCACAGTGCTTCATATTGCTGTAGATCGTATATACATATTTCTAAATCGGTAAATAATTTCTGTAATCATATTTCGTAGTGTAATTCCAAAACATTCTTATTTCGTAAAGCATTCATGTTCATCAAAAAGAAATTGATGGCATAACCAAAATATCAGATCGACAATTTTTAATTTAAAATAAAAAAAAACAGAAAATCTTCATTAATTACAATATTTTAAAATACTATTTCTTTTCAATTGTTCAAAATTAAAAGAAGATAATTTCATACCCCTAAGAATTTAAATACAATATTAAATGAAATGTCAAAACTTGTATTTACGAATAAGCCGCGTTGAAGTTGAAGAGTAGAACTGTTCTCAAAAGGGTTTTCTATGTTTTTACTTCTAACAGGCAAATTATTGCTTAGTCAGTAGAGAATTGTGTTTCCCAAAAACAAATATTTACAGTCGACCCACCCTAATGCACATATGTATGCGCGTTTGATTGCACTATGGTTGTGAACGTGCAAAATCTTCTTTGCAAATAACGCCTTTTGTATTTTTTATTCTACTTACATGCACAGTTTTTTATTTTGTCCGCAAAAGAATAGCGTTTGCCGACGATGGTCACCGGATGCATTTATTATCTCATCCTGATTGAACTGGCAGTATAAATTATTTGTTTTCACGCAAGTGTCCAAATCCATATTCATAAATTCGTCTGAAGGTCTTGGTGGAGCTTTATCTCCCAGCTTAGCCTTCATGTCTTTGTAATACCACTCGGCTCGAATATAATAATGCCAACTTATAATCCGTTCGATGGGATGTCGAACCAAGTTTATATAGATCGGTTTGGGTAAGTGGAAACGAGTGAAATTTATGTAAGCTAAATGTTGACTGTAAGCATGCGGTTTCGGCAAGGTCAATACCTCCATCATCAATTCACGCTGCCGACTTGGTCCAATTAGAACAGTCTCGAAGCGTTTACCGGAATCGCGTGATGTGGTGAAACCGTTTAGTTTACTCAAGCGAGTCATCAGTTCCATTAACGACTGACTACCCACTTTAGCAACCCGATTGAAAACTATCAAATCTACGTCAGCTTTCTTAGTATTATTCAAATCGCTAATGCTTATGCCATTCTCCACAGTCTCCTTATTCTCGCCACTATCGTCGTCGACTATTGCGTTTGCCGATTCACGAGTATCTTCGGAATCAGCGTCATCGTGATTATGGGAATCCTCAAATTTATTGAAATGTTGTTCATATGGTCGAACTTTACGTAATTTCGGATGAAGATGGCCTTCCTTGTGTACCTTGTCGTCATGGTGCGCAGCATGGTGTCGTTGGTGTCCCTCATCAATATTATCATTATTCATATTGTGAATGCTATTATTATCATTGTGTCGCCTGCGTACATTTCGCGGATTGCGCTGTTAGGGGATTGAGTTGTGGCCATAACATACAGCAAGAATTTTCTTTTTTTTATCGTAATGAGACCGACTTGAACCTCAACCATTAATAGGCTTACAAACGATTATGGACAAAAATAACGGTATAATGAAAGGAAGCTAATGGAAACAGGGTCACTACGTGAAAATCAACAACTTTTAAGGAGATTAGTAGCACAAATGTATAAAAGATGAACATAACCGATAACAAAAACGCTCTTAGGTTATATGAATGTGACAGCACAATAAAATTAACCCAGAAGAGTTCGAATATAATTACCCTATGCTTTTTAAGATACAAAAGTATCTTTAACAGTCTCACTATTTTAACCTACAGAGCATTAAAACTCATCTTTCATACAAGTATATTCCAAAAAGAACAATTTTTTATTACGGTTGAAAGTCTTATTGACTATATTGAAAATAAGTTTTTCTTAATAGTTTTTAAAAATTTTTCAAAGCTATAGCGATTATCACATGTGATATAACTTACGAATTTACCACCATTTTGATTATAGAAGTAAGACCATTTTATATGACATATAATTACTCATATATATACATATATAGTATTATGTTAATCGGCCATCATAACTCAGAAAGAAAATTGGAGAATCAAGAAATGTTATAAGTAGAGTGAATATACTCGTACAGTTTTCGTACGAGTACTTCGCTTTGATGATACCATGATTTTTCAGCAGAAAAACAGCTGATCTAGTATAGCTAATTGAAGTATTATTTAATTTGGTTGAGAAGATAAAATATAACAAATTAAAAAAGTTAATACTAAGTATCTTAGAAAGTAAAGGCAGTAATAAATTACAAATTATGCTACATGATAATTAGTTCTGCATAAAGCGTACAAGGCAAATATGTCATATTAAATTTAAAAAAAAAATACTTTTCCATTCGCTATGACAGCCTTGCAAGAAAATAGTGTTGAGCTCAAGCTTCTTACGATAGTAATATCCTTTCAAAGCGAATTTAAATTTCATAACGTAACGATTTTATAGCAATATATTGTTTATAAAGACGCTGTTTACAGAAATTGTAAAATTCAATTTCATTGGTTAAATTCTTGTGCAATATTTCACGCACTTCCTGTGAAACACTGGGTTTAATTGAATTCCTATTAACTTGGTGTAATCGATTCTGAGCCTCTGAAAATTGAAATGATAAGTAAAATAAACATATTGAACAAATTTGAGCAAAAAATTACTTAAAATTTGGATTTTCAATAAAAAAAAAGAGCTCCCACATAGAACTTTATAAGAAAATCATACAGAGTGGATTAGAGCAGCACCGAAGTGCTAAAAGCTTAAGGAAACATCTAAACTTAATGCAGCACACTTTTGAAGATTTTGAATTATAATATAATAATATTATTATATTGTATGTATGTCTGATACAAAAGCTTATATCGAAATAAATAATGAATCAATACTACATTTTTATAAATTATATATCACATTCATCAGAGGTAGCACATATAGCTTATTATTGTTGAGAAAGAGTAGAGGCACCCACATACTATATAAAATTTATATGCGATATGACACTTTCTGAAAGCCAAATGCCTCAGAAGTAATTTTAATTTCTCACTAGTTGAGAAATATTACGAGAAGTTTGTTCAACTCGACCAAGGGATTTCAGAAAGCCACAAAAGTTGTAACATAGGATATTCTCATATCAGCCTGTAGGCCTTGTTTTTGAAAGTGTATATATTGTATAAATGTAAAATAAGAAAAATGTATTACGATAATATGCCTCCGTTGCTCCTGAAAAGAACCTCGGTATATAATGTTCCAGCACTGTCAGCGTAATATTAGTCTCTTCCCAAGTACCAATCACAGAATAATAATTTTCAACATTTCTTTTTGCCCGTTGCATTGCCTGGTATGAATTGAACGGCCTATGTGTAAATAAAAAAACAAAAATAAAAACATAATGTGTTTGCTGACTAATCCTTTTTCTTAAGTTTATTTCCCTCACGTATTCGGTAAAATTAAATTTTAATATTTTTCGATTCGCTACTCCAAAAGTCAACTCCAGTAGTTACAATTTAGTTTTTACAATAGAACGAAGCATCATGCTCATGAAAGAAAACCTCGCTTTATATAAAAAGTTGTCATATAAAGTCTATATAGGCAAACGAATATGAAACTGCCCAGATAGTGAATGAACTGAAAAATACTCTGTAAATTCCTTTTCCACAACAATCGGTAATTCCCTTCTTTTATTATGACTTTACGCAAAAAATATATACACAAAATTTTTACTCACATGCATAACTCTCTATTTTGACCACAAAAAAACAGCATTTGTCGACGATGATCACCTAGACTATGCTCTTCGCCTTGAGTAAATGTACACTCTTCATGGTGTTGTAGTACGCAAGTTTCAAAAGATTTCTTCAACCATTTTATGCTGGGAACTTTATATTCCCCGGGGAAATTCCGCACACGTTCTGCAATATACCAAGGAGCACGCACATAGTAAAACCAACTAATTAAACGTTCGACCGGATGACGTACTAGATTTATGTAAATGGGCCAAGGTAAGTCTAGTTTCCCGAAATCAATGAATGCCACATGTTTTGTATATGTTGTTCCTTCTCCTTTCTCCATTATCTCATCTGCTACACTATTTTCGAATGTCTTTGTCAGCATTACGGTCTCCATTGGGGAGGGTTTATCACGACGTGCCCTAAATTCATGGCGTTTACCGAGTAAACTTAAAAGAGCCATCATCGTTTGGCTACCCACTTTGGGAACACGATTGAATAGGACGATCTCTACTTGAGCTTTTGATGTTTGGTTGACACTTTCAGGTGTCAAATACGGCAACTGTCAATGGATCGAAGAGGAAACAAGCGGAGAGCAAAGCTTAGATATTATAAACTTTATTTTTATAATTTATATGTATGTACATATTGGTTTGTACTACTTTTGTAAATTTTACTTTATTACTAGTTATGAGGACGATCAGACCAACCCCGGAATTGTTAACGTGATGACTGCGAAAACATTTAAAATTTGTCCGATAACCGTAAAAACGTAACTTTGCTGATATATATAGGGCTTATTACTGGTCCCATACGAATTTTGCTCAGACTTCACGACAAGTATTTCTATTGACAGTAAAATACCTTAAATAACAACTGATACTTACCACTTATTTGTATTTGAGAAATATCGAAAAATTAAATATTAATAAGAAAGAGGTAGGGATATGTTCCAACGTACAAATCTATACATATATAATGTACACAAATGTACAACAGAACACACAAAAGATGTGTATATTGAATGAAGTATTAAACTAAAAAATAGCTCAAAGCGTTGTTTAAGATAATACCGGTATTTAAGCCGGGTTGTTAATTCAATAGTCGATAGTCGTTAATTTGTAGTATATTTTTTTTTAGAAAATTAACGAACTACAGCTACCTTGTAACAAAGTACTAATCAGAGTATGAAGAAAAAATTATAATATTTTTAAATTGTAATTCACTAATCAGTAAAAGCTTTATGGGATTACATACAGTTAGAATTTTCAAAAAATCGATTTTATTATTTATTTTTCTTAATGTATATATTTTTAATAATACAGATATCGTTCCGGTCAATATTTTCGAAGTAACACGTAAATTTGAAAAAAAAAATTTATCCCATGTTAAGTGCATTCTGTAGTTTTGCTCAGAATCGTGTTTTCAAAGTCGGTGACCAACATTACTCGAAAACGGCTAAACCAATTAGTCTCAAATTTTAACATGAGCTTTTTATTATGTTATTTAGTAATTAATCGAAGTTTTTTCTCTCCGCTAAATATTTCTGTTTTTATAAACAATTTAAGGCCAAAATTTCGGTGAAAACTCGATTTTTTCTTTTTAAAACCGCCATTTTGTCAACAAATTTTATGTTGCTTATTCCTTCGATTAATCACTAGATTTAACATTACTTTAACGAAATCTGTTTGGTTTTTTATTTCAGATGATCCAGTTCAGAGATATAGTGGTCACTGCAAAACGTCTTTTTTGAGAGGAGCTCCCGGAGATCAGCTGTAGCTCTTTTCCAAACAAATATTTTTCCTAGCACTAAGTCTTAAAATATAGTTAAAAGGTACCGTAATATGTTTGTAATTATGTTTTAGATCAATAAAATTAAAAGTTTTCTCAGAAAAACTTCTGGAAAATTCACTTTTTTCGGCCTTTTAACTGTATATAACCCCTTATGTAGATAATACCGAATCCGATAAAAGAGATTACAAAAAATGGGGCAATAGATCACAAATACTCTTCACTCAAAACAAAACCTTTTTTACTGAGCAGTTTCTAGGGGCAATAAAAAATTCTGAAACTTCTATATATTTAATGTACTCGTACCAATCTATCTGACAACCTTTGCGAAACCCGTAGCATTTAACTGTTAATTGTCCACAAGAATGCATACACGGAACTAACACCACATACAAATAAGCTTTTTAAAAGAATAAATAATTACTAATTAATATCTAACACTTTATTCATTTCAATTGTCGTCAGCTAAACGAGGATGCATGCTCGAATTACAACATATTTTTGCAAACTGGGCCGATTTAAATAACAAAATATCATTGACATCGATAAGTTGTTGGTTGTTTATTTGCAATGCAATACTCTTGCATACGAGTATGTATGTGAATGTTGGCAAGCGCAAACCAAAAATGTTACAAACATTTTCTCATACAACCGGAAAAGTTGGCGAGAGCAGCAAGTTGCAGTCAGTTGAGCCAAAGTAAGAAGCCACTTTTGGAGACAAAGACATGCGATATTCAAGATGCCACAGAACCACCGTTGTGGTGAGTAAATACACTACACTACGTGTATGTGTGTGTCTTATTGAAGCCTACTCAGAGCTTACAGATGTCAAACCACTTTATTGGACGATCTTGAAAATGCAGGTATTCTATACGCCGTGGCAAGGTCAGGGTAACGTACTACTTCGAATGGTGTCTTCTACACTGATGGCAATAGTTATTATGTTTGAACAAAAAAAAATTTAATAACGCTTGAACTCTGATGTGGAATTGATGTTAAAAAAAATAAATTAATTATTGTATTAAAAATTTCATATATATGAAGACACATATATTTAGTACAACGCAACATTGCTTTTTTACGGCTTCAAAATGTTGTGAAAATGATTTAGCTCGTAACTCGTAAAAGTGATTAAAGTGATCATATCAATAGATATTATTATTTTTAAATATAATAAACTGAAAGCACAAATATATAAGAATATTTTTGTTAAAATATACACCAATACTTGTTGTTGTAAATATATATTATAAATTCAGAAAAATTATGAAAAAAGGATACGAGTAAACGAGCATATACCGTTTAATGTTTTTTATGATTCACCGACACATGGAAAAATTGATCAACAAACTTCCAAATTGCAGCAAATAAACCATTATCTATTTTGTCTTAAATCCATTGTCATAATGGAAATAAATTGTAGATGTATGTCCACATTACAAAGAATCCACTTATGTTCTAAAACTAACTGAAATTCTAATAATACCGCCAAAAATTTCACATTTAATCATATGTTCATAGTTATATCTTCTATGAAAATGCTTAATACATTGAAAATTTCATTTCGAAGAAAAAACATTTTCCATAAGAAATTATATAATTTTTCCCCAACAAAAAAGTGAAAGCGGTAATTTTAACGATACCATTGTATTTTTTGGAATGATGAAATTAAAGCGGATTTTAAAACTAAATAAATCTTTTTTCTTGTATTGTATAAAAAGTTTTTCCACATTTTCATACAAGAAACTACAAATTCACTTTTACAAAATTTAGTTAGACTCACACATAAAAACAATTTCCTGTAATACACTTTGTCGCACCAGTTCGCAGAAGTTTATAGTAGGTTTAACTATGTAAAAATTGTGTGAAAATACTTTTCAGCTTCGATTGAAATTATTTTCGCCTTGAAATTGTTTAAATACTATAATGTACTAGTTTAATTCGCCTACCTGAGTTATCCACAATTTATAATTTTTTTTCAAATTTTTCAAATAATTCTATGACCCTGACACAAAGTTGAAAGGTTAGTGAGTAGCCAAAGACATTCAAAAGCATAGTCCAAGTAGAATAGAGAACACAGAGGACAGTATTTGTAAAAATTAGGTATGTATGCTAAAGGCCGAAGGAGTAGATGGTTCAGAGCTGAAGAGGCGAATTTTTGTACATTGAAATGTGGTCATAAATGAGTTTCAAATATGTCTAAGTGTGTAAGTGTGTAAAATATGCGATATACTTGTATGTATGGATGTATGTATTTTTAATATGTACCTTTAAACAATCTATGTTTCTCCTGAGGTATATGTGTTTAATGTATGAAAGTGTTTCTGCGAGTATATGTGTCTGAGTATGTGTGTGAACTTTTAGAAGCCCATTAAATATCCATTGCAAAGACAGAACATGGACATGTAATGCGTTGTTTACTATTACAACAATGTCGATCAGAAGGGTGATATCTTTCGCCCAATTATTTATGCACAAAACTTTCACGGGATCAATTACAAAATATAATAAAATTATTATATATAAACACTAATAAGATTTATTTAAAATTATTGACAGTCAATCATTATTAATTTTTTTATTAAATTAACACTCCGTTGTTGTAATCTTTTGTACAGATAATTGAAATAACATAAATTAACGAAATTGTAGTATTTATAAAAAAATGTTTTCCTTGACTTTTTTGAATGTTCACATTTTTTAAAACACACTTTTTTCGAGACATAATCTCAGGCGAAGATATACGATACTCCTCGTACACACCGAACAATACATATGAAAATATGAAGATATGCATTTTAAGACGAAATATTATCCGGTACCACTAACGCGAGGCGTGCAAGCACTTCAAAGTAACCGATGTTGTATGGTATGAACGAAATAAGATCTATATAAGTATGTATATGCATACAGTTCGACCAAAACAATATATGTCCAGTACCATGACACCATGAAATGAATAACGACGAATTTATGTAATGGCTTCGATGATTAAGCAATATATTTTTTATAATTTTCTTTTAACTCTAAACTTACCTGGCCGGTGCTCTTGAGATATTGATAGGTGCCATGAAGTGTGTTGATATTATCACGTCCTAAAATCGGAGAAATAAATATTTACTGAGTTACCACAATGTGCAATGTACAAATCTACAAATACATATATGGTATATTTCTTAATACTTCTCATACTCTTTGTATGGGGCGTATACGTAACATTGAACTTTTTTATTGATTTGGCAGCGTAACTGAGTCTAATTGATTTTTAATCTGCATGCGTTTACTCCTAAAAGATATATTCTTACAGTATTCCATACAAACAACATTTATATCAAATGCTTTGAATCGGAAACTTCAAATTGTTCTCTGCTAAACTCGACTTAATTGATTTCAAAAGTTTTATATTTGCTAAGAATGCCTTTGATATTTACGAAGTAAAACAAAATGAATTGAACAATATGATCTTTTATCCAGTCTCATAGGTCAAAAAATGTGTTGAAAATTAAAAAACGTTGTTTGTAATTCTTATTTGACATTACTTACTTGATGACTCCCTTGGATTGATTTGATTGCCAGTTAAGCCGAGCGCTGAGAATTCCGATGGTTGCAACTTGACTTCCATCTCTTTGAGGCGGCTGTTAAGTTTATTTGTATGCATGAAAAGGAAAAATGTGCATGATATCGCCAAAATAGCGATGAGTTCAACGGATCTGTAAGAGATAGAAATCACAAATATGTTATGTATTGTATGTATGTAATTTATATAATAAATATAATACGCATACATACACAAAATTATGAAATAAAAAAAATTTAAAACCAATATATATTTATAACTTATACCTATATAGTTTTTTAAAGGAATAAAAATTGTTGAATAAAGTTGTATATTGGCCCATCCTAACCCTGGAAATGTAAATAGATGCCTCAATAGCGAACTAATTTACTTCATGTTCATTCAATTATTAGGGTTTCTTAGTTAATTTTATAAGTTAAAAAAAAGTCATACAAAGAAAGGTTATACGGACAACTGGTTTAACTGTAAAGTCAAAATTAATTTATGCAATATTTATATAGGAGCAGCAATATGTTCACCAGTGCCATCTCTTCGGTGTAGGATATCTTTATTCTCTAAAAAATGTAATAACATTAATCCTGAATACTATTTAATTATAATAATTTTTATAGATGGTTTCTCTTAAAATTATTTATGTTTTGAAAACAAAATTACACATTGTAGAACTAATGCTTTTTCCACACTTCTTAAAATATTTTTTTGCCACAGAAGTGGGAAACATCGCAATTTGCTTTAAGATATTTCTACAGTGTTGCTATAAAATGGTATAAATATGTACAATATTTCATTCTGGTACTGCTAATGAAGTAAACAAAAAAAGAACAGTAGTCGGTTTTGTAAACAAGCATATTTTCTCTTTAAAATTATTAATAAGCATCTTAAGATATTCAAAGAGGTCTTTGAACTCATGCGTACGCACCCGCAGGCAGGTGATATGGCGGTAAAAAATTCAAGTCAAATTGGTCAGAAATACGCTTAGCAGAATAAAAACACGCAAAAACAAAGATAAGTCAATAATATACATATGTTTTCATGTGTGTACGTTGTTTGATTTTACACATTGCAGGTCGGCTAAATAAGAGTTCAAGCACCTATGCCTCTTCACGAATAGTTGTTCAATAAATTATTTATGTGACCAAGCCACTGGTCGACTAAGCAGCCAAACCAACGATGAATCGTCAAATTAATTTGAATAATGAAGGTAAGGATCGATTTGAATACCAGTTTGTATGCATATTAGTTATAAGAAATTTTTAATGAAGTTTCCAGCGTCAAAAAAAGGGTCTGTCTGCGAGTTCAATGAACGCTGTACCTTCAACCGAATGCTGAACGCTTAAATGAACTTGCCAATATGTGATCCAACCCGATTATACAATATTTGACGCTAATATGCAAATTTTCATTTGTTTTTAATTTTAGTTTCTTCGGTTGATAATTACTCGTTTGCGTTTTTTTAGGAATGATGATGGTATACTACTGTAAAATAAACTTTTACTAGAAATAAATTTCACTAAGGCGAACATATACGAGTTTACTATATTAAACATTTTCAAGGCAATTAAAAATGTATGTTTTTTTAGCGTCGTATTCCGGCTAGAGATTGTATATATACTTGTATATAGACTGGCATAATCAGATCGGCAATAGTAAGGGTGACTTTGAAGAGGTCACATTCTCTTTAGCATTGAAATCAATTCGATCAATTTGTTGTTTTTTTTCGTTAACAAGAGAGCAGATCTCAAACATTGGGAGCATAGAATGGTGGAAAAAGTTCAAGTTGTTATCAAAAATTTGATCATTTATCATATCGACATAACCAATTTCCAACTAAACGCTTCAACAATCTACTAACATATTTTCCTCATAATTCACTCAACATTTTTAATTTTATTCAATAATATAATTTTATCATTATTAGATAAGCTATAATTTTAGCGACATTATAGTTATATTAAAGGCATTATTATTATAATTAGGAAGCAACATCACATACTGAAATACTGAACAAAAAGTGCGAAAAATGGTTAAGTTTTGGTTGTTTTCAACAAACCAATAACTACACTGAATTAGATGAATATCATTCAACGAAGCTTACGCTTACATCACTAACTTCATCAAAATTTAAATATTGCCAATTTCTGCCAATTAAGTGCATACGTGAAATGAGACTAATTTTGACCTATATCTATATTTAACTAAAATACACTTATTAGGTTGTTAAGTGTGGGTGTCAAAAGCGTAAGTGAAATTTCGAACATTTTTTTTTAAATAGATGACACCCAAAACTTGTGAAAGTTTACAATGCTCTTTTAAGTGGTATAAATTAGCAAGATTCAAGTTAAAAAAAATATATATATTAAGCAAATGAAAACAGGCGGCAATTCGTAGGAGAAAATTCGCAAAAAACCGTGACGAGAGCACATAATGCTAATCAATTTGACGGTAGCGCGCAACAACTAATCTTTAAAGGCATGCTTTGTGCATACATATATTTAAGTATGTCTATATGTATATATATTATATGAGCAAAGCCATTAGCATTTGCTACCATCGGTACAAGTATCAAGATTCATATTTTTTTCTTCTTTTATGTAAGAAAAATATTTGCAAAGTCTGAACATTTTATGGCTCTGCCGGGTGTTATCTCAAAATCAATAAAATTACGCAAAAGAGCATTAGAAATGTAATGAAAACAATGAAGTGAAATGTTACAAAATTCATTATTGGCACTCAACTTGCAGTTGAAAGCGAACTTAGAAAGCGGCGACATTATTATATTACGGATAGGCAGAAGCCTCTTGTTTATTTTTGCGCTTTTCAGAAAGAGAGTAAAAATTTTACTCGTCTTTGCACACATAATAATACTTTTACCCTAAATATTCGTACATTACAACAGTTCAATGTTTCTAGTATTTCTTCATGTATCATCCCAATAAACTGTTTTATAATTTCACATTCAAAATTACTACTCATAAAATGTCTAAATTTAATAAAAGTAATACCAACTTGGACTTTTTGAAGACCAACGATAGCGCAACATATGTACAGAGCATAGAACATCCTACTATCAAGTAGTCTATACCATATTTACTTACTATTATTAAGGAAGTTCTAAAAAACAATCTACAGGTTAAATTTTGACAAATTTGATTTTATCGTTTATGAATACGACTAAGTAAAGAAAAAAGAAAAAAAATTATATAATTATATTTAATTACAAATCTAAATGTGTTTAAAAGTAGCCAAATTTAATGAGTTTTGCATGGAATTTAAATTTATAAAGAAATCTTTACATTATGTTTGTATAAGAGTTTATATTATTATCTCTTCTTCACTTGTTAATGGTATGAGTATTGTTGACACGTTTTTACTAAAATAAGTTGTTTCAATACTTTGCTGTTATATACATACGTATGTATGTCAAGTATAATATGTAGCATCAAAGGTTTAATTAAAACGTATGAAGATTTTGTCAAACTAAACGACGAAGTGATCGCAGAAATGCTTGTACTGTATAGTATATGGTATATGTATCTATGTTTATATGTATAAATACGTATATTAATAAACATATTAAGAGCAAGAAATAACGTTAATTTCGGTTGCACCGAAACTATAATATCCTTCACAAATACAAAATATTACATACAAGAATTAGATTTTAACCGATCAGTTTGCAATTTATTCAAAGATTGTACCGTTGCCTTAAACAATAATTCGGGGCGAATTCCGGGAAGATATTTCGTCAAATAAAAAAGTTTTCATACAACGACATGATTTTGATCGTTCAGTTTGTATGGCAGTAGTGGTCCTATAACGGTGATTCCGACAGGCGGACGGACAGACATACGGACATGGTTGAATCGACTCAGCTTGTCATGCTAATCATTTATTTATTAATTAATATTCATTGTTCATGGTATAAAAAATGGAGTTTCAAGATTCTGTAGTTGGAATATACTCGTATTGCCAAGAAAATATCTTATGTAGTTATTTTGCAACCCATCGTCAAAAAAAAGGCCCGAAAGCGCGTAAAAGGAGATACGGGTTTTTATAAGAATATTGATACCGTGGAACACTTTGATATTTTCACTAGTCACTGGGTTCGTATTTCATTATTTTTGTAAATTTATTGCATCAGAACCAACTCTGACATCATTTAGAATCATTAAACAGAGTTGGTGCGTTCTGTTGCAATGTACTAGCAAATGCACCTAAACTATTTTCATACCGACTTGTTTGGCTTAGAATGCTATACAATATGTGCTTACAAGTAAACAGAAATGTTTATGAAATGCTTAAAAGGATTACTCCAATACATAAACGGCAGAAGAAAAAAACAAATTTAAATTTGGCGCGTTCGTGCTCCAAAAGGGACGGCGACGAAGAGCGTATGTACATATGTATGTAAACGCAGTCATAATTGAGTGAATAGTACACCTTTAATGCACAAAATTGAATATATTTTCTTGTATGTAGCTGTTTGAGTGTCTAATTTAAAAATAATGAATTTTACCTGCGCAGCAGTCGCATTAACTAAATTTGCGTCAATAATTTACAAACAATTATATAGTATTATAGCAAAGAAAAACGCTCGTCTAACACTTTTCCCAGTTGGTGTGCATAAAATGAAAACGGAGAGTATCAAAAGCAGAGATTTCACCCATCTGAATATTAGCTTAAGTTGCTCGAAAATCTATAAGCCAATATTTATGTACGTATGTATGTTTATGCACCTAGATAGTTAGGCGTGTTCGTAGATTTATAAAATACAATTCACTTTTCCACAGCCAAAGTATGCTGTAGTCGCCTTCAAGCACACGCATATTTGCACTACATAGCCAACCAGTTATTATTTGCAACAGCCAACTCCAACTTTATTTGGCCGTAAATGGCGCTGTTGGCAACACGTACATAAGTATGCACGTACATAGATTAAGTGTGCGTCTAAAACAATTGATACCGGTTTACATTTAATTGGAAACTAGGTGATATCAATTTGGAACAACAGCTCCTGCTGTAGTCCACTGCCACTTGCTTAGTTTCAATGATTTTTAGTACTCTGTTTTGGTGCTTTCTAATGCTTTCAATGTTTTTGTTTCTGTTTTTTTTTTTCTTGGCCTTTTACTATTTCTGTAATGTCATTATGTTAGGAGTACAAACGTACCATTTCGCTATTGCTTTATGGCTTCTCTTGCTCTCGCATGGAGTCATTTCAATTTGATGACTTCAATTCGAGTTTAGTAGGCTTTATCTAGTTTTTTAAACTAATTTTTTTATTTAAATTTTTCTTTTTGTAAATGGGTGAGAGCGCGAAAAATTGGTCAATTGTTTAGTTGTGCAACTGGCCACCAGGAAGCGGATTTTTCTTCGAAAGTATTTACAAGACTTACAAAATATCCAACAGGAGAGTACACTCAATTCCATGTAAAAGTATATAGTACATACTATATTATATGTAATAGATATTTATCATATTTCCTGTAACACTAGTTTCAGTAGTGCGGAGATTGCTTAGGCTGGCCTGATTCGGCCATTTTAAAGCGTTTAAAATGTAGACTCACCGTTTTGGGTATGGTATTCGGCGGTATTTGAAAGCGTTTTCCATGTCCCGCATCCGCATTTTGAACGATTTTTCACCGCCCAAACTCATATCGTCGACACAATCTTGGCAGTGGTAAAAGTTGTATATATATTTGTAAATTGTACACACGGAAATGTTGTTAAATGTTTATTCTAAAAAATCACTCAAACGTTTTGCAATAGTTAATGGTTTATAAACACTATACACGCAAATCTATACAAAATACAAAAATCAACATACATAAGTATGCCCAAGCGGTATTTAATTAATTAATTGTTATTGCAATTGCAACTTTATAACATGTGCGTTCAATGCTTTAAACTTGTCTATGGACTCGATTCAATTTTTTTCTTCGAACTGTCTTGATATGTGAACTTGAAAGCAAAAAAGCAGAAATGTTCAAGACCGACTTCCAACACAGTAAAACTTTCAAAGACAAAATGAATGTAAGCAACGACACGCCGTTGATGGTTTTAAAAAACGTCTTAAGCGATTGGCAATCGCGGTTAAACTGAAATTTTCTGTCGGTCTCTGACCGCTTTTTGGCCAACTTGCTAGCTAATTATTGTCAGCAACAGCAATGAGCAGCGGCTGCAACAGCCCAAGACATAACCATAGGCAGACAGAACCGTTGATTCGCGTCACGTCGCACCAACTCAGCATTTCCACTCGGTGGAGTTATGTGCGCTCACTCGCTCGCAACGCTTCATGTCTTTGCCGCATTTCTACTTTTTCAGATTCGATCGTTTGTGCGGCATCATGCTCCTATTACAGATTTTGTTGTTGCATAGCTTTCATTTTGCTTCTTTCATACCATATTTCTTTGCACAGCTGCTGCTCCACTCAAAAGAGTCAATATTCGTGTGTGTATGTATACAAGTGGGTAAAGATGTAGACAAATATAAACAAACTTAGGTTGGATCTTACTATGAACGCAGCGCATTTTTTCCGTCAGTAACAGTTAAGCTAGAAGCTGAGGCTTAGAAGTAAACTGAAATGCCCGAGCGTAGCATAGAGGCTCTCTGACAGCGTAGAAAAATTGGGATACTTTTGCACATGATCAGCCCACCAGGTGATATGTGCATATGTACATATGTACATACGTGCGCTTACACTCAACGTGTATTACATATGTACATTCATACATATATATATATATGGTAAATGCGTATATATGTATACGGGTGCTATGATAATAGTAGTAGCATGTCGCTAGTATCTCCTTCATTTTGCTCACCTTCACTATTGGGGCAAGGTAGTAGGAGAATTCGCTACAACTTGGCTAACAGTTAGCTAAAGACGGTAGTGTAGTTTGGTTTATTTGCACTCAAATGTATGTCTAACCAAACATGTACAGTTGTTAGCATACAATAAGAGAATGGTTACCGTTTTGTAGAGCATAAATATGTATATTTCTAATAATACATACGCGCACAAATATGTATGCACGTAAATATTAGCCATAGTTGCAGCATTGCATGCACAGGTGTAAATGTTTGGTCAACATATATACATACATACATACATACATGAATTTATAACACGTAGCATGTAGAAGTGCATAACATCGCGATACACATTGTGGATTCGTACGCGTTCCAAAGAGCATCACAGCAGCTCTGAATATATTCACGAACCCTATGAAAACACATGCAGAAGCTGCTTATTATTTCCTTCATTTGTGACATTGTACATATATATATATATATATGTGTAGTGGTGGAACGGTTTCAGCACGGATGAGAAAAAAAATTGATAATCACGTCAATGCTTATTAATGTTACGGCAGCAGTTCACTCCATACGCAGAAATGCCTAACTAAATTTGGTTATGTAATTTGATGCGTGAGCGCCTTTACTTACAAATGTACGAGTCCCACCGACTGTTTTTAGAAAGTGTTTTTATACATCTACGGATCTTGCGTGCCGTTTTCGCCTCTGAAGAGACATCAACAACAGGACAAAACATATTATCCATAGAGAATCCGGTCATCGGTTGCTGCTACCGTTACTAATATATACAAAACCAATTAAAATTGTAAATGGCACTTTCAGTTACACTATGAATCTACGAAATGTTGGTCACTTTCTGAATTAGGTATTGTAAATTGGCGAGACTTTTTTCCTTGACCAAAGAAACTTAGTAAAAACTTCTAAACAGAAAGCCAAAATATTATATTTTACTTTTTTTCTAGTCAGCGATTCTTTACGCATAGTTTAAAATAGATTAACACACATATTTTTATTTAATAAAATATAAATCGAAAGACGCACGAATCAAACTGAAAACTTTTAAAACATTCTTTGTTCCATACAGAAAGTTTGTTTCCACTATAAAATTATTTCGTAAATAAAAAGTGTTTATTATATTATCCACCTATGTTTACGTTCGTACTTTGTTAACTATTGAAACAGGTGCTACGAGTAGAAAACATTTGAGTAAATACTATACCAAATAATTTTTAATATTAAATTTATTTGTTCCACAATTTCACCTAGATAAATGTTTAAATAAATAGGTCGTTAAACAGACTGTCCTCTCTCATTTCATTTATACTAACCATACAATTTACTTACATTCATATATTTTTAGTGAAGTATGTACTTTAGTTTAATTAAATTTTTTTAATATTTAATAATTTTTAAAAGGAGACAATTATTTATTGCGAAAATTAGTGTCAAACAATGAAAACGATAATAATTGGGCCCACAAACATTATGCCTTCTTTGAAAAAACCATTACTTCCGCAAATAGTACATATTTGCCATCAAGTTTGACTAGGACTGGTCAATTTAAACTACGCGTCCTAACCGATTCGATAAAAGTTTTTTTTCCTGATCGGTACAATTTTTTTTTTGTGTTCGTATGAAGTTTGATCTCCAATTAGTGTGTGTTGCGCGTGTTTATTTGAAAAAGTCAACGTAAACGAGAGGAGATATAAATATATGGATTCTACTAAATTATGGCCTTTTCATTATGTGACATTCCAAGCATTATGTGACAATCCTTCTCAGGTTTTCTAACATTTCGACTATGCAATAGTAAGAACAAAATACATTTTTTACATCATACTTAACCTACAAACTAGCAGAACGTTATCTGTAATGAAATCTTTGAGTTAATTCTTTTAAAAACGCAGCTGAGCGATTTCAGCTGGGCCTGGTTATGTGTACTGTTCCATGATACGAATTTATAACAAACTTGCACAGATGTTTAATGACAGATGTCAGACCAAGCATGTCGGAATTATTTGCATTATTTATGCCATGCAGTCACCCTGTAAGTGTGTATACATATGTGAAACAAATAATAAATAATTAAGAGTAGATAGGTCTTGCAGCAAGTTCAAATTTCTTGATTTTCCGTGTGAATTCAATTCGATTAAATTTTTGTGGATACTAAAGTTTAAATTTTAATGTTTTTTTTTTTGAATCAGCAAAACATATAAAATAATTTTACGCCTCTAAAGAAATATGGGTTATATGCGCATTGCAAAAACTGCCATAAATAACGATAAGCATAAATCAAAAAATTACTATAGAATACGCAAGTGCCTAAAAATGCTTTCGTTAGCATATTATTGAACATGTTGTTTTCATTTGTAGAATTACTTGTAAATATGATTTTTTTCAATAAAATTAGCAAAAAATACATTAGCTCTGCTAATTCGCCGCAGAACATCAAAAGCTCAGTAGGATTACCTTTTTGCCTATTTTCTCATAATTTTTTTATTATTTTTATTTAAAATATATGTGTAGATATTATGACATTTAAATATTTTTTTATAATATTGTTTTAACTAATTTATATTTAAACTAAAAATTCCAAACCAATTATTATCTACTGTTTCACTTTTCAATTATTTTACGCAAACAAGATAGTAACTCACGTATGTACGCGTATTTTAAGTATGTGTGTCAACTAGAAATATGCTTAAAATTTCTTTGGGTACTTCATTTTTTTCATCACTTGCGTAATACCAGCGACCATTGTCACCTCGGGCATTCTAAGTTTTGAGTCTTCTTGGAAATCGCAACGACGCGACAAATGCAGCCAAGCTCGTTCGGCATTTAAAGATAGAGGTGTTTGAAGCCAAGTAATGTAGTCGATATTTAGGACACCGCTGAGAAGCTGAAAAGAAACAAATATCTTTATATTGTATGTATGAGATTAACTGTGAGCGAACTGTAAGTTTGTACGAGTATATTTTAATTTCAACCTCCATTAGAACTTCAATAAATTTAACGAATTTTTTTTTGTTCGCATTTAACTATTACTTAACATATAATTGATCTATTTTCGAAAATTGTTGATTTCCAAATAATGAGAGAGTATAAAATGTGCATAGAGCTCGTAAAATAATTCCATATAAATAGCTCCAAGGATTACTAAAAACCATAAGATTTTAAACACCTTCAAAAACACAGGCTATTATTATTTATTATATTTATTGGTTCATTTGTATTTCTTACCTGGTCAAACGTGTGACTTCCAACAAAAAACATTGTTGACAATATCGAGTCCTTTTGTTCATTGATCCTCTGTCCCGGGTTAGGCCCACTAACTGGGACACCAGAACCCAATTGCTCCTCTAACCAATCTGCATTATTCTTCAAATATCTATAACTAGTCTTTGGTGCGAATCCATGAAAATTAAAAGTTGTATATGCACTTAATAAATCTCTCATTAGGTTCAAGATCACCTTTAAAGCTTGCCTTCCAATATTAATTGTGAGGACATCACTAACCAATATGTCTGCTATATAATCTGCTATACCCACATCTAACTCCGAGGCATAATTTATCGGTGGACTTTGTGTTAATCGTTCCGTGTTTGTGTTATTTAAATCATCAATCTTCACCGTACTTAATGTGCTCACCCAACTGCGTGCTCCACCGTTATATTCAAAGTGAGAATTTGTTTCGACAGCTATGGAGTCTCGTGTTTGTTTTAAAAATAAATCGATTTGATCGGTGTGTTTGTCGTCTTCGTCAATACAGCATATAGCTTCGGAGATGGAATAGCAGGTTGATGCCTTCTCCATTTTGTTTTCTATAATAAATATTATTTTATTAATTAACAAATTTCATAGCATAGTTAGAGAGCAATGCAAGTGAAAAAAGATAAAATATACATATACATACATATGTGTCTAGTTATATTAGAACGAAATAAAAACTACAGAAATTATTCTTGTTTATACACAATCAATAGAAACTTAAAATTACTACTTACTATTTTCATAAAATTTAGCTTTTCGGATGAGGTCTGTATATAAAGCTGCAAAAACTACTTGCATGAGTACCGAATCTCCTTTAATTAAACAAAAACAAAATTATTATTTAGAAGACAATAATGGCAAGTTTGTGATATGTAGCGTGTTTTAAAGAGGGCAGAGCTTATACGAGTTTTTTTAAGCTTCAACTAGAATACATGATGCTCCCTAAAGCACCCTATATATTGCACATACATATATTTAACTGAATGGGATAAATATTTGTGAACATTTATGAAGTTTGGAGAATATACATACCAAGAGGACGAGTTGAAACTGGTATAATGTCTTGCAATAAAATTGTTACTTTGTAAAGACTCTCGGGTATACAATCCCACATCTCGGAAACACATGTTAAAGCCAATGACATTGCCTGGTACATACTAGCTCCCGCTTCGACAGCATTAACTAACATGTCAACAACGCAATTCAGAACCGGATATACAAAATGCATAACTGCTTCCAGCCAAGGTGGTCGCTTTTGATTCCAAACCTGAGTTTTTGAATTTATCAATATGAAATCTTAAATACATCGAAAAAATGTTAATACCTGGCGCTTATCAAGGCAGTCACTCCAACCAGCAGGACTCTCTTCTAAAGCTTTTATGAGGCACGATTTAATATCGACAGCTTTTCCAACTGCCACCAACAGATAAGTTAAGGATAAAACTATTTGGTAGTTAGATTGGCCGACAGGGTCTGCTTCCATTTCAGACGGCATATTTAAATATAAATACTATTTAACTCAAAGAGCTTCACTTTACCTAATTACTATAAAAACATCTTTATGTATATTGTACATTTTTAAGACATGAAATGACCAATAAGTATATAAAACAGTATGAGCCATTACTTCTTTTATCCTGAACCTCAGAAGAATATTAAAATGTATGTAGTCGGGCTTTACATAAACCACGTCGCTATAGCATTAAATAATATTTGGACATTATTGTATTATTTTTTACCATACCTGCTTGATTTCTAATTTGATCCGATAAATCTAAACATTCACCCCTACAAAGAAATGCCTCGCATTTTTTCTGTTCACTAACGTCGCTGAGAAATGAGCTATTCTCGTTATTGAAATTCTCTGGTGACGGCAAGTATGAGAAAATATGACGAAGAATTATACCGGTCACCTGTGCGTTGCGCATTAAAAGCACCTCAATTGCAAAAAGAAAAATATTCGATTAACAAAATTCAAAACAATAAATACTTGTATATGGTATGTTTGGTTGGCGTAAATCACAAAAACGACTTTTGTTACGTTTTGACTACTTTTCTTATACTTATCGAAAATATTATAAATTAATTTACCTTTAATAAGTATGCCCAATCAGCTTCGGGAAACGCCAAAAGTACCTTCAATTCCAGCGATATTGCAATTCTCGAGCTGAGATCACCGAATTCAGTTACCCACTGAAAAGTCTTATCCGTAGAAAACAGACGGGGTGATGCAAATAAGATCCAAGCACATGGTAATCCTTGTCTGGACGAAAACATTTCCATGTTGTCAATATTTTTACGACAAAGCTGAAATATAATATTATTGACTGTACAAATTGCTTTATTCTCACTATTTAAGCCGACGCCTAGAACTATTTTTAGGTGATTAATTTTACATGCCAGATTATTAATTGATGGCCATGCACTGAGCTATTGCAGTTAAGAATTTATGATATTGGACTCATCTCTTCTTTTTCATATTCTTGATAACGGCTTTCTGTAATCCCTATAACGATTTATAACGACCCTCTTTGCAAGTAGACCCCTTTTCTCTTCACATATGAAACTAACCTCATCATCTTAACCTTCATATTTTCAATAATCTCATCACTTCCCAGAAAACAAGTATAGCTTCAAAAAAAACTAGGGCTAGAAGATGTCATGTGTGCTTTTCGCTTTCTTCAAATCTTCTCAAAGGCAAGGCAGATGGATATCTGGCCCAATGAAAAACACTATTAAATATGCAGTACTAGTAAGCATACATATGTACATGGAAGTAGTAACCAACCTTTGACAGCACTCCTAACGGCGCACCACGTAACAAGAGGCAGTAAAACAACTCTCGACACTTAGCGTGTACATCGCGGATAATAGCATTTTGAGTAGGAAGCTGTAGACCTGTTTAAGAGATCCATAAAATACACACATATTATATGTATAGAAATGAAGTTTAATAGCGAAATTTCCATTTCCTACATTCACTCACCTATATAGGCTTCACCACTCTCACAGATGAAAGGCAACAATTCTGCTACACAAAACAACATATTAGAGATATCTGCCAAGTGTAACTGAGCTCTTTCAACACTAGTTAAAATTAACGAATATCGCGCTGTAAGTACACCCAGAGTTTCGTTTAAAATTCCCGCAAAAATACGTTGGGCCATCTTTGGCGGTACTGAATTCCACAGGTCGTCCTTAATGCCCTGAATGTAGTGCCACCACATTTGTATGGAGTAAGAACCGCGCTCTGATTCGAAAAACGGCTGACTATTTTCCCAATTCAAACAATCGGCATCTTGTACGATGTACAACAACAGCAGTCTACAATGTAAATCTAATAGCCTTTCCGCTAGCGCTTCAGCCATTTGTAAATATTGCTTGTAGGACAATCTTAATGCGCCACCCTTTTCATTGCCCTTTGGACGATAGACTTTTACATTAGCTGCTTGCATGTAAATATTTAAACAATTTTTTATGAGCGCCGCCGCTCCAATTGTTGCAGTCAGCACAGAGAGATCAGCATGATCTAAGGACTCCTGCGATAGTATATGTAAATGCTCCAAAAGCATATCAGCCGACCGCGTTACGAGATTTACGAATTTTTCAGGATCTGATGTTTTCACAATAACAGCTGTCTAAAAATGGCGCATCTAAGTAAGTGCTTTTTTAGTTATATTCCACCATACTATTTACCGGATCATGTGACAACAGATCCCATTCTGCATGCAATAATCCAGAATGCTTTTGGTAGGAAGCATAATATTCATCTTCCCACCTTCAAAACACGAATTTTTAATCGTAACTTGTTTGCAATTAATAAAAATAACTTATGATAAGTTCTCGATATACTACTTGTACTCACCATAAAACAATTTTAATCGCAGCAAACGAGGCGTAACGTGGGAAATCTAGTTTCCCTCCTACCACGCCAAGGCAAATGCGCTCCTGCAGAACTCTTTGGTGTGTCTTCTCACAAGTTTTTGGTAGGTATATTGAAATATAAAAAAATCCAAAAATTACATAATATCATGTTTCATGATGATGCATTTTCATAAACACTTTTGTTGGAAGATTTCTTACCTGATAAAACTGTAAATCTCGCTGCAACAATACTGGGACCCTGTCCATCAAATTTCCTTCTTCCATAACCTCCATGGTTAAGTATTTTTTAATTCTTTTGTCTTTAATTTAATTAATAATACAAATCATAGATGAACTGAAGAGCAGTCTACAAAGAGAACGAATTATTTATCGACAAAATAAATCGAAAGTATCCATGGAAACTCGTCAAAACTATAATATTATTTTAGTTTGTAAGTTGACTTGCTAAACACAAAAACAATAAAAACCGTTTATTTCAGCTGTTCGGAGTTTGTAGCGAAGCCTTAGATAATGATATATGCCAAATTTCGTGATTTTCGTCAAATAAAAAAGTTTTCCATACTAGAACTTAAGTCCGACCGATCAGTTCGTATGACACCTACATATATGCTATAGTTGTCCGATAACGGCAGTTTCAACAAATTAGCAGCTTCTTGGGAAGAAAAGGGAGTATGCAAAGAAATGTGTCAGATTGATATCTCAAAAACTGAGGGACAGACGGACATGGGTAAATCCTAACAGCTCGTCACGCTAATGATTTATATTTATAGATACAAGTAGAGGGTCTCCAACGTTTCCTCCTGGGTGTTACAAACTTCGTGTCAAACTTAGTAAACCTGTTCTTGTTGTACTAATCTGGAAACTCTTTCAACTGATTTTTTATTCATTTCTGGAGTTAATAAAAAATGTATGGGGTTAAATATCCAAGCTTCGGCTAAGGCTTCCTTAAGCCTGAATAGAATTTTGAAACCAGTAAAGGGTTCACATCCAATGACTTTTTTACTTTTCCTATCTATTTTGACGACAACGAAACCGATTATAAACATACATTTTACATATTACATAAATATGATAAGGTATTAAACGCCCATCTTGTAATATTTATTTACAAAATTGATCTCTCTGAAATCTATAAATTACTTAGTTGACTTAAAAGAAATTTTTCTACACCTAAATACATACACATAATATTTATGGAATAAAAATAAAAAGAATTTTGTTTCTTTATATACATATGTATCATTTATTCTACATTGAAAACCACACCTTGTGCACATGCTAATTTACCAGAATGATTCAGTGTTATTGTCGAACGTTTACAGTATTGTTTCCATGCATCGGAACCGGATTCTCTACCCCCACCGGTGTGTTTTTCGCCACCAAAAGCACCACCTATTTCTGCTCCATTCGTTGTAGTATTTATATTTACTATGCCACAATCAGAGCCTTGTGGGCCAATCCATTGAAACGCATTCGATATGTTCTCCGTAAATATCGCTGAAGATAGACCTTGATCTACTTCGTTATTCCATTCGATAGCCTCTTCAATAGATTTAGCTTTAAGAATGTAAACAATTGGAGCAAAAGTTTCACGATGCACCACTGGGGAGCCATGTGGCAAATCTATTATTATAGTCGGTTCCACATAGAAACCTTCAGACTGTATCACTTTTCCGCCAAATGCAACTTTTCCGCCGAGTTTGACAGCTTCGGCAATGGCGGCCTTATAGTGTTCAATATTTTGTTGAGAATGCACAGGACCAACCAGTGTATTTTGATCTAATTGATGACCCACCTTTGGAAGAACCTGCAACGTAAGTATTTATGTATATGTAAATTCGTTCTTAATTTACGTATAGCAGCAATGGTAATAGTTCGTATATAAATAAATATACCAAAGACTGGATGTTGCTTTGATATAAAACGAACAGTCTTTAACCGTTTTGAGAGGTCTAAAATAATAAAAAGCGTACTTGTTTGTATTTGACTACCAATTCCTTAACCAAGCGATCATATAGTTTTTCATGTACAATTATACGACGTGTTGTGGTGCACCGCTGACCGGAAGTACCAATGCATCCGAAGAGGGCAGCTTCTAATACCATGTTAAAATTAGCATCCTGATTTACAATCAAAGCATTATTACCACCCAACTCCAATATAACTTTGCCAAAACGTTTTTGGACCTCCACTCCGACGTTGCGACCAGTTTCACAACTGCCAGTAAACGACACAAGTTTCACTCTAGAATCGTTAACAAGTTTCTGACCCACATCGGCGCCTCCTTGGCAAAGCAGCGCAATGGGTGGTAAATTATTACGTTTCAAAACTTCAGAAAGAATTTTCATGGTCGCTACTGAGACTAGAGACGTAGTTGGAGCTCCCTTCCATAGAACGCTATTTCCAGTTGTCTGTCCAAAAACAAAAAATACCCCATAATAAATAGGTATGTTTGATTCAAAACTAATGTATATATAGAACATATGATTTAATATTTTAATATTTAAATTTACCAAAGCGATTGCAGCATTCCAACCAAAGACGGCATTCGGAAAATTGTATGCTGATATAATGCCCACTAAGCCTAAAGGACGCCATACTTCCAAAATTGTATGCTCCGGCCGTTCAGAACTGATTACCTGTCCTGAGTAAATTCGCGAAAGCCCTGCCGCATAATCACAAATATCAATAAACTCTTGAACTTCGCCTAGTCCTTCACTGAATATTTTTCCAACTTCTAAACTGACAAGCTTTCCCAAAGGCTCTTTATATTTACGCATTTCTTCGCCAATTTGACGTATAATATTTCCACGTACTGGTGCTGGCACCTGACACCATTGTTGGTATGCATTTACTCCAACTTTTATCGCCTCATTCATTTCTTCAGATGTTCCCACACGAACGTTAGCGATCTTGCGTCCGGTTCCTGGGTCTATGGATGTTAATACCTCCCCAGAACCTTTCCACGATCCATTATATACACCGCAGTTTTCGCGTTCTATACCAATATCCTTGAGAAAAGCGTACTCAGCTGAATCAATTAGATAGTCATTCTTAGATTCTAATGGAGAACTTTTGTGAAAGAAGCATGAGTGCACCGCCGATGCCGTCTGATTGTGCTTCAGCAAGATTGATCGATTCAAATGCCTCACAAGTGACATGCTAAACATATGGAAATAAGTAATAATATTATTAAAAATAGTTTATTATTTACACTGATCGATTGTTATCAACGACCTATTATTAAATATATATTAAAGAATCCAAAAAAAAAAGTTTTCGAGGAATAAGAGTATATACATAATTTGTCTTAAACGATTCAGAAACAATAAGACCCCTAGAGTTAATTATTCGAAGCCCATATACAACGCTATTTTGATCATTTAACCATTTGACGACATCTTAATCTAAACCTTTACATTGTCACCATCAACTCAAATACACTCAAGATCTGGTTCATATAAACTGCGCGCGCAAACCAAATTGGTCTTTTTTTTTCCTAGAGCTGTCTGATGTTTGTGTGAAATTTGTCTGTCGCTTTTTACATACGAGTTATTATATATTGGGTCAATAAACTCATGGCGTGTTACCCGGATTTTTCAGTTCCGAAAACAGAAAAAAATCACAGCAAGTCAAAGCGGGCGAATACGGGAGCTGAGCGATTTTTGTCCAGCCAAGATATTAATCAAATCATCTGTGCTCTCGAAATGTTCCCTACATTAATGGATATACACACATAATTGCAAGAAACTAAATTTTAAATTGTTTATTTGAGTTTTTATACACAATATTATTATTGTCTATTTATTCTTATCAATAATCCCCAATCTATATATTATACTTGCACATGAAAAAATCTTTATCGTTTCTGAATGCTGCGGTTATCTTGTTATTCTGAGCTGATTTATGAAGCAAATACTTACGTACACACGCATTTATTGTCATAATCACAAGTGTTTATTGTATAGAAGGTACATAGGTATATACATATATATATCAGATATTTTAGTTTATACTAGAGGTTTCTTTTCTAAACCAATTTCGGATTTAGCATATTCTAGTACTATACTTTATTGGAGTGAATTATGATTTTAGTTGTATCTTTCACTAAATCGATCTTAGCAAGTCAGTCAATCCGTTTGTATATACAAATTATATCAGATCAGACAACTGCAACATATATCAATATACAAATAACAGGTAAGATATCAAGTTCAATGTTATAAACATTTTTTTTTATTATTATCTTCAAAATAACAATGTCTAATTAGACACCTAGGTGCCTATCTAGTGTGATCTTTTTTTTGTGCGTGGTCAACGGAACAGCCCCACTAAATATCTATGTATCTAGTATCTATGTATGTAAATACATACAATGAACCCAAAAACACCTTTTACAAATCCATGCGTATGAACTGTTTAACTTACACGCATACATATGGTATATACCATATATATATATTCAAATTGAGTATTTGTCTACTTACATGTAAATGGTGTTTTATACGAAATTTTAAATACTATTTCTTAAAAACCACACAAGACCGTCTCAACTTGCGTTTACTTCCGAACTAAGTGCTTCATAATGTGCTCATATTTGAGAGATGTACTGAGCCTCTGCACTGATAAGCCAACTACAGATGTCGTTATCTATAGCTGATAACAATATACTATATTTATTTAGTGAGTTATAGTGTAATATCAAAGTAATGATTGACTGGTCTACTTTTCACTAGTAATACTTTTCAGTTGCTGAATCTTGACCCTATGCAATATGGGGTACCAAATAGTCAAATGCTTAGTTCTTACTACAGTCTTAATGGGTGCTGGTGAAATGGTTAATTTTATTTCAGCATTGGGAATATGTTATATGACAGTCCTTATATTTGGCAACCCAAATACCAATCACGCAAGCTCCAAAGCTTGAAGTGATATTTAACTAATATAGGTCTGTCACCGGAAACTGGCAAATTTCCGTTCATATTGCTATGGAAGGAATCTAAGTTATGGTGTATTAGCAATTTTTAAAATCAGAAAGCAATTATTCCAAAGTTTCAAACAGCTCGCGTACAGTAATGCTGTATCACCCACGTTCGCCCTTCCGTACTTACCACCCGTATTAAACAAAATTTGTCAAAGGTTATGCCGGTAGTGGCAACGTAGAAATCAGTTGTTCTCTTTTGTTTTCATTTCACCAATGTTGTCATTGCTCAATTTGTATACATGATTTTATACACCTTTAGTTTCTTAGTTATAAGTTTTCATAATGTAAAAACTCAAAACTAAAATTCAACTATAAACAATAGTCTACCTATTTATAAATAAATGTATTCGACTGTGATTTTAAGTTAGTTAAAGAATATTTCAAATATATACAAGTTTATTTTTAATTACTACAAAATATCGAGACTGGCAACCATGCGCTGTAAGAGAGCAATCAGCTGATTCGTATCTACGGGAAAAAACCAATTTTCGCGGATATCTTACCGAATTTTCTGTGGAAGCGGACGATAGAAGCGATGGTGCATGTTCATTTACATTACGCTCTCATAAGATAGGCCGCATCAGCTGATTCAGTCTGCGGTCGGGTTTGCATCGATGACTGTTTCCAGCATAAGCAGGTCACAAAACTAATAATTTAATTAATTAATAATTTTTGTTTTCTATTTTGAATATAATGACACTCACTTAGAGATCATCATAGATATTAATCGATTGTCGGTTTTTTTATATTGAATATAACGTAAAAATTAAAAAAGAAATCAATTTCAATTCTGATTCAAAGTCAACAATTTATTTTCATTCAGGTTTTATATACATCTCTAAATATTGAAATGTAAAAGTTAATTAGATCTGTTCGTTTACAAATGAGAGATTTTTGTGACTGTCCCGTACTGAGTTGCAAAATCGTCTGAAGTTCATAAATTGCCTCTAATATCAAATGTTGTGACGAACACGGATGATAGAACAAAATCGAATCAACGATAAACTGCCAGAAGCAACTAGTTAGCGAATTCGTAGTTGCCAGAATGTTCTAGAAGCAATGTTTTGTTACAGATTTACTATATAAGGGCTGCCGGATTGTGCAGCAAACACAGTTCTAGTTAGAGTGATGTCGTGATAAGAACAATTGAGACATAAGCAAGAAGTTGTAAGCTCGAATAACGAGTAATAAGTGTTAAGTTGTTGGAATTAGAAATAAAAATAAGTGTGTAGCCATTAAATTGGGACTTTTATTTAACAATCCAGTGATCGAACTCAAGAGTGAGTTACAGGTAGACGATTTATCGAGAAATCCGTTACAATATCAAAGAACTGAATTTCGATATAAAATATACTTGTTATCGATTGTTGAAATAGTTTTATTTATCGATATTTCACTAGCACCACTTAGTGTACTTTGAATTAACCAATCGTCTTAAGCTTGTTCCCACTTGTTGGCACTTTCTAAATTCAGTGTTTTAATAGTTTTGAATGAAAAGTTCGAAAAATGGTTAACGCTGGAGACGTGTATATTGTATCCGCCGCGCGTACAGCAATTGGTAATTCTATATTCGAAGGAATCTTCCTCTATATGTGTTATTTGATATATTAAAATTATAGGCTGCTTCAATGGATCACTTTCTAAATTAAAAGCATCGGAACTGGGAAGTGTAGTTATTAAAGAAGTGTTAAAGAGAGCTAATGTTAATAATGGTGATGTGGACGAAGTTATCATTGGACAAGTGAGCAATATTTGAACATAAAAATTGCATGTACATTTAAACAACATATTTACTAGAGTCTTACTGCTGGACAAGGTCAAAATCCATCCCGACAGGCTACCCTACAAGCGGGACTTCCTATAAGTGTGCCTGTTTATAATATTAATATGCTTTGTGGTTCAGGTTTGAAGTGCGTACAAAAAGCAACATTCGTATTTGTAAATTTTTGAAGTATACTTTTATTTTCAGAAGTGTTGCCTTAGGTTTTCAATCCATACGATGTGGCGATTCTAAGATTGTTATTTGTGGAGGCCAAGAAAGTATGTCTTTGGCACCACACGTTATCCATTTACGAAATGGTATCAAAATGGGCCCTGGAACATTGTTGGATACAATGACTCATGATGGCCTCACCGATGCTATGCATAACATACATATGGGTGTCACTGCCGAAAACCTAGTAAAGCAATACAATATTAATCGCGATGAACAAGATGAGTATGCGGTTCTATCACAAAACCGGGCTGAGAACGCACAAAATAATGGCTTCTTCGAAAAGGAAATTGTTGCAGTCGAATTGAAAACGCGTGCGGGTACTCAAATTTTTGAAAAGGATGAGTACATTAAAGCAGGCACAACAACTGAAACACTAAAAAAACTAAACCCATGTTTTATTGAGGTAAGAAAATATTATAAAAAGTGCCCATTTTGTTCATGCATACGTAACTGTTTATGTAGAATGGAACTGTAACAGCTGGAAACGCTTCAGGTATTAATGACGCTGCTGCAGCGGTGTTGTTAATATCAGGGGAAGAGGTTAAGAAGAGATCCATTAAACCCATGGCGAAAATTGTGGCTTGGGCACAGACTGGTGTAGAACCTAAAATCATGGGAATCGGACCCGTGACTGCTGTTAATGCGGTTGTAAGGAAATTTTAACACCTTAAGCTTATATTAGCACTAAATTAAATTTCATTCTAAAGTTACAAAAAGCTGGTTGGTCTAAGGAAGAAGTGGATCTGTTTGAATTAAATGAAGCATTCGCAGGTCAATCTATTGCAGTATTAAAGGAGCTAAACATCAACGCCGATAAGGTAAATGTCAATGGCGGTGCCATTGCATTAGGTCACCCTATTGGTGCATCTGGATGCAGAGTTCTAGTAACTTTGTTATATGCGCTGGAAAGGTTGAATGTCAGAAAAGGCGTCGCATCATTGTGTATTGGAGGCGGGATGGGTATCGCCATGGCTATTGAACGTGTTTAAAAATGAGAATAATTATTATTTATATTGATACGACAATAATACATATGTAAATGTAAAGTATTTGTTATAACGAAAGTCAATTGTTATTTAGAACTAGAAATGCAAATATATGCACATATATATGAAGCTTGCATAACTATTTTAGAATTCATTAAGTCAGCATACACATTTTGGTTAGGGGAGAGTAATTTACGCAATGTTACATGATAACATTATGAACTTTGAAATAAAAACATCGGGAAAGTTTGTGGTGAGCCTTTCTTATAAAACTTGCAGTTTTGTACATATAGAGTACACATGAATATATAACGATATGTTTGTAACTAAATTGTTATTGTTCGGTGTTTATCACCAACGGTATTTGATTAATCCACAGTTGCTTATTGTATGTTCCGCTTAAACATAGATTAAATTATAATTAATATTTACCGAACGAAAAACAATTATCGAGTATAAGTAACAAGATTCTAAAAACGCAAGCCCTCTGCTGTTTCAAGATATACTAAGTATAGTAGAATATACAGTTAAGTATCTATTTTATTCATTGTACTTAGGTACATATATATACATACGTTTACGTTATGAGAACCAAAGTAATATAAGTAATTCAATAATAAATGCATTTTGAGCTTATTTATGTAGTTGGAATAAATGAATATGTCTTTCAAATATAGTTTCAACCAATAGATTACGAACACATTAGTTTCAATTCTTTGGTACGTTTTCAAAAACTTCAATGGACCGCAACATTAACTCCATGGCTACTTTTCCAGATAGTACTCCATTCCATTCCATGTAATTCCACACAGATCCCATGAAAATACAAAATAATAAACCACCTGATATTAGGAGTTTCAATATTATGTACAATGTTCTAAATCCTAAAGGAGATGGATATTCTAAGAAAACTACTAAAATAAACGCAAGAATAACGGCGACACTGTAGTAAAATATGCGATCTGTATTCAGTTGGTCTAGTGACGTTTCACATAACGATATCGATTCATGCAAAACAGCTACACGTCTCGATATAAGACATCCGTCAGTTTTAAACGCTTCTTCGCTAATATGATGCTCTTTATTTATAGAAGTAACAACAGTACATGCCCCCTCCCCAATATTATGTTCAGCATCTCTTAATTGCAGCTTTGCTAATACAGCTTCGTGGTCGGAATAGCTGAAATTTTGACCAGGTACAGGTTCAGTCAATGGCAGCCCATAGTCAATAATAGAAAGAGCAATATTTTCAGGACTTCTTGCGAAAATATGATCAATATGAACTCCAGCTGACATTTTGTTAGAAGTATTAGAAGCAGTATACGAATTTCTTTGATACTCATTTGTTACAATATTTTTAGAATTGCAACAATCCTGCATTTTTGATGTATACAAAAGAACCCTAAAACAAATGAAATGCAATATTTTAGTAAATGCAATTTGATTAGAAAATATATAATATAAGATTTACAAGAAAATAAATATATATAATATAACTTATTAAAAATTTCTAAAATGATTAAAAAAAATATTGTACACAAATTGAGTAAATGTAGTCATAATGGATATAATTATATAATTACTTGTATGTTAAATCGTGAGGTTGAGCATTTAAGTCTCCAGCAAGAACTTGTAAAACAGAGTCACCTCTTGTTGCACGTATAAACTGTGCTGTATCAAAAGCCTGAATTACTCGATGAGTTTTGTAATCATCATTGTTGTTATTATATTCCGCATGCAGCTAAAATTTAATAAATATAATAACCCATTTAACGATATATATGTATATAAATATATGACTTAGACTATATATGACATTTACATGAGTATTGTACAGATGTATTACATGCTTATCCACGAGGATTCTACATAAACCAACTCCTTTGCCCCCAAACCAATCAGCATGCTGAATACGATGAAAATAACCATTAACACTCCAAGGATGAAAGAAAGAGCTTAAAATAGGGTATTTAGACAATACCAGGAGACCTGAACCCATAACACCACTGCAAAAAAATTTTGCTTTAAAATTATATAAAACTTCTTTACATACTCCATTATGAAATTTTACCTGTAAAAATAGTGAGCGTATGGTAATACTAGCTCCGTAGCGTTTTTCAATGTTTCGCAATCTTTACGAGACCAAACTTCTTGTAGAGAAACTATATCATATTTGCCTGAACTAAGTTCTAAGCCGATTGCGGCTATTCGTGCTTCACGGTCCTTTGAAATAAAAGGAAAAGGAATTCCCCTGGAATATCATTAAAAAAGGATTTTAAGTTTTTCATGGTGATAACATGTTTGTACTGCGATAAAAATACAGGTAAATGTATAGTTTAGGGCCTTCAACGAAGAAGGCCGCTAATATTATAATTTTTTTTTTTAGATTTTAGAGGAAAGTAAATTTGTTTTAATTTTATTTATTTAATAATTGTATATTTTTTTTTATCATCGCACTTCGCCCGCGCTTCAAAAAAATAACTCTGGTTAGTCCAAAACCGGGATGTCATAATTCATTTGTGTCAAACTCCTTTCTGTACTGACGGACTTCGGCCAAGCTTAGAGAAAATAACCCTGGTCGGTCCAACACCGGTGTATCCATAGTTCTTTTACGTGCTGAAAGGGGTTCGACGATCTCTATTCGTTGTAATAGGCTTTTTACATTTCTTCAGTATTTTTATCACAAGAAAATTTCTAACTGTTGACCTTGTAATTAGAGCTTAGTGATCTGAATTCTGCAGCATTCTGCCGCTACAACTACATATAAATTACTTGAAAAATATGTTTAACACACTTGAAATATATTTTTATTTATGTATGTATATACATAAATTAATGAAAAAATTCACTTTCACTTCACGGATTTGTAATCTTCGCGTTAAAATAAGACAATTTAAAAACATATTAATTTTTGAGGGCTCCTTCGTTGGGGGCCCTAATCTATACATTTACCAAATTACATACCAAACATTTAGTGTTAAAATACTTAAATTTAGCAACATATTTATATAAAAAAATATGCATATAGATATGTAACAAATATATATATGTTTATGTTAGTGATAACAGTAATGGACCAGTCGGAACACAATAGTCGAAGAGTAAAATTTTGTATTGATCGACAATGTCATCAAGAATTTGTCAGCTCTAGTTGCATTAATTTATATTACAGGGGTAAGCTTATTAGTATGGTCCATTCACCAGAACCAAACATATACGTACATATGCACTGTAAACATCCACAGAATAAAATAAATAAAGTATAAATTTTATTGAATTATAGTTTTGTGTAGGCATTTCCTACTTCAACTTCTCTAAAACTACTTAACAATTATTTGAAGCTTCGATAGTAATTTTAAAGATTAAATTGTTTCATTGACTTTATTTAGTACACGTAAAAAATTAAATTACATTTTGTTTTGTTTTTAAATAAGTAACAAAGTATTTCCCCTTGAAATAAAACAATTTAAAGTTCATAATCATCGTTAACACTTTGTTCTTGATCATCTGTACCAACTTCTTCATAATCTCTCTCTAATGTGGCCAAGTCCTCACGAGCTTCCGTAAACTCACCTTCTTCCATGCCTTCGCCAACATACCAATGCACAAATGCACGTTTCTTAAACATTAAATCAAACTTGTAATCCAAGTTACTGAACGCAACAGCAATAGCGGTTGTATTTGATAGCATACAAACCGCACGAAGAGTCTGGGCCAAATCTCCTCCGGGTACGCATGCAGGCTTCTCATAATTAATTCCAATTTTGAAACCTGTTGGACACCAATCCACGAATTGAATATGTCGCTTGGATTTTATAGCCGATACTGCAGCGTTTACATCTTTCGGTACAACATCTCCACGATAGAGCATACAACAAGCCATATATTTTCCAGCACGAGGATCACATTTTACCATCATATTTGAAGCTTCGAAACATGAGTTTGTCAGTGCCATTATAGTATTGTGCTCATGCGATGCATTTGATGAAGACACCAATGGAGCATATGCAACCAGTGGGAAGTGAATTCGAGGATAAGGTACTAAATTTGTTTGAAATTCATTAAGATCGACGTTCATTGAACCACTGAAACGTAAAGAAGCTGTAGTTGAACTAACAATTTGTGCAATAAGGCGATTTAGGCTCCGATAATTTGGACGATCAATATTCAAACTATTCTGACATATTTCATAGATTGCTTCATTGTCTACTATAAAAACGCAGTCCGAGGTTTCTAAAGTAGCGTGTGTAGTGAGAACTGCATTGTATGGCTCAACCACTGACGTTGAAACTCTTGGTGACGGGTACACTGCAAAATCCAATTTACATTTCTTACTATAATCTGCAGTTAAGCGTTCCATAAGTAAAGAAGTAAAGCCCGATCCAGTTCCACCACCAAGACTGTGAAATATTAAAAAACCTTGAAGACTTTCACATTGTTCCGACAATTTTTGAAGGCGATTCATAACTTTATCAATTGCTTCTTTTCCGATAGAGTAATGGCCACGAGCATAATTATTGGCTGCATCTTCTTTTCCAGATATCAATTGTTCTGGATGATACAAACTCTTAAGGTTACCTGTACGTACATCATCTATAACTGTAGGCTCCAGATCAACAAAAACTGTACGTGGTACATGTTTACCCAAACCAGTTTCTGCGAAAAAAGTATTCGAGTCATTCGTGGTTTCATTTTTAGTATCTTGTGATAATTTATTGGATCCATTCGTATTTTCTGCTTTACTTTTAACAGAGCCGTCAACATCAATGCCGTGCTCCAAAAGATACAATTCCCAGCAAGCATTTCCGATTTGAATTCCACCTTGTCCAATTTGTATTGATATAACCTCACGCTTAAAAAAAATTTATCAATATTAAATACTCTTGAAAAAATAGTAATTATTGCTCCATCTCACCATTTTTAAGGAATTTATATGTGAAAGTTAAAAAGGCGCCAATCTTTCAACCCCAAAGCAAATTATAAAATAATTGCTATATGCCAATATCGTAGATGCCGTTAGGATAGAAAATGTCCTTAATGTCAAGGCACAGTTAAAGCCATGAAGAAATATCCCATTATCGATGATTAAAGCCCAACACATTAAGTTAATTCACGTACATACTTATGTCTTAGTTTAACATGCATAGCTCTGCATTGTGTAGAAAGAAGGAAATTCGCTCTGAGTACTTTTCAAATTTTTTTTTTTTTCGCGCCATTTTAAATTAATTAAACAATTAGTATCGACATAATTTTTAACTATATAATAATATTGTATTAAATAATATATATAATATTTTGAATGATATGTGTCTATTTTTCGTAAATGTATAGTTTAGGTCCCCCAACTAAGGAGGCTTCAAAAATGATTTTCTTTTTAAATCGTCTTATTTTGACGCGAACATTACATATCCGTGAGGGCAAAGCTTTTCAATAATTTATGTATATATTTACAAAAATATTTAACGCACTTTGCACATATTTTTCAAATCACTTTGTTGTTGTTGTAGCGGCAAAATTGTGCAGAGTTCAGATCACTTAGCTGTATTTAACAGTTCAGCGAGTCTTATGAAAAAAAAAACTGAGGAAATGTTACAGTCACAATTTCTTTTGCGACGCGATCTGATGGTATGGACGAATATCGGAGATCGTCAAACTCCTATCCTTCGGCCGCGCTTCAAAAAAATTACCCTGGGCGGTCCAACACCATAGTTCTTTTGCACCGAACTCCTTTCAGCAGCGGAAAAAATAAAAGAATTAATATTAACGTATCACAATTTTTTATTTTCAATGCATATGTAAAAGTTTTTTTCTATAAATGTTGAAAATATTCACTTTCCGCTCACGGATTTGTCATATTCGAGTCAAAACAAGACTATTTTTTATTTCGAATTTCATTTTTGAGGCCTCCTTAGTTGGGGGACCTACACTATACATGTACCCTATTTTTAATTGACTTTCATTAATGCTTTCATTTATATGTGGATATATAAAAAAATTCAAGAACATATTGCTTACTTTAAAAACTCAAAAGTTTAGTAAAATGTACTAATTTTTATAAAAGCTTTAATTAAATGCACTTGTGTGAACTCGGCTCAAATGCATAACCAATATTATTAGTGGATATCCGCTTTATACCATATGTAGCTAATTATATAAATAATCTAAATAATGCGTAAACTACCAGATTCATTAACTTATATTAAAAAAGAAAATGTTTATAATAATCTCTGATATTTTCTTTTCCAATTCTAATCAGATCATCCGAAAATCATAGCTTATTTAAGAAAATATTTTTATTATAGTTAATACTTTTATTCTATATGAAAACTTTTGCAATGAGTGAGTTCTTTTAATCCAGACATATCCAAATAATTTTTTATATCGCCACGTCGGAGAGAGTTTTCATTAAAATTTCGGTATATCGATAAAGGCATGTTTGATATTCGATAAAGTTTTGCTTAGACTTTATATATCGCTTATTAAACAATTTAATAACTGTTTTTAGGAAGATGAAGGAAAGTTTTATAACAATCTCTGGTGGACCCACCCATGTAATTACTTGGGGACGTTGGATAGAAGAGCCTTTGGATGATGTGCCCGAGATTGTGATATGTATTCCAGGTAATCCCGGCTTAGTTGGCTTTTATACCGAATTCCTGCAGTTGTTGTATGAGCAATTGGGAGAGAAAATTCCGGTTTGGATAATTGGTAAGATTTAAGATAAACCAGTTTTTATTGATTTTTTTTCAATTGCTGTTTTTTTTGTTTGTAAAGGTCACCTGGGACACGAAGAGCCTTCAAAGGACCGTAAAACGGAAGTTCCTTGCCTTAAGGGTAATGAAAAAATATTTGATCTGGATGGACAGTTATACCATAAAAAGGAATTTATTCAACGTTTTGTGCCTCGCAATACAAAAATTCATTTAATTGGTCATTCAATTGGAGCATGGATGGTGATACAGTTGTTAGAATATCAGGACATTCGGCAGTTAATTAAAAAATGTTACCTTCTATTTCCAACAATAGAGCGTATGCTTGACTCGACGAACGGTTGGAATTTCACCAAAATCGGGATTCCACTATATACAATTCTTGGATTTGTCATTCCATTGTTTAATCGGTTACCAAAATATCTTCAAATATGTGGAGTACAAATCTATTTTTGGTTCTTAAATATACCGAAGTCGTTTATTGAAACCGCTTTAGAATACTCAAAGGCTGCTGTGATGGAAAAAGTAATATTTTTAGCAAAAGATGAAATGGTTCGGGTACGTGATTTAGATCAAAGTTTGATGGAAAAACATTTACCTTTGTTAAAGATGTATTATGGTACGACGGATGGTTGGGTACCAGTTGAGTATTATAACGAAATATGCAGAAAATATCCCAAAATTGACGCTGAATTAGATAAAGAGTCTATAGATCATGCATTTGTATTAAGAAACTCGAAGGCAATGTCTCGTATAGTATGTAAAATGATTAAAGAACATTCCGACATTTTTACATAACTTTTTCGTTGTCATAAAACTCATAATAAATAATTAGAATAAATTTGGGCATACATACCATATACATGACGATAACTATCATTATCGGAACAAATCCGTTCAATAATTAAATAGGTTAGATAAAACAAATGTTTTCAACATTTTAGGCTGAGGATGAGTTGTATATATTTTATTAGTGGTTATTTGGTTGAATTAATACATACAGGCTTACATATATTAAAACAAACAAAAAAAATAGTATTTTATTCAGATTCTGAAACCGATGGACTACGTGAATGAGACTTAACTGAAGACTTGTTCTTTGTACTTTGGGGAGAAGAAGAAGGTGAGCGCGAAGCAGATCTCGACTTTGAAGGCGATCTAGATCTTGAGCTTGACTTTGAACGCGAGCGCCTGTCAGATTCACTACCTGAACGTGATTTAGATCTCGATCGGGAACCGGAACGAGAACGACTTTCACTATGAGAACGTTGTTCTGACGGAGATCTTGATATACGGCGCACGCGCTTGGACTCAACACTACCATCACTCT